TGTATCATCACATAGGAAGAAAGTTTTGTGTAGTGTCTGTACAGGGAGCTTAAAATATATCTGTTAAATTCAACAGAGTCCTGGACCTGGAAGACATTTTGCATGTAAATTATCAGTAATTTATTTTGCCAGATTGGGAACAAGACTTCAGATTTGAGAAGTCTTGAGTTCTAGATATACAGATATTAATGATATTAATGGAAATCGTATTTTTAACCCAATATTTGTTGACCTTGTCTTAGCTTTTCTGTTTATACACCTTCATTATAGTGCTTGATGGAGTCAAGTATGACTGAAAAACAACAGACTAAGAATTTTAAGGCAGATATGTAGATGACAAAACCTGAACTTCCTGGCCAGAATAGCTCCTTAAATTCTTTTTCTGTAAATTGATATTTTATTAATACTTTTAAAAAATCCCACAACAGATGAGTAACTTTTGTACTGATGGCTTTAACAGACCAGAAAAGAACCAAAGGACTAAAGACAGGTCTGGAAAAGGATGAATTAAATAAATATATCCATACCTCAAGCAGCCAAAGGTTAACAAATACCCAAATAAACCAGAAATGCACATCATACGAAGAAAAAAGGAATTTTCCAATACCTCTTCCAACACCTTTATAAAATAAACTCATTCAATTTTTCCTTTTGATGTGATAAAGACTATACACAAATCCTTTCTCTGTATACATTTCTTTGCAAAAGTTAATAGTTTAAAACAAAAGAAAGAAGGATTGCAAGAATTCCTGCTGCTGCTTTGCTGCTGTTAGATACATGGCTGGCAATTGGTGAAATGTCTCAGTTGTTTAATATGTTTTGAGTGGTCACCTGGGATGAAAAGTAAGAGATGCAACTCCATACAGCCCTGTCCAATGGACTGTCCCAGTGCACCACATTCTCTCACTCTTCCTTTAGAAATTAAAGTTTCAACAGCTGCAGCTTCAAGTACCTTTTGTTCCAGTCAGCAAGTGCATGAATTAACACCTTTTCAATGATCAGCAATTCCTGTGTGACATCTCCAATCTAATGCTTCTTCTATTAATAATGACTTCAATCTCTGATCCTCACATTTTATACTGAACTTAAAATCAGTCTTCAGATATACATCCCTAAGTATTGTACATAAGAAACTACAGATTACTTTTAAACTGTTCATTAAGAATGATGGAAAAAAGACACTGACTATTCTTACATAATCAGTGTATCTTTGAAAATACGCAAAGAATTTTTTCTCTGAAAGTATGAGTTTTGTCTGCTTAGTGCAGGAGGATTTGTGACTCATAAAATGTGGGAACATTGAGGATAAAAAAAAAAGTCCCTTGAATTCAGTTTTGAAAACTGTTGGATATATGCTCACTCTGCAGGAAGAAAAAAGAAAAAGAAGCCTCAGATTCACCCAGCTGGCAAGTATCTTCCTGTGGGATAACTAGAGTGTTCCTTACCCATACATTCATGTGTAAAAGAGGCAGCACAAACTCTCAAGTTCCTTGCAATTATGGTGTAGGATTTCAGCACTGCATCCACATGTAAGAATATCCTGTAGCTACATGATATGTGAAGTTCCTGATACAATATCCTGGATATTATTTCTGTTCTGTCAGTCTGTTTCAGTAACTGTTTCAGCCACTGGCCATAAAGAAAGCATGGATAACATTTTCAGTCTTCAAGTGTTCTCTCTCATCCATTTCACAAATTCCATAGGAAACCTTCAACCAAAATTCATGGCAGAAGGAACAATATATGTCTAAGGTTTTTATTATATATTCTCATAAATCTCCATGACTAAGTTAAGACCACATATAGTCAAAAAAGAAAAAACACTTACTAGAATGATTGCATCAAAAATTTATATAAGTGATGATTTAACACCAATTCTAGGGTCATCCATCTACCAACAAGGAGGACAGTACACCAAGAGAAGTTCTCTGTAATAACAATTATAGTCTCCTGTGTCTCCTAGGATCTCAGTTCCATATGCCAGCTCGGCCATCTTTTTCTTTCCTTTACTTTTTGAGGAAAAAATAATTGATTTGAAAGTCCCTGATTGAAGAAGTACTGTGTTCACACCACCCAGACCACAGTGGGGTGAATTGCTGTTCTATGACCAGAGACTGTGCCATGAGAAGACTCCTAAATAGAGTTTCTCCAGCATTATTTTGACACAGACATTATAAATCTGTTGTGATCTCTTATTCACTCAATAGCATATTTACCACATATGAAAGAGTGCAGCCACCATAGACATTATTTTTATAAAGATACCTTTAGTCGAAAGGAAGAGATATTGTCAAATACTAAGAAAAACATGCTTAATGTCTTTCAAATACCTGATTTATTTCTTCTCATTCTGATTTTGCTTTGAAAATCAAGCCATGATCCCCAACCTTTTTTAACATCTTGATCTTGCAGTGTCAGGACTTTGTTACCACTTGAGTTTCTGGATCTAGTGACACTGCTGTCACCATTAGATACTCCTTTACTTATTTAAGCATCAGCATTCAAGGATTCAAACTGTGCAGATCAGAATCACACTAAATTTACTCACTTTTTATTTGTACTTTTAAAAACTATACAAAGAATATGGGAAAGCAGAATCAGACTCACAACCTCTGTTGATTACCAGGAATGAAGCATCAGAGCAACTTTGAACAGATTGAGTGCAGAAACATTAATTGTTTTGCAAGACAGCTAAAATTAATCCAAGATACTTTATTCAAATTTATGTAAATGCCAGCAGATATGATTGACATGTGAAGAACATTTCACATTTAGTCTAGTTAAGAAATCTCCATCATGAGCATAATGCCATATGGCATTATTTCCATTTATTTCTGCTATTTCCTTTCAATGGAAATTTTGAAAGCCAATCATATATTCTACATCTATATTCTGCTGTCATCTTTCATTGAAATATGCACTGCAGATTCCTCAATGGCATAGTTACCTGATAAAGCTGGTGCAGGAATGTCTCTGTCCAAAAGTAACAGGTCATTATAGATAAATCCTGACAATTTTCAGTGCATTGGTGGCATGATTTAAATTATAAACCAGGCTTCCATTTTGATTGACACAAAACCCCTAATAATACCTACTTAACTTCACTGTGCCAATTCACAGAGTAAGCTTAAGTTTCATTTTGAATATATGTGTCCACAAAGTTGCATGCTTTCATAGGCACACACTTCACAACTTTGGCTCAGACAATCAATATTTAAAACTAAAAGCATGAATTACAAAGCATTAGACACCATGCAAAACACAAGGAAAAAAATAGTCTATTAAATTTTTGTTGATTAACTGAACCCCACATTGTAATTGGAAAAAAAGTTTAATTACCTAAAAAGTGATCATTGGCCAGATTTCTTTGTTCCATCAAAAAAAGATACCTTAAAAATCAAAAAAAGATACCTTAAAAAGCATTTAATGTACCATGACCCAAATTATTTCTCGTGTTAATCTTTTAGAACAAGATCCATATACAGAAAAATATGAGACTAACACTCAGCTTCCTTATTACTCTTACCCTGGTGCAGAAAAAAAACAAACACTTTGAAGATGTACATCAATGTCCTAATTTTACAGTTTGGAAGACAAGAAAAAATATGTATCTGGTGCCAGCAGAAAGCTAAAATACTGTCTACATGGATGTGAATTTGAAGTTTATTGTTTGTTTAGTCACAGCAACATGTCATCCAGGAGTTAAAATACTTGGTAGTGACAAAGGTGCTGGTAAAGTAAGATAAAGCCTGACTGACAACAATTCTACTATGACTACTTCATAAATAAATACGTTCTCTAGAGTCTGGTTTTAATAACATATTTAATTTGCAGTGTAGATTGAAGCTGCAATATTTATCTTTACTTGTGGCACACTTCATTCTCCTCAGATCAGATCATGCTTATACAAATCTACCAGGAGTTGAACAGGATTTTCTCAGAAATCTTGATTCTTTAAATGGAAAAGGATTAATTTCTATTCAAAGTTATTATCTACCTTTGTAGTTGATTTAAATAGACATACTTGAAACATGAAGGGTTTGCTGCTGATTAAGGTTTCATTTTTAGTGTGCTCAAATCAAGAGAGAAATCCCACATGCTGAGAATACTGAACCCTGCAGAATCATTTAAAAAAACTTACCTCAGGTACCAAATCCACTTTTTGTGTGGTTTACAGGGTACTCAAATCTGTAAGGTGATTGCCTAATACAGGTGTTGGACTGAAGAGGAACATCCCACAGGAGGGTGACTGCCTTGTTTCTTTGCATCATTTCAGATTAACTCTAGCAGAGACATCCAGGAACAAACAGCTGGTATCAGTGCTGTCTTGGCCAGAAAAAGGACTGAGTGAGCTTCCAGATCTCTACTGCATCTAACTTTCAGAATTACATAGAAAATGAACCCATTGTGGATAAGGGATTTGTACTGGAAGTCAGGTGGGATTGAACCAAATAAGAGAGGTTTTGCCTGTCTTTCAAATGCTAGGAACTGAAATTTCCTTTTGATCTTTTATTTTCTAGCTGGGAAATACAATCAAATGTTGAATGGCATCTATTTCCACTCTGGAGAATGGGGAAGAGGAGTATAATCTTTCTACATTGAGACTAACAAATCAACAAAACAATAAGACCAACTGCTTATCTTTTGGAGACTATTCTGTCATATGTACATAATGATTCTTCTAAGCTTTCCGTTTTCAGCTGACCCATGTTGAATAAGCATGCATGGAAAATTACTAGAAAAGATTTCTTTCTCCTCTTAGTCATAGGGCTGAAAGGGAAATGAAATGGGATGAGTAGTCAGGTTATTGCAGAGTTTTTGGAAAGTACGTGGATAGCTACACAGAAAGTGCAAGGGCAAAGCTCTCCTTCTACCCTTCTCCTTTTTTAAAAAAGTTTTATTTTAAATAAAAAGTTGCAATTCCAGATGCTCCCTGAATTTGCATAGATTTCTGTCTTGCATATATCTGAATTTTTTTAAAAAATGAATTATTTGATAACCTGAGTAATTTCTATTACCTTTTTCAAAATTCCACCTGGGTTAGTTACAATGGAGAAAAAGTTAGTTATTGTGGAGACCATCATCTTCCAAACTGCCTTTGATGAAGTATAAGGACTTGTCCTTACTTCTAAAATAAATCCTTCTATTGTATTTGCCTTTGATATGTATGCCACAGATTGGATGCAAGACAGCTGTATTTTCATTATGAGTTACATTAAATTTCATCCAGGATGTCTGGATTATCACAGCTTTTTTTTTTTTTTTCTTTCATATATGCACTGCAGTTTCACTTTCTCAGTAAGCTTTGCAGATGAATCTGCAAACTATGCTTCCATGTTGGCTAAAGCACACACAGAAATTCGGTTTCAGTATTAACATAACTGAAAATTAAATTCATAGAGAAACCCAGAAAAAACATCGGTCACACTACAAGCAAAACACTGCAAAGAAAAATTTGCTGAAAAAAACCTCAAGACCTACAAATTATTATTACTTCTAATTTGTGAAAGTTACTGAGCTGCTAAAATTTTTGAGCCCCACTAGTGAATTGTGATTATGTCTGTTGTGGTATGATAAAAAGCCAAAAGATTCTAACTAGGAATAAGAAAGCAACCTTGCTTCCAAAAAGCTGGAAGCCAATAATTAAAAGAACTGTATAGTTCCTTTCAAAGAACATGGCATCAGTGACTACATTGTGACATGATTGTATTCAATCTCTGCACATCTAGTGCCCCCCAACAGGATATTTTCATTTTTGGAATATGAAAAACACCATGTGCTTTTTACTTTCACATTCTGAGAAACACCAAATTGGAGGCCTCAGTGCAGTTGCATCAGAAATTGTTTAAATTCCCTGCAAAATCAGTCTCAGAATAAAGTTTTCATTACCAATGAAACTCTAGCAATGTGCAAGGCATCTTCAGGGTTCATCACAAGAAGAAAACAGAATTTTTCCATGTTATGTATCCAAAATGAGCTGGGTTTTTTTCAGACACCACGGTTCAACATTTATCTGTCACCCAGGGATTAAAAAACCTAAAGAGAAGGTAAGACAGTTTCTATAGGTCACAAGTAGGTGACTAGTTATAAAAAGTAACATCTTAAGGTCTGAGGATTTATTTGTGATAATATATCATGAGGTATTATTTTGGGATCAAAATTATGCAGCTTGAAAATTCTTGTTCAAAGGTGTAAGAATCCTGAGTATTCATGACTCATGTTGAAATTTGTCAAAACAAGACTCACTCTTACATTTTTAATGGATTTTTCTTGGGACAACTGCAAGCAATTTTGTACTTTGGCAAACCATATTTTTATGGAGCTGCTTGAAATTGGAACAATATGACTAATTTAAAGTCAAAAGTAAGCTTGAATCAATCCATTAAAATTCTCTAATGAATAAATAAGTGTAATTTGAACAAAAGCTGACAATGAAAATTAATATTTCAGGTGAGTAATAGTCTGCACAAGCTTGAGAAGGACTCTGCATCAGAGCTGCTTAAAACACCTTCCACAATACAACAACCTGACTAGAAATCAGAATCTGCACATATTTATCTGTATAACACTAGGCATCTTTTAGGATAATACAACATACAGTTCTTTTCCAAACTAAATGATTTTATAATTTTCAATATTTCCAATTTCTCTATTTTGCCTCTGTAATTCCACATTTTTACAGTTACACATATTTCTATTTCATCTTAACAACCAAGAGAATCCACCAAATTGAATAAAGAAATTCTACGCTATACAGATTTTTAACTCAAAAAGCTGTACTACCTGAATATACTTACTTTTAGAAACAAATAAAAGCTAAAATATTTCTATAAACATGTGATTAGTAATGTGTCTTTTTGGCAAAATTTAGAAAAAACTTATAAAGGTTACTCTTCTCAATCTCTTAAGCTGACATGATTCTTGTGTTCCTGTTTTCTACAACAATTTTCACTGACATTTCAAGTATTTTATTAATTTTCTTGTGGAGAATGATTCTTTGGGAAAGGAGAAACCTGAGTTTCAGTGTGAGATGTCAATGAACCTTGACTATTTTTTTGCCTTTTTCTTTCCTTGTGACTTTTTTGCTTTTACAAGTGATTTCTTATTTTTTCCTGTGTGGGAAATCATGTTCACAGTTGTAGATAAGTGAAATTGTTGCAGGTACTCTATTCCTCTAAACAGGACTGAGCTTTTGTTTTGTGAGGAAGTGGTATACTTTGAATTCATAGAATCACAGAATCATACAATGATTTGGGCTGGAAGGGACCTTAAAGACCATTTAGTTTCAACCCTCTTGCCATGGGCAGGGACACTACACCAGGTGCCCCATCCAACCTGTCTTTGAGCACTTACAGGGATGGGATGTCCACAACTTTTCAGGGAAAACTACTCTTGTGCCTCAGCACACTCACAAATTTACCAGATATGTTACAAATAATAAAAAAAAAAAAAAATCTTAAAATATAGAAAAATATTTTATGCAAAATATTTGCTCAAAAGCCTGAGCTTAGTTTTCCAAATTATTTTTAACACAACTGCCTCCTCATTAAAATTGTTTTGTTTCTTCATTTGGGTATTGTTTTGATTCCAGTTACTTCAGTATTCTGGAAATTTCCTCAAGTACTGGAACTTCACAGAAGTGCAGGCTTTGAGGATTAAAAAAGTCTTACAACAGGACAAAGGTTTTTTAAGCAGCTTCATATTTCCTAAGAGCATTACTTATTTACATGTTAATTGAGTTGAAACTGTCATGGACAATGCAAAATCTGAATTCACAAGGTACACCTGGATAGTCAGTATTCCCTCTGATGCTCAGTATAAAAATTTAAATGGAAGAGAATTGAACTGGAGACTGAGCCTCATTTTGTTCGCATGACAAAGTTATCTTTTCAAACAGATCAAAAGATTGACTCACATTTTGTTTGTCTCAGGAAGCACAGAAGCATTACTGATAAGAAAAAAACAGGAAATGGGAATCTTCAGATACTATACTGCAGATTTTGTATTTGAAAGGATTTATGAGTCAAATTGGTCAGATTCCTGAATGCTTTGTGGCATTACAGACTTTAAATCTTCTACATTGGAACTATATGGATCCCACATTTAAATCTTCATCCTTCTGCCTAGCAGTTCTCACATTGCAGTTGCAGAAGAGGCAAAAAAAGAAAGTACATCTCTAAATTGAAATACTTTTCTTTATATAATAATACATGTGCATATAGTAGGTTACAGATGAGTGGTGTTCCACAAAATCTAAAGTGGAATGAAAAATATAAACACATGTTAATTTCTTTACTATTATTATAACAAATGGATTATTTCACACATCTGTTTTCTGAAACTAAAGCCAAGATATATTCAGGATATCTCCAAAATGAAGACATATTCCCTTAAATGAAAATTATTTTTCACTTATCTGTCTATATAGACAAATTGCAATTTTATTGCTCTGAATTTCTTGTTCATTTTTCCTCCATCTGGCACTGAAAGAAAAACAGAAGTTAAGAAATAAATTTCTAACCCCTTATGATGACTAAGTATGGATGATACGTTGATGTCTAAGGACATTTATTTGCTCCACAACAGAGAAATTTACTACAAATGTCAAGAATTCTTGGGAAGCTGGCCCCAAGGACAGGATCCCTCATCATACCTGGTAAAAAAATACCCTGTGACCAGGGCATTGCTGGGTCTCTCCAGTAAAGGCTTCAACTGAAGTCTCCTCTGGACACCAATGCAATTCCTTTAGAGAGACATGGGCAACACATCTGCAAGACTTTAATCAAAAAAGCTGTAGGCACTGTAAAGGTTGATTCCACTCATACAGTTTGGAAGCAGACACATAAAACACCATATTTTTACAGAAGATGAGGCTTATGGAAATAAATATCTGCTATCTCCACACTACCCACCTGGGCAGTGAACATCCCAGAGCAGGTAATGTAAGGAAAAGCCCAATGTGCAGCTCCCTCACAGCCTCTCCTCATTCCTCCCTTACCTCTAACCCTCTTTTCTCCCTACCCCACCCACACTGAAAGGCTGGAAAATCCATGTAACTCTGACAATTTGTGGATACAAGACTCAGAGCAGCAGCAGCAGCAGCACATCTCACAGTCACTCCATCGCTTGAGCAGCTCTTTGGTCTCTGCCTCTCCATTACTCTGCCCATCCTTCCCCACAGCCTGGTTCGTGTTTCCCAGTTATCTCATTTTCTCTCCATGCTTTGAACCCCAAAGTAAAGGGAGGGAACACTCACAAACAAGCTGCATTTAGCTGAAGTAATTGGCTAAATGCCAATTACAGTTTGACAACAAAAGCAGCATAGTGGAATTTTCCAGCTTAATGTAAAACTGATGTGGTTTAAAGACAAAGAAAAACAGCAAAAAAGATTGTGCAGCAAACACAATGCAGATCTACATCTTGGATTTTAATCATGAGTTGAACATACATCTTCAGAGACCCTGGGTGAGTCATTTCATTTCCTGGTGCATTAATTTCCCAAATTCCAATACATAGATAACATGTAATGAATGCTGCTGTTTCAAAGCATGTCACAATAATCTCTGTAATGAGGTTTTTAATAGAAATTGCTATAAAACTGTGAAGAAGACACACATATAGGGCCAGCAAATATGTTAATACCCTTTTTAATGATTCATTAGTATTTAAGATTTAACAGATAGGCCCGTAGCAATAATGCAGATAGAATGGCAAATACTCTTGCAGAAGGCTGTTACCACCAGAAAGTAGGGCCTCCAGTGTGGCAGTGCAGTGAAGCAGGGGACAGCCAGAAGGGGAACCACCCCAGCTACCACCTCTACCTGCAAATATGACCTACTGGAAAATGGCCAGGACAAAAAGGCTCTCTAGTTTTAATGACTTTTCAGTGAAGGTAATGAAGCGAGTGGGCTGGGAGGAGGGAGGCTTTAGCAATTTCACAGCTGCTGTGAGCACCCCTGTAGTTTGGCTCTAACCCCGTAGAAGCCAGGTTAAATAATCCTGAACAAAATTCACTGACAAGGCATGTCCATTTTTCTCTATGGATGAGGGTTCACCATCAAAAAAAAAAAAGCCTCTTTTCCATGCACCATTCTCTGTTTCTTTAAGTGGGATGGCTGAGTGGTACAGATGGATAAAGGCACAATAATTCAATTTGCTTTTTCCTATTCTGCATCTAATTTAATTGCCCAACCAAGCATCCCAAACTGGATTAATCTATAGGCATGCCTTATTCAGTAACATAAGGGATGGGATTCTTCTATATGTATTCTTTAACCTCAAAGGAGAAGTTAAATGGACATTAAACATTGCAACAAAGAGAAAGAAAATACTTGTAAACTGAATATAGTCACATTTTGGGGATATCTTGATAAAGATGATTCAGAGAGGGAAAAAATTTAATCTAAAAGACTTCCAAATGTAGAAAAGTAAATATAATCTACCTGCTCAACATCTCAATAATATTTTATTGTTTAACATCCTGGCCTGCAAGAGGTAATGTTATATAAATCATAGTTTAATGATAACGTGCTTCAACCAAAAAAAAAACTTGCGAGAGGATATGAATTCAGGAATCTTAAATAAATTTCAATGTTTCTGCATTTTTGGAACTGGAAAATTACTTATATTTTTGGCTATTCATCCAAACATAACACTGAATACCTAAATGTGTCAGTGTTGTGGTTTAGGAATGTACTCTCCAATTTAGTGTTCTCATTCTTCCTTTCCCTGACTAGAGAGGAGAATTGAAGGTACAAAAGGTAAAGACCAGGTTTTGAGGCAAGAACAGTTTAATGGAAACAGCAACGAGGTAAGAAAGCAAGCAGTAGCAGTGTAACAATATTAATAGCAAAAGTGTACAAGAGAGGTGAGCAATTCACATGCAAATGCTCCCCAGTACACCTCCCCCTAGGTCTGGGGTAGCACTCAGACAACAGCAGCACCTTTACCTTCCCTCGAGTTCCTGTCACAGCAGTGAAACTCCCAGACAGAGCTCCAGGTGTCCCCGGACATATGAGCACACCTGGAGGGATATTCAGGGGGTGTAGTGTAAGTGACCTTAAGTCAAGGTCAGAGGGCTCCAAGAGTGTTTTCCCAGTTTTTTCAGGGAGGTGACACGTGTGTAAGGATCATCTGATCCTGTGAAAGACTCATTTGGTCACAGATGGCTAACAGGGAGGTGTACTAAGGTATAAACGCCCAATTTGAGCAGCAGAAGAAGCACCACTGCTGAGCAGTTTTTGAGCACCATGAAAGACTACAATTCTCAAGTGAAAGGTGTGTTGGTAGGAGATAAGAAAGTTAGTGGAATTTTCAAATTCAATGTGTAAGTAACATTCCTTTGATGTGTTCATGGCTTGAGTGTCTTTCTGAGAGGACTTGTCGAACTTGAGGGAAGTTCATGTGCCAAAGTACAGAGGGGAAACCCTTAAAGCTGCCATTCAGATTATTCCTCTGCATTTATATAAAACAGAAGTGAAAAATAAGATGGAAAGGTAAAGATACTTGTGAAGACAATTAAAAAAGCCAAGTTAATCTACTTAGAAAAGTAAGAGAAAACCCCAACAAGTTAACCAAATAAAATATCCATTTAATTTATTTGGTTTATATTTTTAATTACATGATTGCTCAGTTATAAAAATTATCACCACACATTTTTCTTCAATCTAAGTCTTTTCTGTTCAGTGATCTTGGCTGTAAATGCCTGCTACTGATTAGGTCAATAAGGTATCAGAAATTTCCTTAGAAATATTTTATGAATTCTTCTATTTTTGTAATAGGAAGATAGTACTTGATTTGTATTCAAAATCTGTTGACAAATAGTCTATGCATTTCTATCCAGTAATAGCATGAAAGATATGAAAAAACCTAATTCATGAAAGAAAGTAATAAAGTACATTTGGCTCTCAAAGTATATAATGTACTAATACTGCATAGTTGACTATGTTTATTTCTTTTAGTCTAATTTTTGTATTCCTGCTGAAAACTCTGATTTTTATTAGTTTGCAGAAAGTGATGTTTTTTGCAGAAACATGAAAGTTTCATTTTAATGAAAGAAAAATCAAAGCAGAAAGGCTTCAAGGTTCTCATAAAAACCTGTTTTTGAGACAGGAAATGGAACTTTCTGTTTCAGAGTACAGCCATCCTCATACACCTATTATTTTTCCTGAATTATCCTTTTCCTTGTTCAGCTCTTCTTTTTATGTCCATCATGCTGCTAAATAAACCATGTTAAAAGTCTGTTTAAGGAAATGAATGGTGCTGGATTTTTTTTCTCTTTCTGGCATAGGTTTACAGAGCTGTCTCCTAAACAATGCCCTCAAATACAGCCTGGATGTGAAAACTTCCTGCAGAGGCAGCTCACTTAAGCTTGAGGCTACCTTTAATTATAGGATGTTGCCAAATCAGAAATTTCTCCAAAAAGACCTCTAACTTTTATAAGGCAAAGAAGCTTATGAGTTTTTAAACGGCCTTCAAATTCCAGGCAGAAAATTAAAGAGGGCAAACTGCATCTTTCCTTAACCTTTTTTGTTGATGCATCCAGGACCTGATGGGTTATGTTTCTAGCAAAGTTATCTCATGTATCTTTTTTTTTAAGCCCTTTTTGTAGACCTTTACTGGGAAAAAGCTTGGTAAACAGCAAAGTGACAGTAAATCATTTTCTGATAGTGCACGCCTCTCCTACAAGATAACTCAAGCAGACAATGCTATCTAAAATCTCCCCTATACACACACACACAAAGAGAAAATTAAAAGCAAATAAGACCACCCCAAACTCCAAATGCCAAAAGCAAATATCCTGGTTTCCAGACAAATGCCTTGGCAGAATGCATGGCCAGTTCTTTCTTTTCCAATTTTTGATCTTGGACTGGCTTTAAATGTTGGGAGAGGTACAAAACCAACCACTCAAACTGACTCTTGAAAGATGTATTCCTTAGAACAAGCAAGTGAACTCTTCCCCTAAAACTGCCCTGCTTAGAGAGATTCAAAATAAAACAAAAAAATAATTTGCTAGCAAACTTTTGAATGAATCATGAACTAAATGCTGCCCACTCTAAACCTTGGAAAGGGTTTAAGAATGACACAGAAAGTATGTAAAAACAACTAAGTCCTATAAAATCTTAACATATGGAATGAAATGAAAAAATAGCCAAAATCTAAAGAAAAAAATAAAATTCTGTTATATTCTAATGATTTAAACTGAATATTTTTGGCATTAGTTTGGGATTTTTTTACCTTTCCACCCCAAATTCACTGCTAAATGACAATCTTCAAGTAAAATCCCCTTTCCTACTAAAATTCAGAGCAAATATTTCTTGGGTGCGTTATTGCTTTGCAGAACTTCATGTGTTTAGACAAAGCCAAACAAAACAATAGAGCTTTCACAAGAAAGGTATCACAGTCAACTGTGAATAAATGGAGCCAAACAATATCTGCTGCAATCATTTGTTTTAGTAGAAGTAGCATAATAGTGCCATAAACTCCTGCCTGATCCACTCCAACATATTACATCTGTTTCATGCTAATGTAGTTCCAAAGAAATCAATGATATTTATACTGACATAAAGCTGTGGTGAGTCATATTCTTATATTTTGCTCACTGATTTCTAAGAAGCTGAAAGTTTAATTACATCTATATGGCTTTAGAGCACCCCTTGAAAAATCATCACAAGTTATTTTAGGCAGATTTAACTTCAAAATTGAATTATTGTTCCTGCATAAATCATGTGTTTCATTAGTATATTCATAACAAGAGGCACTGACTGATCTGTGACAGATTTTTTTTAATTACATGTATGATCCATAGGAATCATAAAATGCCTGTGAAGTAGCTTATCTGCTCAAAAAATGCTTATCAACTATCCCAACATAACTGTCCTAACATATTGATGCTGCCATCAGTCAAATTAATTTTGTTCTTATTTTGATGGTTGAATTCAACTCCCCTTAGTCGAAATCATGTGCGAAAGTCCCTGTCAGTTTAAATACAACACATACAACTTTTAGAGACTAAGCCAAACAAGGAGTGGCTGAGGGAGCTGGGCATATCTATCCTGGAGAAAAGGAGGCTCAGGGTGAGAACTCACTGCTCTCTACAGCTGCCTAAAGGAGGGTGCAGCCAGGTGGGGGTCAGCCCCTTCTTCCGGGCAACCAGGGACAAGGATGAGAGGACATGGCCTCAAACGGCACTGGGGGGGTTTCAGGTTGGATATCAGGAATAATTTCTCGACTGAAAAGCTTGTTAAGCATTGGAACAGAGTGCCTAGGGAGGTGGTGGAGTCACCATCTCTGGAAGTGTTCAAGAGCTAGCTGGACATGACACTTACTGCCATGGTCTAATTGACGGGATCGGTCAGAGGTTGGACTTGATGGTTTGGAGGTATTCTCCTGCCTAAATGATTCTGTGATTTTGAATCACTCAAAGTGGAAAAATTGCATATATTTCTTTTTGTACAATTTTGTCTTTCTATTTTTAGTGGATTTTTTTTGTTAATTTTGTTGAAGTGAAAGAGATTTTTTTGAAAGGTTGTGATCTGAATTTATGATGTAAGAGTGTTCAAAGCTTACCAGAATAATCTGATGCATTAGGCAGGCAGGAATTTCAACAGATAATCTGAGGTAAACCTTGCTTAAAGAGCTGATTCTCTGCATTTAGGTTGATCAGAAATAACCAGAGACCTTGACTTAGCAGGCAGTTAATTCCTAAAGATCTAATGGGAGTGGGCTCTTCATGCACAAGATGGACTGTCACACATACAAATTCATGTTTTGGTTTATTCACACGAACATCCTGGATCCAGAGGTCCAAGGTCAAATTTGCATTTTTCAGCTTACTTGCATCAGTGTTTGTATCCACTGCAGACCATATCTATTTTGTAATAGAAAATGTGGTTATATAGAATTACTATTTTGTCTTATTATTTTTGAAAACATAAAATGAAAGATACAGTGTATTGTTATAGTTGTATTTTGTCCTGGATTCCTGGGATTGAAAGCTTTGTGTGCTGTTTTCTGTTGTTTTTGTTGTAGATAACAGTAAATTATATTTCCTGGACATTATTTCTCAGTCTCTCTGGACTTTTTTTATACAATTGAATCAACTACATTTTTTACCAAGGCTGATACAAATACATATGTGTACCCTTTTCATTAAAATAGAAATGCTATTGCTTCAAATATATACATATAAAATAAAATACAGAAGATGGCCACTGAATGAATTCATCAAATGGTGAATAAATACTTCTGAGAACAAAGATACAATTTTCTGGCATTCTCATATTAGTCATTCTTTGTACAGAATGTGTAGCATTAAAAGCATCTTAAATAGTTCACAGTTTGCTTATCTGAAAAAATTTTGACAGTATTAATTACTTCTGCTAACAGAAATTTCTGACACTTACATGACCTTCTGCTGCATGTGAAAAAAGCTGTCATGGTTGGTGTACTGATATATGCAAGGAAAACACCAGGAATTGAAATTAAATGAAACTAGAAAAATCTTATCCTTAACATTAACAAGTAAGAATTTCTAATGACTTCACCAAAACATAGATTATACTTCTTCTGGTTGGGGAGGGGGGATTTCTGTGTGAAGAAATGAACTCCTTTGGAATGCAGCTATAACATGCACTGATGGCAAGAGAGAAGCGGCCATGAGGGGCCAGCCTGGCTCATTGTTTCATTCATGTATGAGAACGTGAACACACACATGGAAGTCACCCCTTTGTGCTGCATTTGTAAGACTGTCACTATTAATAATGTTACACTGCTATAAAAAAAAACCCAAAAACCCTTAACCTACTGTAATTGGCATAAAAAGATGTAATGTTCAAGTGGTTGGCACAAAATTGCCATTCTTAGATTAAGAGCCAACAGAAGTTTCTAGAACAGCAGCAATGGAACATCTCTTAGGTGAGAGACACAACAAACACAAACACAACAAAAAAAAAAAAGGAAAAAAAAACCAAAAAAGGGAAATAAAGATTAAATCATTAAAATTCAAACAAACTGTGATGGCACAGCGAGCTACTGTTTTCACAGGTGTTTATATCTATGGTTCTTTGAACTGATTTTCTACAGTACCAGGCTATTGTACCTGCTTTAATGTTTATTTTTATCTCTTTGTCTCTCTTACTTCTTCTTTTCTATTTCTTTAAATGTTCAGTTTTACTTAGATTTCAAACCCTTAGTTTTGCACTTACCACCTACCACTCCTTCCAAGTGGCCATTTTATCTCTAACTGAAAATAAAGTTAATCCAGCATGTTGGAGAGAAAGCACAGAACATTTTAGAGAATCACATGTAAAAGTGCGTAGGCTGTTAAGAATCTTTCTTTTAATACATTATGGCAAATACACTCCCAGCACAGGATAAGGAGATTTGTTACCATTAAAAGGTATTTCAGTTCAGAGAGAGAATAAAATAATCCACCCCAAAGAGCTGTGTTCTGGGTGATTACATTTTGACCTCAATTCCTGCTATATTCCCTTGTGACTTTGTCCATACAATAATGTTTCCCCCACTGGGACCTAGTCGAACACCACCTAAAATTAGATTTTTCTATTGATTTTTATGGTCATTTGCTTCTTACAAGCAGTTGTTTATATTTCCAAAAAATAAAAATAAAAAATTTCCATGCTCACTGTTTGTCATACTATATTTTGAAAAACATCTTGCAGAAATCCCACAATGTTAAATTGCATGTTTAGCCACGTAGAGACTCATTAATACTCATAAAATAATACAAATCCTTATAATTCATTGTGCTAAACTTTTTTTCCTTATTTTATTTTTACAGGATGCAAGCTTCCTGTTGTTAAGAAAGTTAGCTCTAAAAACATCATATAAAGGTATTTTTGTGACTCCTCAATCATATTGCCCTATAAAACCGTGTAAAAATGTTTGCTTTATTCAAAATGGAGAGGGAGGATTGCTGTCATTACATGATAAATGTAAAAAATGGAAACAATACCATAGCAAATTACTGTCAACAAACACCCAAAGTGAGCAGAATTTTTCTCCTATAAATCTCCTGAGACAGGGAGGCAGCCACAGGCTGCACAAAACTCCGAAAACTTCCCACAGGCTGTGCTAGCTGCTGGCAACCTCCTGCTGTATGGCTCCACTCCTTCTCTTGTATTAATACACATTTTTTTCCAGGGATGCTTTGCAAACCTTTAATTATTGAAGAATAATTTTGGACAATGCAAGATTTTTCACTCCAGAGTAGCAGTTATTAGGTCAGAAACCAGCACGCAGGTAAATTTAATATTCCTTTTCTAAACTTATTTTTAATGCTGGAAACTGTACATCTTGCAGGCATGAAGCAACAACACCAGAGGTTCTAAGGAACAGTCTCCTGAGCTGTGGACTAATGAGCATCTGATGTCTTAATTTACATAAACAGATGAAAAATCACACCAAAACTTTCAGAAAAAAAATGAGAATTTCAGTGACACTGCTGTTACCTGCAGGAGCAGCTTGTGTTAGCCCTTGAAACTTCACAGTTATTTGCCATCTATGAAAAGCTTTGAAACTCCATAGCATTTAATCATATAGGCACTAAAGCCTGTTAGCAGATCTATAGGACTCACAGAATCATGAAATTGTTAGGGTTGGAAGAGACCTCTGAAGATCATGTAGTCCAACTTCTGTTCACCAAACTTGAGATTCAGGAAGGCTCTAAAGTTTAGATAGAGTAGTTTTAATTGGAAGCAACTAAAAGTTTTTATTCAGGTACTGTTACTCAACTGTGAAAAACATCTTTCTGGAAAAATATCCTAATGGGCAAGAAAAACTCTGACTGAGGAGGAGTGAGTCACTCTCCAGCTGCCACAGCACTGTAAGAAAGTTCTTCTGTAAATCCTCAGTTACAGAATCCTAGAATGAAAACCAAGAAGACAATTTTTCCTACCCTGATTTGGTGAAATCCACCTCAGAAGTGTAATCACTTTGAGCTTGTCTAAAAGACTTTAAACTTGCATTTATGTGATGAGCACTACTATGCTGACGCTTGCACCTTGATTAGTGTTGCCCCAGTTGAGGTGCATTTTTCTCAGCTCACCTAGGTGTCAATACAGATGACAACTGTATTCTCTCAAAAGAATTATTTTTGGGTTCATTTGTTTGTTTTGTTGGGATTGTTTTGTTCAGATAACTAACTGGTGTCTGAAGTCAGTGACAGCCTGTGATGCAGCATAACACAGAAAATAAACTGAGGATCTATTATCTTCTTGTTAAACTCAGCAGACATATCTAGATTGGTCAGAAAATTCTTAATAACATGCATTTAATTACCCTCTGGATCTAAAACACAGGCACAGGTGATCCTTTAACTCCTATTATGTTTAAGATACAGGGCCACAGGCTGAGGACATCCCCCTGTCTCCTGTTCTCTGTCTCTGTGAAGCTCTGCACTGCCACTTAGGGTTAGTGAAGGATATTTTGGTGAGGGAGAATATTTGGGTTTAAAAGCATTCCCATTTGTGTTTCAACTCCAGGTCAGTATTCTGAAGATATTCTCAACTAAGAAGCATTACTAAAGCTGAGTTTTTAAAGAAGCATGTGCAACATCAGTGGAAATTTACAAGTCACATATGTGAACTAAATCATGTATTACCTACTGTATGTGAAGCACTGGGAATTGCCATCCTGTGTTCTGCTCAGCAAAGACTGACATGTACATAGTAAATGTTAAGGACTGGGATCTAAAAACATAGAAATTTGTATAATAGGCCTGTTGGCAAGCAATCAAGAAGCTGGAATGATGACATAACAGCCAGACTGACCATTCAAAACAGGTCCATTTGTTTTATGAGGAATGAGGACATTTGTGAACCTGAGGCTGTAGGTTTGTTGTAAATTCAACACAGAATGACACTCTGTTTTGGATGCATGAAAACAGATGCTGTAAGAATTCTCCTCTTCGAGTGAAAATGCAACCGGTTTTTCCTTTTTTTTTTTTTTGGAAAAGGTTGTGGTGGCTTGAGATAGGATTGGAAGAGGACTGGAGGGGAACACACACTGAATACCAAACTTAATTGTAAAATCCCTACTGCTAATGTTCAGCACCTAAAATAGCAGTTACAAAAACAACGTGGGCCCAGGAACAACTGGAACTGAGGCCAGAGGGCACACACAGACCTTCAATCATGGGGCCAAACCCTTATGGGTTACAACACAGGGAGGAGACTAACCAGGTTTTAGGAATGCTCAGAGGCCATACAGAATTCCTGAATAAGGTTAGGTAATCAGAAAAGGATGATGATGATGATGATGAGGTGATAAATGTAGAATGCACATCTTCCACAGTGCATTCCAGGAGACAAGAGAGGAGCCTACAAAGACTGCAATGTTGTGAAACTGTATTTACCACAACACCTTCTCTATCCTAAAGCAATGGCAGCATGACAGCTGTCTCAGCAGTGGAGATGTAAGTCATTACTCCAAGAGAAATCTTGGAGAGAGTTGAAGGAATCACTTTTTTTTTTTTTTTTGTGCAGCCAGAAGAAACCTCAAGTGGAGTGCCCCCAAACTCCCCAGTGGACAGCAATCGCTGTGTGGCTGCTAACCATTTATTTTCTCCCTTGTAAGACATTTAAACAGTTCTCTGAAGGAAAAGCAGATTTGAGAAGCTGTCACAGCGGCTTCTACTTTACTGTGAAGGGAAATCCTTAAGAAAAGCTGGGCTGAAGTCTCAGTATAGAAAACTCCCCTCCCCAGTGTGGCCAGAACTGCTGCCACAAGCCCATAATTGCTGTAATTTGCAAGTTTGGTATGGAGGGGAATCAATGAAAAACATAATCCAGGGATGTGTAGTTGCTGAGTGAGGAGAATCCTTAAGTCCAAATTGCTGGAAGAGCAAAAAATAGTCTCTTTCTCATAAATGAAGTATTTTTCCTGAGGATTTTCAAGTAGGCTTGAAAACCTATTACTCAAAGGTTTGAAAACTTCATCAGTAAGTCATGACTAAATGTCTCTATTTGCATGAACACACACAATCAAAATGAGATTATTTAAACTTAATCTACAATTTTATACCACTTAAGTGAAAATTATTTCTGTGAAAGTTTTGAACATGCACTAGATGACACATCCATCTTTAAAAAGAATCTGAAAGCCTCATTTTTAGTGGATTTTATGCACTTACCTCTTTTGAATTTAATAACTTCTTTCTTGATTACAAGCTTATCATAAAAGATAAAGCAACCAAGTAAGAGCATGATATATCTGCAGTTAGTGCAAATGGTAATTGAATTCTCCTGGATAAGGATTTTCAAGAGACTCCTAGCTTGTATGGCCGTGCCTTTTATTAGGGAAACTAGATGAAAGTTGAATATTACCTTTTAAATTCTGTAGCTTATTCAGGAAATCCATCTCCACTTTAATTGCACCTTCCTCAGTAAGGTAAAAAATTATTTTACAGCTCTTAGAATTTGAAGGTATTTTAGGGTTTAATTTTCTCTGATAACACAATCATGACAAATACCCCATCCCTCAAGACAGATGGATCTCCAAAATTTGGAAATTAACTGTGAACAAATTATAAATATGTAAATCTTTTTTCATGAAAGCTATTAAGACTAAAGGTTATTGTGAGGCTATTTATGGTAGTCTAAGTACCAGTGAACAGGAAATATAGGGTCATTTATGTTTTATAACTCACTTTGTTAACAGGCAGGAAGGCAGGATGCAGCCACTCTATGTCCCCAGTTTTCAAGAAATAATGTGATAGAAGGAAGTGCTGTCCTTGAAATAAATACATCAAGCTCTATCCTTAATCTTGAAGGAGGAAAACTTATTCACAATGTGAATATAGATTTTAGCCCTTAGAGTTTAAAATTTGTTTTGATTTTTCAGAATAGCAACACCAAACATAAGTATTTACTTATGACATTGCTACAATTGCTTCCCACAACTGTAAATTTTTGCAGAATACTGAGAAGATAGCTCATTTTGGGATAAACACAGCACTACTTGTACTTTAAACCTTACTTGTTACAGTAAGGTTTACTGTAACAACAAATGTATTAGCAATTTGCACAGATTATTCAATATAAATAGTTTCTTCAAGAACAAGCACAACTTAGTAAAATAGAAATGTTTAGTAGAAAACAAGCATCTTCTACGGCCCTATTATATTGTACTTGCACTTCATGAAGTCATGCAACTGCAGCCCTCATTCCCCTCATGAGATCCATGTGTATTTCTACACTTTGAATGAGCTCTTGCCATCCTTGCAGGAGTGGTTACTTCCATTAGAATTAATTTGTCATTGAGTGCTCTCATTTTTTGTCTTTCTGAAACAGAAAAAATGGCAACCTGCATTTTGACTTAGTGACTGATTTATGGGAAGGATCATTGGGATGAGTATGCTGAAATATAAGTCTCTGAAGAGACTCAGCACTTGGTAGTCTGAGGGGAAGAGACCTGACACTACCCAAACCCAGTCAGCAAATGCTGACTTGCAGAGCTTCCTCCTGCCCTGCAGCTGAGTATTCTGCAACGAATACCCTGGGATGAGCATGACAGCACTTAACAACTCCTTTGCAAAATACAGTAATTACACAACATAGTAAGTGGAAAAGAATCAAGTTTTGGTGGTCCATCCTTGCTCTTTGTTTTGGTGGAGAGGTGGGAGATCAGCCAATAATTACATTTCTAGTAATGACTTAGCCCAGCCATAAGCATCACACTTACGGTCACAGCTGGATTATATCAAGTCACACATAATGTACAAGCACTGCTAAACAAATAAACCAAAATCCCCTCTGTCTGCAGAAAATACTTTCATAACCTGGTTAAGAAGAAAAGACTAATTACAGGTAGACATAGCCTTGATATAATTCTTAGAGATATTATTCAGGTTTTGCTTTGAATTAGCTCATTTCTATCTGACTCTGACATAAAAGCTTTATTTGTTGAGGGAAATTAAAACACCCTGTTAGATACTCCAGAAGCATGCCCAGAAAAACTGTTGTGCTTAGACACCAATGTCTTTTTCTCTTAAACTCCTTCAGCATAGAATACTGAAAAACTTATAACAATAGTTACATAGTAGCACTTTAAAGACAACACAGGCCCAGATAATGGGGGAGTGAGGAGGGGGAAGTTTGCCTCAAGCAAAAGACTAAGAGTCTTTAGAAACCAACAGATTTTGACTCAGATATTCTCCACATTATTGCAATGTAACTAAAATGAATGCACATACCCCATATCCTGAGTAAACTGCTACGTTAACACAACTGTCACCTCTAATATCAGCAATTGAGAGCTCTTTCTCAATTGTTAGCATCTTAAAAACATGCAGAAATTTGAACTGAAACTGAGACTGTAGTCTTCAAAACTACAACATGCACCTTGCTGTTCTGCATCTAATATGTGTAAGACACCGCAATTACCAACATTTTCAGTTCCTGAACCTGAGCATACGCTGCACATACCTGCAATCTTAAAAATTCCACTTCACTCACACCAAATGCAGATCTCAGTTAAAAAAACCCTTTATTAAGAACAATCCAAACCAGAAATTCCAATACTTTACAGTAACAACTTCAATGCATAATTTAAGAAAATTACTCATTTTTCAAATATTTTCCCCTGTACATTCCTTCTTCTGCATACATAGTTTACATAGTAGCATAATTATAATTTCCCATTGGGATTACAGTACTAATAGTTTGAACCAGATATAGTGCAATTTCTTTGGTTCAAAGTGATGAACTCCTTCCTCAAAGATTTCATAAGTTTCTTCCACAGCAGATATGTTGCAGCCACAGAAGTGTGAATCAGAAGTGCTTTCTTCAAATTTCAAGCTCTCATTGAACAAGCTGTTCAATTTCAACATGAGAAGTCGACTGATGGCCATTAACAATCAAGAAGCTGCACTGTATTCTCTAAGCATTTTACATGGTAGGCATGTAGTTCATTTTCTTCTGGCTGGGGAGAACCTGAAAGGGAAAAAACCCAAAGATTTGAATTTCTAGCTGAGTCTTAATATAAAATTACTTTTCCAAAGACTGTATTAAATGCCTTGCAAGAATTCATGCTGGTTTATGACCTTAACCTCTGTATTAATGAGTAGCAAATCAAATACTAATACTTTATGTTGCAAAGTCTGTTCTGGTTTTTCCCTTGGGTACGACAAAGCAGGAAATGTAAAATAACAATAGCCATGCTGAAAAATTTCCCCATGTCTACTCAGAATAAAAATCTACTTTATTAACCCAATTATCATTGTTAAGTGATCAAAGCTTCACAAGCGCAGACAAGTTGAGACCCTTAATGCAGGACTATTTTAATATCAATATTGATGACATATTACACAACTGTAAACTGTAACAATGACAGTTGCATAAAATCTTTTATACTCCTTATTTTTATATGCAAATGTTTATTGTATTAAAAAATCAACAGTTCAGTCTGGGACTTCATGTTCTACAGCAGTACACAAATAAATGGGGATTAATGTTATGAGGTGCTAGTCTGTAGAAGGTACATATTTCTACCTTGTTGATTCAACATGGTATTTTGACAAGTCTCTGATCAGCAGTAGTTCTGATATAAGGAACTATACAAACTTATCTATTTATTAGTATATTATCGGTATGTGAAACATTGTATTATGTTTAATGATTGTCTTAGGCTGAGTTTGAAACAACAGTACATTCCCAAAATGAATGAATTTGACTGACAGTGCAGGAAGAATAATCATGAGATGTTCTATCAAAAATACATCTCCTCCTTATTAGGATACCAACAATGGTCAATGCAGTCAGAAAGTTTGTGGCAAATCTGTTATGCAAACATATGGAAACCTGGATATTATAAGCCACTCAATCAATAAACCTATTTGAGTACACCCATAGAACAATTTAAATTAGTAAGAAAGCTCATTAGCTTAAAACGAGACATTATCATGTCTTTTCAAGATTAGACTAACTTGATGTGGCTAACAACCAATAAACCCATTATTAGCTACTGAAGCTCCACCTAAAGATCAGCGTTCGAACACTTTTCATAATGAATGTTCTTCAGTTAAAGCTATTGTATTGAAGCCATTTAGTTATGTTCAGTTACTTGAGCAAAAATCTCAAGCTTTCAGAATATCACTAACCTATGGCACAGTATTCTAATGCTGGAACAATGTTCTGATCCCTTCCCTATGTGGCTCAACACTCTGAGGCTGAACACAGACAAAGTCAATGCTAAAGAACTATTTTTCTTATCACTAAATTTAAGGTGTAAAGATTCACAGAACTGTACTGTGAAAAGGATTTTTATGCAAGCATGATCAGACCTATGCTTCAAAACTAAACTTGGCAATTACCTAAGGTGTATTTTTCTCCATCTCTATTTATAAGATGACTAACCATAAGCCACATTGTGCTTTTAGGGACAAAAGTATCCTTTCAAAAACATGTAGCACAACAAAAACTTACTGTGGTGATATAAACTGAAATGCTTTAATGATGGAAAAATTAAGAATTGGCATTAGGTAGAAGTAACACCTACTTTTCTTCACTAAAGAATAAGCCTCATCTATTCTTCTCCTTATGGATGGATTCTTCAAAGTCACTTTTGCCTGTAGGACACACAAACACACAAAACACTATGAGCTTTCTTGCCCACATGATCACAACAACGAAGTTTAAAAGTTACAATCATTCATCAGAGCGTGAGATGCAGAAATTTTTAGAATGAACATGACTGTATCATCATATAGACTGCATTTATATGAGTAGTCACAAATTACAAAGGACAAGCTGCTTCTATACCATGTTAATCTCCCAGCATCATCAGCTACACAATTAAAATAAAACAAAATGACTATTGTAAACTTTATTATTATTTACTTAGAGATTACTGTACTGTTTACAGCACAAAAGTATAACATTACAGTTTTTTCACAGAATTCTCAAATACTAACCTTCTGATAGTTGTGAAGCAAAGCCCAAAGCGAAGCTGCTCCTATTCTCTGAACAGCAGGACTGTTACTTTCCAAACAGGCAGACAGTACTGCAATTGCTTCATCTAATGAGACAAATAAAAGAAAAAAATGAAACCAAATGCATCTAGAAAATATAATCAAGAGCAATGTAAATATATTTACATGCCTCAGTAGATTGATGCTTGGAGTATACTTATTTTTATGACATGTACTCGTAAGGCAGAGGAATTACAGAACCTTTATTATCGATTAAATTTCAATATGCTCATAAAATCAGCACAGTACATTGAAACAAGTGTTAAAAACAATATAGCAAAACAAAACCAAGTAATTCTAAAAAGTTAAGACACCAGTGATAAAACATGAACATTACGTATAGCTATCAGCCATGCTTAGGGACTGAGTAAGCTGTGAAACTGTTTTATAACTCCCAGCAGCCACAATTAGAGCCACATCAGGATGGATATTAAGATGTTTCCATTTTCTTTCATACTTATTATGCAGATGATTTGCAACCAATGAGAAACATTTGTCACCCCACTGTAGGTGCCTTAATTTTCTAGCATTGCTCCGAAGCCAGTCTCTTCAACTTTGCTTGTTCACTTCACAAAAAAAAAATAAATCATAGATTATGTAACTGAATAATGTATATTTAATTAAGGCAGTAAATCCACATCTTAGGAAAAATAAAAAGCATGGATACTATGGAAAACCTGCTGAGAACCTAAAACAAAGACAGGAGCATTCTCTCTGCAATTAAATGAGGGAAAGAAACATGCCTTCTATAAACAACCAAGAAAAAAGTTCTGAACACATTATTACATTAAATATATATGCCATGGCATAACTTTATCACTACCATAAACGTTTTCTGTACATGATAGGACATAGAACAGTTTGTCTCAACATTCATGATTTACACAAGCTAAGAAAAGAAAGATAGGAACTTGAGTTATTTTAAACTGACTGACACAAAGAATTCTTCAACCCTCACTGAAAAACTAGCTCTGAGAAAACTGCAAAAATCCTTTCATGCATAACGTGTTATTATATCCAAACGACCTGCCTAACTATGAATCTTGATTTTCTTTTTAAAACTATTTATTTGCTTTTACTTTTATTATATCTTATTGTAATTGTCTCTCTGCCAAAATATGTATTCCATAATGACTTCTAAAAAAATATCTTTTATAAAAATGCTTTTCTAAAATACAACATTGCATTCTTGGTCAGTAACCCAAACTGCCATGAAGATATAGTCTTCTGGAAGCCGTGATATTTTCAGAGAACAACAGTTTGCATACCCTTCAGATACTTACCATTACCTAATATCTTTGGTTTATTAGCTGGACTAAAACACATGTTATGTAGAATAAGAAGTGCTAGATGTTGGCTGGTCTTGTGCTTGTATTTACACATTTCAATGATCTGGTCTAAAAACCCATTTATCTTCATGACCATCTGTTGTCCATCTTCTCCAAAAGATATGTTGAGCAGCAGCTTTAGCCAGAGAGTAGACACATTACCAGAATTTTTATTATTTCCTTTTGGCAATGAAAGAGATAAAAAGTTCTGCAGGAAGTTACTCTGTTAGAAGGAAGAAAAAGGGTTTTAGAATTCATAGTATTCCATGGCTTGTCTGCTGTCGTTTGACCTTCCAATCTATGTACTTGACCAAACACTACTATTGCTTAATTTACACATTACAGGCAACCCATTATTAGTCAGCAATTTTTGAAAAAAATTACATATGAAAAATAATTTACTGCATGTTTAAGAAGTTAATATAACATACATTCTCTTGCAAAATAATTTATGCAGTGTAGATACATAAAAGTTGATCCAACACAATATATTTCTTTAAAGGCTAATTCCCACCACTACATAAGCTTTTTGCTTTGCACTCAATGTTTCTACTCAAAAATAAGCTAGCAACATTTTAAGTGAATCAATGCACTACTTAGATAATGTATTCTCAATTCCTTACTTATTATTGCATGCTATCAACAAATGTTAAAGGTATCACAGAATGCCTCAAGTTGGAAGTGACTCATAAGAACCTACAGCACTACTCCTCCCTTCACTGACAGCCAGAGGAATGTCCTCTATTTTTGTAAGCTTTGAAGAAAAAGAACTGTGCACTGATATGACATATACTATCTCAGGGTTTGCTTCCACTTTAAGGAGATTCTGAGAAGATGAAAATCTATTCCCTTGCTGCAAGAGGGAGGTGTTCTAACATTCTAAATTCCTCTAAGGAAAAAGTCCTTGACTAAATATTCCCAGCCTCACTGAATCTTGACAACATATACAAGCATCTGGTTGAAAGCAAGCAACCCAACACACAAACTCATTGTGGTTTTCTTCATGTGAATATAATATTGGTAATTTAATTCTCACAGAGGAAACTGGTTATTCAATATTGCTTACACTTATGAAAGCAGAGCCCAAGAGAGAGAAGGAAGTACTATTACACTAGAGTGAAACTCTGAAGATTCTAAAAGCAAAAACAAATAACAGCTACTGTGGAAGAGATCTCAAAGTCTTTGTTTCTATTAACAAAGTTTTAGCATTAGCCACTTTGTAATGGTATGACTATGCTTTGCATAATTACCATCAAAAAAAAGATCTACTTTCCCCTGCATTGCTAACGGGTAATTAGGTCCAAGAACAGAGCATTGCTAACGGAGATCAAAATATTTTTTTGCAATTAATAAATTACTATAAAAGATGCTAGAAAGAAACATTCTTTTTATCATTTTGGTTGTTTTAGCTTATCATGTCACTACTACAGTTGACTTTCTACATGGTCTGTCTTCTTTCAAGGTCTGAATTTATTTAAATGGTCAAAGTTTAAGGGAAACAGATTTTTCAAAGCATATTTGATGAAACAGAGTAAGAATCATTCTATATACAAAATATAAAAAGGAAAAAGATATTACATACATTTGTGTAATTAGACTAGATTTTTATCTAACATCCAATCATTGCTTTTTTTCCTAAAACTTTCACAAAGTTATGTTTGCCACAGTATACCTAATGATTTACACAATATTTAATTTCTTGTTCATTCACATGGAGTTTTGTTCTACAACATACTCCTTTCAGGATCCTCTAGTGATCGCTATCAATATATATGGGTAGTAAAAATGTTACAAACCACTGAAACAGAGAGGTTACAAAAGCTCTAGCAAAAGTTGTCCAGACTATGAATATAACTGAATTACACTCTGCTATTAGGGAACAATAACACAGCTAACAGAAGACACAATGGATTTGCTTCCCACAGAAGCATTTCGATATAATCACAAGACACTCCATATCAAAATAGGAGGGTTAATCAAAAAGGAAACAGCATCCATTGCTAAAATACAGGGTACCATTTACTTACCTTCTGAATAATGCCTTTACAGTCATGAGACAGAGCAAGGTTAGATATTAGACAAAAGACCACCTGCTGAACTGGGCTGTTATCATTTGACACATGGGAAGCCAACTTCAAGATGTAATGCATTAATGAATTGCCAGCTGCACTTCGTGCAGATGGAAGTGATGACTGTCCACCACTGACCCAACAAAGTGAAGCACAACCTTAAAGCAATGAGACATTTATCATATTAGAAATGCAGATAAGTATTTAAAATATAAATCTATAGAAAGAGCAGTGCAACTGCTCAAATATTGAGATAGAATTCTTCAAAATATTTGTTAGGTATCTTTTCTTTGAACCCCAGTGAAGTCAATCAGACATGCTTTGAACAGAAATGTGCCTGAATGTGACACTTAACTGGAATAGGCATCTACTGTTCTATTGTTCTATAATGTAAAAGGCAATTCTGCTGTTAAATAGAAGCCATTGCTGCATCTCAGAAAGTCTCCTTAAAAACCAGAACATATATCTAATTATACAATTATTTGGCAGTAGAATCTGAAGGGATCCTCTGAAACTGGTTCAGAAAAGAGGTCTCTGTATAATTTGAAAGGATTAATATAAATTCCTTAGAATATTTTTCTGAGAAATATAAGCAGTGTCTGCAGCTGTCATTACATTGTACAACAGAAGAATGCAGAATCCTGTGCTACAGAGCTACAAGTTTGAATTAATACAGCAGCAGGGAACAACTGTGTTACCAACGTAATATAGATAAATGCCTTCTGCACAAATATAGATATATATCTTTTTTCTAGTGGACATCAGCAACAACAGTTAATTTCTTGTATGGCAAAAGTAAACAACATAAACAAAAATAAGACAATGTTCAACTGTAAACAAATATTTACATGCACTTCTCTGACTAGACTGAGGAGGAGTGGTTAACCAGCTCAGAGTAGGTAAATTTGTGACACCTCATAAGACAGAAAGAAAAAACATGATTGATCAGAGAGTTCTTGCTCTTATCAGCAAGGAAAGTAAAAATGCAGCCTAGAGCCACTTCAGCTTGATTTCTTGCACATGGACAGGACACTTTATATTATAGCCTGTAGTTGACTAATACACATCTTTCTTTGGCCCACATTAAAAAAAGTTCTTCATGAAAAAAAGCCATTGCAAGCTCATTTAAGGTCTGGAGACATTAACTTATAAAAAGAGTAATGTTTTAACCATGCTAACTCTTTTATGGTATCTTGACAGGGAGAAAGGGACATGTTTGTGTCTCTTCAAGCTACTTGCAAATCATTATCAATGATCTAAATATCTAATAATATAATATATAATATAATATATAATATAATATATAATATAATAAAATATTATATGTATTATATATAATATACAATATAATAATATAATAATATCTAAATATAAAATCTAAATGACCATGATATGGAAAGAGAAAAATGCACGCTGGAAAGAAGTTCAGGCTTCTAATAGTGGGGATAATTATCAATGGAAATTAAAGGTTTCCTCAAATGAAAAGGAGATTCCTCATGAAAAATATACAAATGCAAGCTATAAGTCCACAGCCTAAATAAATTGAAGAAATTTAATACAAAACTGAATTTGATTGACTATTTCAAAACCAGAATGTTCTCAACCAGGACTGAAGTACAACCCATATAAAGTACTGATACACTGCTCTCTATTAAAGAATTCCTAGAATAGTACTTCTATAATATACTACTCAGCTTAGTAGGACATTTAGCATAACCTTCAAACATAATGATTTGAATTAAATGCTATTTAATCCTTTAGTACAGTTGCACTCTTGCTAAATCCCAACAGCTTGAAACCAAATCTGAACAAAAGTCTTGAATATATTAAAATCAAAATTCTTGATAGACTTTGATGGACCAGTGCTTTTACACTTTCTTCTTACAGTAGCAATAAACATTCTTTTCCCTTTATTATGTTTTTCTGTCTTAATTATTCTGGTAAAATATTTTGTTGTATTCCACCACAGAGTGACTTTCATACCTGCAGGATAGTTTGCAGTGTAGACACAGAGCAAATGCAGAGCTATTTGCATTGAGGAATCATCTGCCAAAAACCATGGCCACAGAGAATGCACAACAGGAACAAGATGAGCTTTGAGTGCTGCCATCTACAACAACGTGAGGAAGAATTTAAAATGCTATCAATCCTTTGAAAATGAAATACAGAATTAGAAAACCATATTTTTAATCTTATGGTTTATCTTATGGTTTAAAAGACTGTATGGAGAACTGACACCATCATTTCAACCATCAGTGAATTTAACTCTACACCAGTCAAAAATAGCACATATCTTAATTACTGAAACACATGCAAACAAAAGTAAAAACTTATTCATTCCAACTGTTCTTGTTTGGGACCTCCCTAAAGTTTTATTCAACTTCTTCTAAAGTAATTATTTGAACTCAAAAAGCATGGAAATACAAGAGTGCAAGTTGTATACAGAATAAATGATAGAAATCTTCAGTTAGCAACAGCAACCTCCTTCAATCTTCCAAGCAATTCTTTCTGCAGATCCTGATCAAAAAAAGAAAAACATTCCACAATAATCTTAGCTGAGATTACAGCACAATCAAGTTATGGGGACTTCCAGAATAATCAGATGGCTTATTCAGCCCCAAGTGTTCTGCATACAAAAAGGATGTTAATACATGCCCTGGAAAAGGGGTAGCCCTGAAAAGTCAAGAAATATTCTAGTTCCACCACTGTGTTTGCTAAAAGTGACCCAAGTTGCTTAAACAGCACAAGTAATACAATGCCAAGAAATATTAAACTGTGAAACTGGAAATAAATGTGTGAATGGTATGAGCAATAAGAAAGAGGAAGAGCAGTGATCAGAAAGAAAGAACACAGGAAAATGTGAAAACAAGTAATGTAGAATTGACTTACTCAAAGCAGAAGTGCATATAAAAGATCACAGCACTCTGAAACCACTGGGAGATGATGCTTCAATAAGAATTCTAAGTTCCTAATAGATGTGTGAAATATTCTTAGGAAGTGGGAATAATAATGAAATATGAAGTACTCCTTGCCATTAATATCAAACTTAAATTTAGCCAGTTTGAAAACAACTTTGAAGTAGAAAAAAAATTATCTTCATTTAGTAACTAAATGTGTTCATATTACTTCAGTATAAGAATACTTACTTTGCAGTCTTCATTTTGAAAGAGGCAGTTTCTAAGGAGTTGCATAGAACACCTTAACTCCTTGATAAGGTTATCCTCCTATCCAGAGAAAAACAATTCAAGATCATCAGTGTAAGACCAGAATGAATTATCTACAAGGAGGTAAGATATTTCAAAAGAAGTGTAAATCTAAGGTACCAATGTTTGGGTCACATCTGTTCAGCAGTTTTCTTCTGATTTCAGGTAGAATTCATCTTAGCTAGCTTCAAGCATGTTTACTAAAGACATTTATAACCAGTAACTTATTATCCCTATCTCTCTTTATAACCCACAGATACTATTTCTAGGGACAGCAATCTGATCAAATGCAGAAATCTGTAATGTTGAGCTCCATTTCTCTTACAACTAATAAAGAATAGGTGGGAACTTTCTGAGTATTTGTTCCATCCTAAAGCACACATCTAAAACAAGTCAAATTAATCACTCCCTAGAAGCATTTATTTTTCTTCCTTGGATAAAAACATGGTTAAATTAGATCTGTCTTTCAGACCCTGAGATAAACTCAGTTGGAGCATGGTGCTAATAATGTCAAGGTTGTAGGTTTGACCTCTATATGGACTATTCACTTAAGAACTGGATTTGATGATCCTTGGGAGTCCCTTTCAACTCAGAATATTCTGTGATCTCTACAGCTGAGCAGGTCAATACATCCTTATATCCCCAGGAACTTAATTTCCTATCCTTAACTATAAATATAGAAGCTATAAATAACTTCCAACTCAATAAGAATATTACAAAAATAAATACAGACCTTTGGACACTGAGGTGCTACACAGAGATTCAAGTTACAAGTGAACAAAAAGTCTGTCTTCAAGACAGAGCTGTGACACCATAGGGCAGTGATGGCTGACCTAACTCCTATAAGGGTGACACACTAAAGCACTTCTGAAAGATTACCAAATTCCAGCAAGCTTGTTCATGGGATACTATTCCTGTCTTATCAAGCATAAAGGAACAAAAATGTAAAATAGGATTCATACTTAATCTCAGAAAAGGTGAAGAAACAACGCATGCTTAAAAATCATAATGTGCTTTATATATCATAAATCATGTATCTGATGACATTTAGAGATGAAGTAACAGTCCTTCCAAAAAGGTCAATGAAAGCCCGGTGCAGTAGATCAAGAAGAAACATACAAGTCATTATTACAAATAGATTTTATAACTGGTTTGTCTCACTTCTAGCCAAATAAAATGATAACTCCAAGACAAGAATTCTTTCAAGGAATTCTGTATGTATTAATTTAGTAAATAAGTAAAATAGCTTTAAAATGCCACAAGCTACAACTCAATATGCAAACTTCTAGGAAGTTGAAAAAGTTATGGATTGCATTGATAACATTGTTTGTATTTATTTATTTTAGGATATCTTGCTTTTTACTAAGTCAATATTTTGACATGATATTTTGAAAGCCTGGCTACTTATAAATACTTCTCATGCTCTTTATTAGCATCACACTAATTATTGTGAAAGAAAAGGAATATCGAGTAAAACACCTGAGAATGAATTAGGTCAAACACATTTTTCCCAGTAATTAAAAGAGTCAGAACAAGGGAAAAAGACAAGAAGCTTTCATGGCTTTCCTTTGGGAGTTGTTCATTGAAGTGGGTGAAGGGGCAGTTTTGTGAATGATAGCTACCTAAATCTGCAATGAAAGCAACATCTCAGTGTCCCCCATATATGATGCACAGCACACTTAGATATGATGCAGCAACCTACTGTCCCAGCTCAGCAGGGAAATCTGCCACAAAGTATTTTGCAAATCTTTCAAAGAATTTTCAATTAAACATAAACAGTTTTTCTGAACTTTCTCAGAGGCTCATTTCCTCTAATTTCTTTCAAGTTTTAAATTCCTCCTCAACCCAAAAACTACAAAGGACCAGCTGATTTCAGCCTTTCAGGACATAACTAGGGCAGGACACCTTTCAGCCTCCAACACTTGAAAAAGGAAAATGAATGTTTTTAGGAGATCTCAAGAAAAAATATTATAGCCTTCAAATGTCAGGGTCAAACTCAATTTTTTTTAAGAGTTCATTGTTACAAAACACAGTCCCATACTCTCACAAATCAAGGCCAATGTTATTATCAAAACTTCAGAGAAAAATACTATTTAGCTGAAGCAATGCAGAAATACCCTACAGGAAGGTGTTTTCTGCAATTTCTGCTTTATGTGGGAATAGAAAAGATATCAAACTTGACAGCAGAGGTTACTGCCTGTATTTTATTAATTCTCTTAGATGAAAAGTGGTGGAGAACAAGGAAATAGCAACAAAAATCTTATGAAATTGTTGTATGATGATAAGACAATTGATATCTAAATGTGGTAAAGAAGAGTAGGGTGACATGAGAGTCTGGAAGAGCTGGAAGGGAGGTTGGAAAAAAAAAGGCTAAATAAATAAACTGTGAATGGACAGAAGCTACTGGGAATGCAGGCAGTGGAAGGACCACAAGTATGAGGTTAAAAAAACACAAAACTGACGAGAAGTTAAAAAAACCACGGACAATTGAGTCTGATGACAAGAAACTGAGATGTCCAGACCAAGTTTGAAGGAGAAGAGGAAAAAAACCAAAACAACTGAAAGCCAGATAACAGGAGAACTATGATTTACATGCACAAGCAGAATGGAACTAGTTTTGGGACGGGAGATTGACTGATAGAAGAATAGACAGAAACAAAAAAGCTAGCACTGGTTGAAAGATACTGAAAAAAAATTAAGAAAAATAAAAAATATTGTGGAAACAAGATGGAAAAAAATTAGCTGGATTAGATAGGGCCATAAAATCAAGACTGAAAGCCCAACAATGTCTGAAAACAATACTGTGATATTGGTATAAGAGAAATATCATAAATTACAAGCATGACAGATTACAAAAGGATGAGATCTGTATGTGAGTGGATGTCTGAATGTGAACTTTGAACTCTCAATCAGCCTGCTATTTGAGGCTTTCAGCCAGGATGGACTAGTTGCTAATAGCCTGGAAGAGAAATGGGAGTCCTGAATCCTCCAATTAATGGAAAGAAATGAGACAAAACCAGTAATTCAGAGGCTGATCATGTATTATACTTTGCATGTAGACTATTGAGTTTAGGCAAACAGAAGCTTGGAGCTCTGGAAAGAAAAGTCAGCGGAAAAAAAAAAGGATTGAAGGATTCCTGAAAAGAAATCCTTGTCAGAAAGACAGTCCCTGACAAAAAGAAATGGGCCCAAAAAGAAGAATGCCAATATCCTGGCTGAAGGAACAGTCTGGCAAAGGGAGAAGATCCTGAGGACCAGAGATGCATAGAAAAATATGCCAGGACATGCCCAGGGGCTTTGTCCAGTGAACATCCATGACTGCAAAGTATGAATAGATGTGATTTTCTACCTGACATTGCTGAAGTAGCAGTCCTGTGTTGGAAAAGGTAGTTGAGACCTAATAAGACTGCTGGGTGGAAGAGTATGTGAGATAATTAAGTTAGTAAAAGCTCTAAAATCATTGAATCTTAAAGAAGCTCCAGTATCTGGATGCACTACAAGCTGCCATTTACTTTGTCTCATCTGAATGTGCTTCATGTTTTCTATACAGCTGTCTATCAGGTCAGCTGGAAGAAAAAAGCCAGTAACATTTATAATTACATTCACAATCAAAAATGCTTTATTAAAAACCAAACTATCTTTCTGGCAATGATCTTGTTGTTATCTTCTCGATATCAGGAAGAAGCAAACAGTTCCTGAGATAAAGGGCATCTAGCTGAATGCTCTCAAGAAGCAAGAATACATTTGAGTCCTCTTGCAACAAAGTCCCATGAGAGGAATGCCCAGAGGAAGGACTGGTAAGATTGAGAGGGGAAGATTAATTGTATGGAGAGGATAGTAACTCATAATTCTTCAGCTTATCTTCAACAATTCAGCTTAGAAGAGTGAACCTTCATGAGATTAGGGCATCCATTTATTTTACCCAACTTTTCCCAAACTACAGCAGATTTGCTGCATCTGTGGTGAGACAAATCAAAGCAACCACTCAGCTGACTTAAAGAGAAAAATTTTGACTTAGCATCTTTTCTTTGGATCTAGAGTCTTGAAGTCACTATAAGATGATGGAGTGACTATGTAAGTGAATAAGGTAAGAGCTACAGATATCATCTGTCTGGACTTCTGTTAAGGATTTTCATGCAGTCCTCTACAACCTCCTTCAAAACTGGAGTTATGCAATTCACAAATGGACTGGATGGTGGATGAGGAATTGGTTAGATGGTTATACCTAGAGGGTAGCAGAAAAGAAGCACAGAAAAGATCTGTTGGGGCGAGTGCAGAGGCAGATCACAACAATTCTGAGAGGTATCTAATACATCTGTGAGGAGAGGCTGAAAGAGTTGAGATTGTTCATCATGGAGAAAATGCTCCAGGAAAACCTGGTTGTGGCCTTACACTTAAAAAAAATAAGAAAGCTGGGGACAAACTTTTTAGCAGGGCCTATTGCAAAAGGGGTAATGGTTTTAAACTAAAAGAGGACAAATTTAGACTAGATACGAGCAAGACATTTTTTACAATGAGGACGGTAGAACACTGGATCAGGTTGTCCAGAGAGGTGGTGGATGCCCAACCCCTGGAAATAGGTTGGATAGGGCTCTGAGTAACTGGCAGAGTTGAAGTTGTCCCTGATTATTGCAGGGGGGTTGGTCTGAAAGGCCTTTAAAGGCCCTTTCCAATGCATTCTATGATTTCATGAAAATAGAGTAATTCAAGTTGGAAGAAATGGCCAGAGGTCATATAACCAACCTTCTGCTCAAAGCAGAACAAGCTCCAAGCAGGCAGGGTTTACCTGCAGCTTTATCCTGCTGGGTCTTGAAAGTGCCCAAGACAGAGACAGCACTATATGTCTAGCACTGCTTTGCTGCCTTCAAAAGGTAAATGTTTATTTATAGGCAGTTTGACGCTCATGTTTCAATTCATGCCCATTCTTTCCATCCTCCTATACCATTCACTGCTGTAAAAAAACGTGTCTCCAACTTCTTCAGAATCTCATAGGTCCTCCCAAAACCTTCTTTTCTCCAGGGTGAATATGTCAGCTCCCACAGCTTCTTCTCTAATGACAAGTGAACACAACCACCTTGATGGCCCTCTAGTGAACTTGCTCCAGTTTGTTGACATTTGTTGTACTGGGACAAAAGGATGCAGTATTCTAGATTTAGTCCAACAAGTGGTAAGTAGAAGAAAGACTCTTTTCCTCTTGATCTAATGGCTGTGTTCCTGTGTTCAGGACACAGGATTCCAGGATGCTGTTAGCTTTCTCACACTGAGCTTACTGCCTACCAGGCCCTTTTCAGCTCTCCAGTCAGCCTCTACTGCTGTAAGGGCTTGCTCCTTTTGAGGTGCAGAACTTGTGTTTTTAACTTAAAGTAGCCCTTAAGAGCTGAACAGATGATGCTAGAGCTACAGGTATCTTTAGAACACTGCTTTGAACCCCAGAAGTCTTCTTTCTCTTTTCTAAGGTTTGTATTGTAAGGATGACTTGAAGGCTGCTCTAGCACAGAATGATGCACTTCCTGCAGTGGAAGTGCCTTCAGAGGAAGCAGGAACTTAGATGATCTAGTAAGCCATCAACAGAAGAACCCTGACTGAAGCAAGGGCTGAGTACAGAACCAGTACGCTGGGAGAGAGCAGAAAGTATCAAATTCGAATTTGAGTTTCTGCCACTATAAGGATCACACACTGAGCAGAACTGTCTAAACTATGTGTTTCAATGTACTGCAGGTTTACAAAGTGGAAGAAACAGAGATGTAAATTACAGGAAAGCACCCAAGACAAACTGCACTTGGACAGATCAAAAGGTGTAAAACACACGATACATAAGAAATGCAAATTCACCATTCTCCCCTGTGTTCTAGAGGGCACAAGAAGTCTTTGATTAGTAGCTTACTACTGTGAAGGAGAGAAAGTCCTACTTAAACTGTAAAATGGGACCAAAGAAACAGAGTCAGGGAAGAACAAAGCTGAGAAAGTCTCCTCTTGTCCAGGTACAGCCAGAACTGAAACACAGGGTATACTCTCACCTACAAAAACATGAAGCTATTGCCAGTGCAAAATCTCCAGTTTCTAGTGAATTAATATGCCATTACTGGTAAAAAGCTAACAGGTCTCCTCTTACTCCAACACAGAGCTGTGACTTCACCACAGGGTTTTAAACTGGCTACAAAATAATATTTCATTTGCAGCTGAAAACTTTAATTATTAATAAGATTTCTCAGTGAAAATCTGAAAAAAAACCCTGCCACTGAAACCTAGGTCTTCTGCTTTGAAAAAAAAAATAAATTTACTGTTTAAAGGTAATATACAAAACACCTGCAAGCATTTGATTCGTAAATCATTTAACATATATTTTGAAATACTCACCTTCCAAAGCACATTTCTGGGCATTTTTACTGACAGCTAACAGAGACAGCAGTGCATTTGTAGTAACTTCTTTCAGCACATCCTTTGAAGATTTTCTTTCAAAGACCTACAAAAATGCAATTTCATTACTGAAATGGAAAAGTGACCATATTAACAGTAGTATTTATATTCATAAATAGGTTGTCAGAGTCTATGTTTTCATTTGGGTGACTTATCACTGCATTCCTATATAGAGTTCTCCCTCTCTACATTCATGTTTATAGTCAGTCTGCATTGAAGCGTTTCAGGTTTTTTTGGAACTAATTTTTTTTTAATTAAATCTTTCTTCTTTTGCTCTAAAGCCCACTTCTCTTATTCTTTTCTCAACATTCTACTTTTCTAAGGCCTAGATTCCAAATCCTGGCATTCCATACTTTTCCTAACATTCAGGAATAGGCTTGGTATTGCAGAAATCTCATTGACATGCCTTTAGTGCAATCTCACTTCCCTTCTACACAATGATGATGAGATTAAATACAGTGAAATTCCTTTAAAAAATCACCGATAATGATTTTAGATACTCTTAACAGTGAAAAATGGTAACTTGTCTTAGTTTTGTGAGGTCTTTGTGAGCATCACCACATTTCTAATAACCTAAGTATAATCTGTGTGTTTTCAAAGGAATATTTAGTCATATAACAAGACAGTGCAAAGACAAGGAACAGTCTGTGCTTCATATATTATCCACTAGAGAATTTTGTCTATCTAGCAATTTTCCCTAAAACACCATGCCACTTCTGACATCCAAGATAACAGAAAACAGCATCCATTACAATCAGAGAAATACAGGAAAATAAGAACAGTTACCAGATCATAGTAAAAAGAGAAACAAATTTTGAAGTTAGCCAAAAATCCAACATCTTACGAAAATCTTAATACTTTAAAGAGAAATCTCATGAGTACCTATCCATGGGATCTCATAGATTTTAATTCTACATGCATTTAATACACCATGTATTAATGAACTAACAATTTTTTCAAATTTTCATATGCAATAAAATGTCAATGCATGCCCTGAAGTGATAATTTATTGAAGTGTTCACTGTAACCAGGGGTGAGGAGGTCAAAGAATAAATAGTAAGTTAATAACTAGAAAAATCCCAACACCTCATTGATAAGGACAACTGACACCAAATCAAAGTATCGAAGCATGGACTGGGTTCTGTGTTTATAACCAACAAAAAAGAACTTTACATTTAGACTACAACTGCTTTTATTAGATCTGGTGTGAAATCTCGAATCTAACAGCAACACAAGAATCTTCAAAGTAAATTAACTCTTTTTCTGTTCTGACAGGTGATGGTTTCTTTTCAAATTAAAAAATTTAGATGTTTAAGTACTTAAAAGCTTAAACTAATTGACACAAGCCAGGAAAGAAAAAATTGTTGAGTTCCAGCAATCCTGCATAGCCTAAGATGTAGGTTTTGTGACTTATCCACTCAAAGGCTTTTTCTCTATTAAATTGCTAGATGTTTTTACTTTTTCTTAATATTCATTAATATTTTAGCAATAAAAAACATATTTTCCTATCAACCTCTTGGGTATTTTCCTATAAGTATTATGTGGCAGACTAGAACTGATCCAATAATTAAGGTGAGTTGTCTTATACCTGTATCTTTTTCAACAGTTTTAATTTTATCTTACTATTTTCTAAATTTTATCTTGAACACTAGCAAAATTCCATTCTTTCTTAAAGCATGCTCTTTTATGCATTTTTTCCTTACTCTGCCATCAAGAACTGCAGCTCATAATAAAAAAAGAAAATTTATGTCAAGCATAGGGAGCAAAAGTAATTAAGAATTAATTAATGATTAACTACTAGTTGAATGGAAAAAATAACTCTAGAAATTTATAGTGCCTTGTGCCAACAGATTCTATAGTTTTAAACTATTCTAAAAGTATTAAAGTGAGAATGGATACTTAATTCTTTTTTGAAATTATGCTGCATAATAAATTTAAGATGTCCCATAAATCCACAGGAGATCTGGCTATGTTAGTCTGCACCTACTGTTAGCTGAAGGGGAGTTCACAGTCTTTCTAAAATATTGTAAGCTTTGTATCTATAAAAAAAAGTTAGGGCCAAAATTTGAGAGTTTATGTATAGATTATGATTTCCTTCTTAATTTTATTTCTAATCTTAAGCTTGTGTACACAAGGATTAACATTTATCTACACAAAACATGCAATGCCTTTCAAAGTCAGCATGTGCACTTACTAGATTTCTTATATGTGATAATGAATTCCAATTTGAGACCCGGTCTACTAATATTCATACCTGCACACTGGGTACTAAATTAGCATTTACCACTGCATATATCAGGTATTATGTAGATTTTATGTATTTAGGATGATTAATGGAGATGACTGCTTGTTTGAAAAGTCTCCCATCCTTTTCTATGTTAGCCAATTATTTGCTTGACTGCTTCTCTTTAAAAGTGCTTCACCTGAAGAAAGTCCTAAATCTTTTGGGTTGATTTTTCATTTTTAATGGTGGTTTTGTTTAGGTGTTTGTTTTATTTATAGGTTATTTTCCATCCCATGGACTCATTTCACTGTCCTCTCAATGACCACTGTGACGGGGTATAAATAAATACATGATATTTATTGGTATAATGGTATTTTGATCTAAAAACCTGAAGCTCTCTCTTTCCTAATTCTGTTATCCTTTTGGGGAGATCACGGCAGCCCAGTAAGGACCCAGAGAGCATAGGCTATCTTTTGAACTCTTTTATGAACAAAATGCAATGTCTGTCTACATCTCTGAACAGCTAAAAAGCACGTTAAAAGCTGATGTCTCTTACAATACTCAAACTATGTCTAATGTCCTTTCATTGACGTGGCTGTAGTTCATTCTTCATGGTATCAACTTTTTCTGCTCTCACCGTAAGAATTGTCCCTTTTTGCTGACACAGACTGATAAGAACAGACTGATAAGCAGTTACACTTGTATGAAAATAGAGGAATGTTACAACATGTCTTTATCAGACAGACTCTCATGCAACCATACTTTTTGTGCCAGAGCCAAGGAGTTTCGTTTCAGGCACATATGCAAGCGTTAATACAAAAACCTAACAGGATATTAGCAAACCATGGGATTTTAACAAAGTGCCCCTATTTTGCTTGAGTCCCTGAAAATCACGTCCTTACACGAAAATGCTATGCTCTGAGTTATCTGAAATTAGCTGCCAAAGACAGACAATTCTGGTTTCAGTGGTCTGTGGAGTGACCAAGAAAGATCCTATTGGGAAGTTTTTGCTCCCTGGAGGACAGCAGGTTCTCAGTGGACAAAACACCACATCCCAATAGATACAATAGAGCCACAGTGATGCACGGAGCAGCAAAGGAATACAGTTGTTTGTGACAGATACCAGGACAAGTCTTTGTAGTAGTAAGGTTATTTGTTCTACAAGAATTCAGCATCCATACAAAGAGAGGAGATGAATATTAAGAGAGCATTCTTTTGGTCACACCATCCAATATATGACCAACAAATGTCAACATTATATGCATTACATATCAAAATAGTATCTTAGGATACTTATTTAAAAAATACTTACAAGACAATGACTTCAGAACAATAGAAATAAGTTACATTTTATATAAGGTGCATCATTCAGAAAAAAACACTACACTTCTAATCATAGATTACTATGATTATTACAGTGACAAACTGCACATAAATTAAAGAAGGAAAATAAGTATATAGATAAAAGAACTAAGTTGTGAGGGAAAACAAATAAGACAGAAATTTCGCATATAATTTTACTTACTACTACCAACCTGTAAATAAGGGAAGGATTAAATATAAAGAAAGCAAAATAATCAAAAATGCAAAAATATCTTCCAATCACATTGTGGAATTTTAAATACCTGAATAATTAATGCAGTAAGTTGAGTTACTGGTGCCTGGCATTCTTCAGTGTGATCCAGAAGAAAGCTAATAGTTGGATTCTGACATACATTCTGTTTATCCTGGAGCTGTTTTCTTCCTTCCTCATTCAAAAAGACAGAAAGGAACTGCAAACTAGCCATATATAAAGCAGGATATGTGGTAGACAGATGAATACAATCGGAAATAGTATCTAGAAGGTTAAACAAAAAAATTAAATTTTTCACATTTCATTACGAATAAAGCTCAAGTATACTTTAGAACACAAAGACTTGTCAAAGAAAGCATGTGAATCTGGAAGCAGTTATACTGTGCATTGCCCAGGGAATTCTACAAATTTTATATATCTTGTAAGTCTTTAAAAATCTAAGAAAGAAAAGTCTGAGTTTTATAAGGGTTGAATGAATTAATTGCTCTACATTCATTGACTATAAAACAAAAAAGCAATCTCCACTTCACTCAAATCACTCATTTGTCCAGTAATTTTTTTGAACTCGCCTCATTTTATCAATTTTATCATTTAACATTATAAAACCAACAGTACTGTTAGCTATTAGCTGCTTTATTTGCAATTAGATTTGGATTCACTAGATCTCTCAACATGCACAAGCTTGTCTGGTGTATGTTCATATTCAGTATTGAAGCACATCACAGAATCTTGCCTAACTATGCAAGTAATGTAAGAATAATTAAAATACAATGAATAAACTCCTGTATAATAACCTTGGACTTCTATGTCTCTCATTTCCCCTCAAAACTTTGCTTTTCTTTTCTGCAAGATATTTAAGAAGAAAGAAGGGAAACAAAATGAAGTGCTAATGGAGCATTTCACAAATGCCACATTTGGTTAAGGTTTACAACTAAAATCACTCATCCACACATGTGAAGAAAACAAAACAAGTCAGTCAAGCTCTGGACACATTAGTTTTCATTGTGGGTATCTCATTAGTAATTACTTAATAGCATCTAAAGAGGAATGACACTCTTTTCTATCTGTTTATTAGTTGCTAGGAGAAAAACATCCAGGAATAGTCTTTACCAATTATTGCTGTACAGTGATTTGCAAGGGCTGCTGTCACAGATGGAAAAGATATCTGGCCACTTTTCCACAGTAATGTAGCTAGAAGGCTGAAAGACTCTACCCATGTTTCATGAAGTGCAGATGTTAATTCGGTATCTGCAAAAATAACACAGAAAAAAATCCAACTGTTTACAAATATGCACAAACCTGGAAAGCTGAGCCTGACCACACCTGTCCATTTACATCAAGATGGTACCTAATAAAGACCTGCCTCTGTCTGGTTGTAAAGGAAACAAGTACTTCATTACCTAAGCCATCTTTGGGACGTATGGTGAGAATCCTGAAGGTACTTCCCAAAAGAGGTTTCAACAATTCATCCTGACTTACAAGATCAGAGTCGACCAATAAACATGATTTTAGAAGCCTGGACACAGATGACAAGTACTGAAGTAGTAACAAGACCTGTAAAATATTTGTAGAGAGATATGAAATAAAGCCATATAGTTACACCTTTCACATTATTTTAAATTTAATCACATTATGTCAACTGATTCTTAACATTTTCAATGAATATACACCGCTTAAAGTAAGTAATAGGTCATTAATTTAAAATGTTTCTCTTAATTTTTACTGTAGAAGATGAAACATCATGCCTAGTCTGGAAACAGGTGTGCAATTTTCTAGTACCAAAGCAAAAGTTCCTTGTGAGAAGGTCATGACTCTTGCTGCATGTAGAGGAAGCATACTCATTGGAAGGTCACAAAGGGAAACATAAAAATGGTCATTAATACTGAGGAATACATGTGTCTTCCTAAAAACAGAAGCTGACATTTTATTTATTCTCATAAGTTTTCTGCAGAAAAATGTTTCTTTAATTAGAGAAGTAATTTTATTCAAAGTAAATCTGAATGCAGAGCAGCAGAAGCTATGAAATAGCTCTGTGTCATGAAACATCATGTTCTATACATTGTATATACAGAGTTAAATTTGATAAAAAGGTAGTTCTATCAGCAGTAACCCTAAATGTTTTGCATAGATCAAAACTAGTTGAGAACTATGTAAGTGTCTGCAGGACCAGAGACAAAGAAACGCAGCCAGGTTTGTCCAAGACAATAAATATCCAATGTGTCAGTAGCTATATCTGGCTCATACTTCAGTACATACAAAAAATTCTATTACATAATTTCTTCAATGGCTAAATTTAACTTATACTTTTAAAAGACAATTCATTTTCAGTGTGGTCATTCTAATTATAGTCCTAACACAGAAATTAATTCTCCTCTGTTGAATAAAATGGTTTATTTTCACTTAAGCTTTGTTAAAAACAAAGATTCACACAAATATAGCCTATAGCAGTGTGTCTGAACTATATGAATGAATATAAATTATGCTAACATAAATAAATTAATTGCTTAAAAAAATTAGGAAGTAACAAATGCTTCTCTAACCTGAGCTTTTATATGTTCTGTATGACACCGATGACCCAGTGGAGCTTTCAGTTCCAAGATGCATCTTTCAACCAGATTAGCCCTTATAAGACTAAAACAAAACATATTGGTTAGAAATGTAGTTAAATAATTTAACATTCTATCAACTTAACGTTCCATAGAAGAGAATAATATAAGTAAACAGAGTAAAAATTAAGTAAGATGCACTTACTGCTAAACCCCACTATTTTAAGAAAGTCTAGTGCAATGGCAACTATAGTAGAAGTATGTTGTTTCAAAATAGCTAGACTAATATAAATTCCAATAGCTGTTACTGCACTGGCAAAAATCAATTTTTTCTATTTGATTTCTTATTTTCTTTCCTCTAGAAGAATAAACAGTTCTGCAATAATATAAGCTGTATTCACATCAGGGTTGCTGGGGTCTTATGTTTGTTTGTCTGTGTTTCCATTAATTGCACTATGAAGAGCAACTATGAATGCTCTTGAAAACTTTTACCAAAAAATTAACTAATTTTTCATGCTGCACTTCAGGACTTCCAAACATTTTTATAGACAAAAGAATTGGCTACAATGGAAATGGAAACATGGCATACTATCTGAAGACTTCTTCGAAGTGGTTCCTCCTTTTAAAAGGAAGTAAAACACTAAGATCAATCACCCAAATTTGGCAAGTTTTATTTACTCTCTTCTAGTGTAAGAATCCTTGGCTCATCTTCAAAATATTTCATACAACTCAAAGAAGAAAACCATAAAATGAGCTGAAATGATCTGCAGTTCCAAGTACCCGACAAAACCCTAAAACATCGTGAGAGGAACACAGTAGTCCTGTGTAAGACATACACCACAAATGGAATCACCAATATGATTACTTATTCTTTGAGAAAAAAAAAAAAATTTGATTATTTTCCTCAATTGATTGCATTTTTTATTAAAAAAAAAATTTGAACACTTCAGGAGCAAGAAGCGATCAATATGTTTAGCAGTTTTAGTAAGAAACATGGGTAGATCTCATTCAAAGATTTTTTAAACATCTATTGCTACACCTTGTTTGTAGTTCAACAGTTATCGATCTCATACCTGCTGAGAGTTGTTAGCAAATGTGTTTGTTGAAGAGCAATTCCAGTATCTTTTGGCATGACAACCAGCAGATTCTGCAGAAGGCTGCAAACAGCTGACAAAAGGGCAGGTGTGACTACAGCACGCTGTTTAGACATAGCAGCAGACATGGGAGAATCATGCTGACTTGGAGATTCTGTAATGGTTGTATCACTTTGACCTAGAGTGAGTTAAATAAAAACAAAAGTCCAAAACAACCAAGAGATTAAATTACAGCAGATACAAAAATAAAGTTTATTTGTATTTTTCATAAAACAATCAAGTCCTCTCTATGTTTAAACTGTATATTCAGGAATGAATGGGAAGAAAAAAAAAATTAAATCAGATACAGGAAATAGTTTGAAAATAAAATGCTCCTTCTACCAGACATTCAATAAAGATAAGCAGCAAATTTGGAAAGTTACAGATTCACAGTATTTTCTTTAAAATAAAAATATTTTTATTTTATTAATAATAATTATAATGATTAAATAATAATTTATTAAAATATATTTCTTTTATTAAAAACAGCTCTCTCTACATACATGATCATAAATATATTTTTAATATTTACTAGTGTTTATCTTTCTACATATAAAGAGAATTTTATATACATCTACATGTATACATCTATGTGTATGTGTGTGCATACACACTCCTGTGGGCATGTATGTATGTATATGACAGCTCTACCATGACTGGTATGTTGAAAGCACGAGTAGATGCCAAGAAGAGAACTCAAGTCTTGAGTTGCACTTCAAGCAGTACCATTTGCACTTGCTTCTGTCAAATTAAAGGAGTGTTTAATGTTTGTCCTCTAAAACAAGCACTAAAAGCATCAACTGCTCCAGCAACATGCAAGCTGTAGGGTGTAGAGCATGGACAAAGACTGACATATGGGCGGGTGAATACACTGCATTTAGCATCAGGTACAAGTCTCAAGCTTGACTTACCTTGTGCCGTAAGCCGATCAGCCACAGTTTCCGGAATAAAACTGGCTGAACTTGGAACTGTTGCCTGAAGCTCAGTAACACTCCCCAGTGATGGTGATGCAGATAGAATCTAGAAAGCCATAAAAAAGAAACTAGTTGATTACAGCTTTTACAGACTAGTCTTTTGTTTATATTCTGCTTAGGAAGGGGGAACAACCCATCACAACCAACAAAATCAAATATAATGTAAATATTACTGCTCAGAGTCAATTTGATTAAATTTTGTCCACTATGTGTGCATATATATGATAAAAAACCCAATAATTGAAACTATTAAAAGATGGGAAATATGAACAGTCTGAGACATTTCAGTTTAAAACTGATCAATGCCCATGTTACTGGAAATTCCTTCTCTTCATCCTTCTTTTTCATCCATATAATTGACTCAACCTACATTTGGATAAAGATAGAAAGACATTACTGAAGCATTTAAACTCAAATTTTTCATGGACTATTTGCTCTACTGAGAACATGAGCACTTGTCCCTTTGTACCAGAACACACTCAGATAAAAATATCACAAGTGAATTTGTCATCAGTCAAAGTTGACGTCCCCGAGTCTTTTGAACTCTGGGTACTTCTCTTAACCTTAATCCTGTGATCCTTACATGTATTCATTTCATAGTGAAGATATGAGATGTTTAAATGACAGTAGATAATTTTACTGACATAATACCATTCTCCTCCACCATTTTGTATTATTTGTATGATGAATTTTGTGTGTTTTCAAAATTTCCTTATACTCTTGCTATTGTTTAAAAACAACAAGCCTAAGATCAGAAGACTCAGAATCCAGCTAAATGTTGTGCTTTTGTGACACAAAAAGACCTGTAACCTGTTTCAGAGCACAGGACAAGTATCTACCATGTCAAGTCACTCTTTCACTTCTGTTTTTTATTTTCTAGATGGAAAATTCACATCAGACAATTTTCCTCAAGAGTGTCACTATACAAAGCAAAGAATATAGAATGTTGGAGAATCCAACTAAATCCCAGCAGAATTACAACTTGAAGAAGGATGTTATTAGAATTTTCCTCACAGTGAGCTTTCTAAGGAAGACTGAAATATCTCAAAGGTTTGGGTTTTTTTTAAACTCTATTAGAATAACAGTTGGAATGTATTTTTACCCAAGAAAATGTTAAAAATGACTTAACAGACAAAAAGAGTCTGAAGGGAAGGAAATCACAGATCACTGTGTTCCTAGCTATTGTATCCTTGCAAGTTCCTCCTTGTAACTTCCTTTTCTCCTGCATTTTCCTCTGGTCTCCCACTATTGTTCACCCTGCAATCATGAGTCTTTCTTCTTAAGCCTGCTCAGTTGTTCCTCAAGAAAAGTCAGAGGATTATAACACAGAAAACAAATTACAGTAAGATCTGGGGGTGTGTCCAAAACAGAGGATTCATATAGAGCTTGGATCATATAAAGACTAGGACAACGCTTGGCTAAATTATTTTCTTATTAGCAAATTGCAGTACCAAGCTGTACTGAGTGATTGAAATTCAAATTCTATTTTGATTGCAGAACTAAATAGCGTACTTTCCAATTAAAATAAGTTACTTGAAGTTCTATGCTTGCTAATTTAAATAATTACTAAAATCCATTAATTCTATTAAACAAATCTATCTTGATACATGGTAAATTCTGCACTCACTCAGCTCTATACTTCAATTCCAAGCATTATAATAGGTGAGAAAAACCATAACACTTTTCCTTAAATAGTACAAATTCAAAAGGTGACTTCTAACAGTCCATATGGTTCTTCTAAAACAAGTAAGACCCCAAAAGTACTTTAACTATACAAAGAGTCATCTTATGGATATTGTTATGAATTATACAACCTTTCACATATTAGTAAACAGTATCAGCTACCTCATCCAACTGTTCTTTATCATCTGCAACTATCTAAATACTCCGGGAAAGAAAATAAAAACAACTTCTCAGTTATGTTTAAAAAAATACATTAAAAAAAAAATTGACAAAATCTTTAACTAGTTAGAAAAATGTCATCTTCCTGCACTGATGGAACTTTTATTGATAATTGCTTAGGGAAATAGGTTAAGCCCCAAAATTTTATGCTTTTGTAACAGAAAATATACAGTAACACAATGAAGTTGTTTCCACACCATTGTGTCCTCCAGGAAAAAAAAAAAAAAAACAAACCAAAAACCACTTTTATAAATCACCTTTGATAAGGATGAACTGGAAGTCTGGGACAGAGTATTTAGTAAAGGATATTTACTACTGCCACCATATTGTTCCTGGGAGCAATGAAGCATTGTGTTGCATAACGGCGAAACTTTGGAAGGGGGTGTAAAAGGGGAAAAGGTTCTGTGTGTGTGGAGAGGGAGATGACAACTGCAGATTAGAACTAATTCAAAAGAATACAAAAATTGTCAGAGTGGAAACAAGGGAGAAATGTGAGGGTTTTGCCATTTATCTACTAGATAGGAATAAAAGGTCTTTTCTTAACCTCTAGTACAAAAATCCCTCTGGCATTGCTTTAATAGGCTTGCAGTGATTAATTCTATTCAGTTCCCTTTTCAAAGGTTTAAATCACTTAACTGCATAACACTCTGGTAACCACGGTTCCAGAAAATAAAGCACACATTTTTATAAAAAACAGCAAGATGATTTCATAGGAAAGAATGGCCATGACTTAAAGCTGTCTGGGAGACATCTGTAGATCTTTAGCTCACATAATTTTTAGCCCAAGTTTTAAAATAAATGCTCATTCTGCTAAGATGTCCTGGACACAGAATAGCCCTAGCATATTTATGCAGTGTAAAGCAAGTTGGTATCTCCATGAAGACTGGCAATCGCTTATCATATGTACTAAACACAAACCAAACATATTGGTTAAAACAAGAGTAAGGATCTGTCTTCTCTAATGAGAACCTGAGTTAACGTTTAAGCTATTTATTCTATAAAAGACCAAGACTATTAATCATCTCAGAACTGGCCTTTTTGCATTATCCACATCCCAGTTCACAGAAAAATAAAAATAAATTTGACAAAAATCTATAATCCACTGGGACCTTAAAGACACAAAATACAGTGCATGAGTTAACATACTACAGAAAATCCAGTTTTGCTGTCTTTTCCTATTACACTGAATCATTGATTTCATACCCACATGACTATCCCTTATTCTATAAAATGAGTGAAATTTTACTTATGGTCTTGGCAAAATTTCTGACTCTCTGTTTACTTTTCTCAATTTTTCTTTCTGCAAATTTGGGGAAAATAATTAGGGATGGAGGAAAGAAGATGAAGCCAAAAAGTAATTTAGTTGTAACTTTCAGTTATGGTCATATAACTCTCAGTGAAATCAGCTCATGATAGCACACAGCTCAAGTACTGGTTACATGAAATCTGGAAGCAGAGAAAATTAATAGATTGTTAGGAATAGGAATCGATATGGACATACCTAGATTTATTTTTTTTTTAAATGTTATTAAAACATCAGAGAAGAGTTCTCAATAGATACAATTCTACTTGATTTGATTGCTCGCTCTTAAGTATTTGTGGGGGTTTTCATCAAATCTGTGCCACGCACCTAAAGCGCGTTTCTCCCTTCAGTGAGACCTGCAGATTCCTTTCCATCTCTGGTGGGGAAAGCACGCCATCTCGTGGGCTTGGAATAACAATATCTTCCCTGGCACCACAGATGTCCAACACTTAGCAACACTTCTACAAACTTTTTGTAATGACTTCATAAATATATTTCTTTACACATGCATCAGAAATTGGGCCAAACTGTGACCCAAAAAATTTGAAGTTATGTAGGAATAAATTCAAAACAGCTGACATTTCAAGACAAGTTTGAATTTTCAGAAGTATTTCCCAACTTCACTAGATACACACTTCAGGTAATTGCCCTCTGTTTGCAATCAGCCTCCATTTAAGTTACGCTCATCCATCTTTTCTCTCCTAATTAATAGTGGTATTGGAACATCATACCACTACATCTTGCAGCTTGGAAATTTCCAATATGTCAGCACTCACATGTATTTAAAGGTAAGAAACTTAGTTAACAAAAAATAAATTAATAAAATTTACAGCTGCTAAAAATATCCATGAAGGATAAATGGAAATTAAACTAACTTCCAGAAATGGCAAAGTCTTAGTGTCACATTTTTCTACATGTCAGGAAAAGAAGGAAAAAAAACCAAAACACAAACTTCAATAAAACTCCCATGGTTAGCTGTAAGAGTATAATCTTATCAAGTATGAAGCTTACAATATGTGGAAGACTTATATAAATTGGTGTAGTTTGGTATTACACTGTACTTTCCACTGTTAATAATTAGTTATCTATTTAATGGAATAGTAGAGCCAAGTTTTTCTGTTAAACTTTGATGCCACTTTACATATATAAATATGATACATTAATTTGATCTAGTAGATTCTAAATTATTTTTTCTTTTTTGCTTTTATTTAAAATTACTGAAGCTGAAGAAATCTAATGTAATGAACTTGTCCAATTCTTCATAAAAACTCAAGCACAATTTTAAGTAGATTAGACACCCAGCTCTGATAAGAATTGCTGCAATTTAATTGTCTTCAAGTAACATCAACAAAACAAGATGAAATTTGTTCAACTTTCATTCCTCTAAGTAAGTGACTAAATTTATTCAGTAAAGAGTGATCTGAGAACAATTGCTTTTAAAAAATCTGAGATTCTTATGTAAATGTTTTTTAAGGAGCAATTACGATCGTATATATTTCCTGATTTACATGCACTTCCATTTATTTTAGTTTTAATCTTCAAATTTGAATATTTGTGTTTAAAATAACCCTAAGGGGCTGGGGAGGATTTGTTGTTCTTGATTAATGAAAATCAAATTAATTAATAAAATTTCTGAAAATGAGAAATCTGTTTACAAGTGAATTTTTTGCTCAATTATTAAAAACATGCAAGTAACATTATCAGTACTAGACAATATTAAATTCATAACAGAGAATCAGAAGAGCAAGGAAATCATACTTGTGCAATGCTTTAAGACAAAATTTCAATACTGTTTTTTCTGTTTCTATTTTTACCATGTTCCACAGCAAAATTAAGCACAGAAATTTTAGTCAATAAAAAATATAGAATCTTATGATTTATCAGCCTTTGTCATATCAACACGTGCATCTAACTAAGAGAAAAAGAAACTTCTAAACAATGATATTCTGGCTTCAGTAACGAATTAGATGGTCATTCATAAATGAAAAAATGAAAAAATTTTGAATATGAAATTAAAAAATGGATTTCAGTGCATCATGTCAGAGTTTTCTTTGATTTATACTGCAGTCTTTGAAAAATACATGATTTTTATCAGGTAACTAATGAATGCTGATGAAGTGATATTGCAAATCTACTCTAAAACTGAAAGAATCTTCCAATTTCTCCTCCTGTGCATTTGCCATCTTGAAAGACAGCACTTGTGTACAGATTTTCAATGCCACAGTCACCCTAGCCAGAAAAAAATTTTTCAAGCAGCCACCTGCTTTCTGTTTTCCATGTGCAAACACTTGTGCCACTTTTAAATTCTACAAAATCATTTTCAGAATCCAGAGTTTATTATGGCACAGAATACCCAACGTATTTATGTGGCTTTGATTGATCCAGTTCTGTAGCTGTGTTGTGTAAATACAGGTTCACTCTGAACAGACAATTTAGATAAAAGCAACAGAAGTGACAACCAGAAATGGAGACGACCGCATTTTGTCAATAAAGCAAATTACAGAGTAATCTCTAGAGAATATGTCTTGCTGTGGGAAGCTATAGAATTCAGCACTGCCTTATGCATTTAGCTAGTCAAGGCAAGCTGCCTTATTTATTTTTACTCAAGGTTAGGAATCACGAAAAGGCTTTTTCAGCATATTAAAGGTACACTGGAGTAAATTTCAACTTCATTTCACAGCTAGTTTCTTATTGATTTCAGGTTTTGTGTTATGCTGGAATTTTTTTAGTAATTTTGAGAGTGTTAATTTTTTTGAAAGCAGTTCACAAACAACTTTATGTTTAAAATTAATAGATTACTCTGGAAGTTACCATAGTTTCAGATGTTGAGTGAGAATGTGAAGATTTGCTCTGACTAGGTGGAGCCTTCCAAAGATTGAGAGAATCATCAAAATCTGCAGGACAACAAAAATAAGAATCAAAATTACTGTAAGATCAGTAGAGAGCATAACAAGCTTTTTAAAGAATTGTTTCAGTGAAAAAGTAGCCAACCACAGGTATCCTTCTGAAGACCTCAGAACATAGGTTTTCACACATTGTACCTATGAAGTCTTACACATCATATTCCCCAAACAAACAGAAATAAAAATTCCGTGTGATATAAAGTAGTCTAGAAAAAGCTACACTCGGCTCAAACTGCAGTTGCATAGCCTTCAGTAATTTCAAATAGATCAGATTTAGTTTTAGTTAAAATGCAAAAGCACAAAAGTATTGAAGTAACGTACCATGGTCTCAAAGAACACACATAATAAACAGATGTCTTCAAAAAACTTCAGATTTGCATTTTAAGAGAAGTAGCTCCAAGAGGACCCATATTCATATATATAATGAAGGCAGAATTAGTTTGTAAATCTGTTTCAGAATAAAAAGTGCCAAAAAATTATAGCACAAATCTGTCAGTAACACTTTTGAAGCTGTCATATATTTAGAAAAGAAAATAACAAAGTATAAAGCTAGACTACACGATTTGTGAGTGCAAACCCCAAAAAGTAGATGTCCAGTATATATCCTCATTAATTACTAAATTGAACTATTTTATTTCTAACATAACACTGCAGATGAGTTTTTTATATTCTTGAAAAATGTGAGAAAACTATTCAGGGAAAAAGCCCAGCAGGGTTTAAGTCCTGTTCTCCCCTATTTAAAGAAACAATAAAATTGTTTCTTATTCCTGAAATGCTGTATTTTCTGGCTTTTCTTTGCAATGACTGATAAAATGTATCTCAAGTGCTCACTGTAAAGTTGTACCATTATACATCTTGAGTTACTCTTGGATATGATATTGCATCAGCTAACAGATCTAAAAGGCACAAATAAGAGGACCCTGGGAGCAGTAAAATGCATTGGATTGAAAAATCACACTTATAGATTAAAAAAAAAAAAGCAGTCACTGAAGAAATTGGGGATTTTATGACTGGAATTTTGTGTACTGCTGAGGTATTTCTCTCAGTGAGTTAACCAAGAATGCTTCCTTTCCTCGTGGCTGTCAAAGTCATAACTTAGCTGGGGTAGTAACATTCCTCTTTTGTTCATGCCTCTGGAAAAGGTTTAACAAATGCAGAATCCAGCAGGATTCTCAGCCTGGAATGGGCAAAACAACTCAAACAATACTTTATTTTGCAAAATTATTAGTGGCAAACAGAGAGGGGGTGTCATGCTGCTTTTAGTGTTGAATTACACTAAACTAGTCTGACTCATCAACCCCAAAAGTTAAACAGCTTGATAGTGAGTTCAAGGATACTTTATTTACTTCTTATCTAAAAATTCTAACATCCAGCTGGCCTGAGATATATGACTGACGGTCAATCACTTTAAACTCTGGAAACCCCATCCCACTTTCAAACAGCAGATTTTTCTAAAATACCCCTTAGAAGGTGTGTGGAGATTCCTCCCTGGGGTGGGGATGCCCCTCAAGGTCACTCCAGGCTGAAGGAAAGAGATTTGTCCAGGGTCATTGGTATGGGTGAGTAACATCAATCTCTACTTAATAATTGCTTCTTTTTTGACAGCTTTAATATAGTTGCTTTAACATAATTAGATACAGTGCTCTATACTACACTAGCGGTTTTAGCTTCTATACTCTGTAATAAATAATTCTGATTAGGATCTTTTTGTCTAGTCATTTATCATAGTAAATCATTCATTTTTATATAACTTTACCTGGATTGTCATCCTTAATTCCACAGATTAAAGTTAGACCAAGTTTCAAACACCCCTCTATAATTCCTTGGATTTAAACCACTGGAAAAGTCTGGGTCTAGGATTGAACCCAGCTGCAGAAGAAGGCATGTAGAGAGCAAGGGGGTCCTTCCTGCATCTTGTGATTCAGTGGAAGGGCTTCTCTAAACAACTTTGAAGTTCTTACTACACCCATGACACAGAGTTAAAAAAAGAACTATTTAGATCAGCAGCCTTAAAAGATGGAAATCTGGAAACTTAGGCCCACAGAAAAGGTAAGGAAAAAAAAAAAAAACCAACCTCATTAATTTTCTGCCCATGAAATCTTTTATTAATTGATCTCTGAATAATCCCCTAGCTTTCTAAGCTTATGATCATCAGATTTGTTTGGACAAGAAAGTGTGTTCTCACAATGCAACATAGTGAGTCTTAGAAATATTGTTCAATTAGTCACTATGAAAGTTAGATCTGAGATAATCCAAGGGTATACAGGTTAAAAATAAGCAAATAAATCTAACCTGAGTATTACATTTCATCATTCTATGTATTAAATTATATTTGAATGTCTTAGAATGCAACTTAATCACATTATTAGAGTCCATTCCTATTCTTGTAAACTTGAACACATCAAGAAACAGAACTCTTAAAAATAGTTCATGTATTTCTTTTTCCATATTTTCTTTGTATGAAAGTTGACTGGATGTCAAAGTGGAAATTGTTCAAAGTATTTTACCCCCAATATTTTGCAACAAAATATACTGCAGAACCAATTACATCTTTTCCATTTGCAACTTTTTGAAGATGTAATTAACAGCTCAGAACTTTTTCTGAGCTATGTTAAACTAGTGACTTATCTACTTAAATCCTCACAGCAATATTTTGACTTCACAACATATTTAAGAGCAGGTTTTATATATTTTCCATTCCCTTATTATTAAGAATTATTGGAGGCAAGTTATTCAAAACTACAATTAATTTAACTAGGTTTCAAATACAAGAAGATTACATCAACATCACTTACCAGTTACACCATCTCTTTCTATGTTCATCTTGTCTTCCTTGTAAGAATTCAAATCAAACATGTAACATCCTAGGTAACAGTGTTTCACCATCTGATTGACATGTTCATAGAACTGACAGTGATACAAAAGGGCTTTAAGCGCAGGTATTCCTGTCTGGGAGAGGCCAGACTCCTCATCATGTACACAAGGACCCTGAAGACATGAAATTCACAGACACCATTAATTTAAAGAAATGTTTTACATAGAATAAACTGTAAGAAAAACCCACCCTAAATAAGGCTAATGCTGTGTATGTGTGTACACACTGGTTTACAGGCTGTAACTAATAAATTCCAAAAATGAAATGCAGATTTTAAGGGTGAGCTAAATCATAGTATTTTACAAAAGCTTTAATGACTCGGCAAAATCAAACAGCTATTTATCTCCTGAGAAGTGTGCTAACAGTTAAGTAGAAACTCATGAAAAGCTGTAAATGAGTAGCTTCAAGACAGTAAATGTGTCAGCAGACTTTACAATCTTAATGTCTCATTTAATTCTACTTACAGATATCAAGCAAGGAAAAAGTTTTCCCTTGACAAAAACACACCTATACTCAGATAAGACTAAATATCCTCAAAAAGTCATCCTACTCTAAAGTATACTGTCATTATACTACATCTAGCTATGTCAATCTTCTATGAGAAAAGATTTCTTTAGAAAACAAGGCATAAACAAAAAAAATTCACTTTGAAGTATGATTTTTAATTAATTCTTTTTAAATACTGACATCAGGGAAAACTTCCTAGAACAGCGGATTTATACTTTAAGAAGATGGATTCTAGTTGTATTTCAAACAAACCGTTTAAGTTGACTGTCTTTGTTAAACGTTTCTTCAGTGTTTTTTCCATGTTAACACAAAAAACCAAAAAGTTTTATTAAGCTACACATAATCTGGTTTAGACTGACCATAAATATTAGAAGTGCAAAGAAGGAAGAAGAACTCAGAAAAATTCAAACCAATTACACATTCAGAAAGGCAGTTTTAGAGGGCATCCTGCAGTAGTTCAAAAATAAACTAGTTAAAATCATGGAAAGAAAAACTTTCAGTACTAATTAGAAACTTTCTTTGGCAGTCAAAAGAGAGCAGAGCTGGATCAACTGAAAATAAGTAATTTGAAAACACTATTTATCCCCAAGAGGCTCCCCCCAAATCCCTTCATTTACACTGAATACAAGTTTATTTCCCAATAAAACAAAACAAAAAATAAAACCAGATGCAGTAGAAGCAATAAAACTATTTTGTGTTACAAGATAAGTTACCACCAAAATTTTAGATGGTTACTCTCATGCTTTTTAGTTTCGGTAATACAGAATCTATTTTCACTATTTGCCTTTTACACCAACTAGTGGAGAATGAGATATTATGAACAGTTTGAAGCAGAATGTAGGATTTCAAGTAAACTATTTATGACAAATTATAAAACTCTATTCATACACTGTCAGCAACAGACTTTGCACTTGCCACAGTCAATACAGTCTAACTTAGGAAATACTGATAAATTCAGTCCAAATTTTACTATCAAAGATTGTCTTTGACAGTTTCAAAAGTCATGCCAGATACTTTATTGTACAAGAGAGGGCCTTGAAAGAGTTACCCATCAGTTACATTGACAGTGCTCTGACTTCAGCAATACAACACAGTCTGCTGCACTCTTAGAGTACTTTACACAGGCTGACTTTACTCATGACTAGGGAGTCGAATAGGAATTTTTTTAAGAGCACAGCAAAACAAAATATCTTAAAACAGATCAACTAGACAACATTAACACAAGAAACATTCTCATGAAGATACTGGCCTACCAACTCTATTCGTATTTCCTTTTCCAGTTCTATTTGCCTAGGGATAAAATGGTAATGTTTTAATTTGGATGGCATAGTATTCCTGCTATTCACCAAGATCCACTTAATAGCCCTCCTTTTCTTCCTGGCATCAAGGGAAACAGACAATTCACCTTCTTCAGTGCAAGGGAAAAAAATTACTCTGAAATATAAAATTTGATCCTGGTGCTATCTTACCTTTAATTACTGTTTTTATTTTGAACAGTTTTAATTTACCAGTAACCATAAAGTGTTGTTTGATAATATCTTTCAGCATGAATACTTATTAAGTGATGAGCAATTTCCATTAAATTGCAGTTCTTAATAAGAATCATGTTGACTCAAAGCTTCTTTTAATTGCACTGGAATTCATCCAGAAGTGTGCAACTAGATTCAATTTTTGTCACTTCACCATAGTCATTAAAAATTTTAAAAAAAGACTAAAAAGCAACTTCTAATAAAATCTATAAAGACAAGTCACAATGGCTGCCCATTTGTAAACCTCCTACTATTATGAATTTAAACAATCACTATTTATATTGATAAATTAGAAGTAGTAAGACTGAAAAATGGGACAGATTTTAAAATTGCTTCCACATCTTCCTTTATGTACATGCAAAGAAAAGATGAGACATTCTGCACAGTTTAACTCTTCAAGAAATAGCTTAAGTGATTTTGGGTGCAGCTGAATCATAGATAACTTATCCTAGTAAAACAGCTGAAATGCCTTTCAGCACTAACTTGATCTTTTGCAGAAAGGAACAGATTAAAAATGACATTGTTGCATCTGCAAATTTCTTCAAAAACTAATATACACTGTTCCCTACAGGTACAATATCACACACTGAAAGGAGCAAGATAGACATTAAAAACAGATATCAAGGTCACAAAAAAATTTAAAACTGGAAAGCTAAGATCCAAATATCCTGATGTACAATGAACCAGACTTGCTGAAACTAAAATAAGATGACTGACTCTAGAACAGAAATGGAAGAGTCTCCAGGGGATCTTATCAGTTTGATAAATATCTGAGAGAAGGTAAAGGGAGACAGACTTTCTCTCATTGGTATCCAGTGACAGAAGAAAAGGCATTAAGCAAAAACTAGAATACAAGAAATTCTATTGAAACCTAAGAAAAAACTTTCTGTCTGAGGGTAGTCAAAGATTAGAACAAGTTGCCCAGAGAGATTATGGAGTTTCCATTCTTGGAGAAAATCAAAATCCAGCTGAAAACAGCCCTGAGCAACCTGGTCTTTTCACCTTGCTTTGAGGAAGTGTCTGTCTTCAAGAAGCATTTAAATTGACCTAAGTGACAAACTGCTTCATCTTTCATTCAAAACATTTTATAAACATCACATTGGCAGAATTTCTTCTTCCTCATGAACCTCAAGTCATGTTTTACTTGCATTCCAAGTGTGGGTAAAATAAATTATCAATTTCTATCTTAAATGTTAATGATATACAATATAAGTAAGCAAGTTTCCTAGGAACCCAAAGATACTACATTAATGAAATGCAACATATATGTAATCTAAATTTGGTTGTTTTATCAAGCTTGCCAGAAGTTTGAGAGAAGTCTGTCTATTTATTTATTTTTCTTTCCAAAATGCAACCTTAGAAATGTAATTTTTCAAATTTATTCTGACACAACTTTTCACATCAAATGACTTCTCTCTGCTGTACTATGACTTTTGTCATCAAATGTAATAGTCACTCACTTGCCAAATGCAATCCTTTGTGTCTTCTGTAGGGATTGGAATCACAAGTAGATTTTGTAGAATAAAAGCAGCCTGAAAGAAATTAAAGCATCAATATTGCCATCTAGCCACCACAGTTCAAAAAACCACATCAGATTGAATCAGATTGAATAGCACAGTCTACATATTATTCTACTGTTTTCAGTGTATGCTGAAATACACAGAATTCTAATGCTCATATTAGGAAAAAATAATTAGAAGGATATAACTTCAAAGCCCTTAAGCTTGACTGACAAGAGATGTCATCAGAGCATGGCATAAGAGCAGGCTGATATATAAAAAAGACAAGGAAAAGATGGGAAAGAAATCACAAAGAAACAAATTTATTTGTCTATAAAACACTTTCATCACTGTTCCAGTACAGTCAAACCTACAGAATAAGCATTTCAAGTACAGCAAGTACCAGGGGAAAAATATTCCTGAAGAGAAAAGCCTAGATTACTGGTTATGACCACTCACTCTATTGTCCGTATGTTTTGAGGTTTTTAATTATTGTATAAAATAACTGGGACAATGTGGTGAACACATTAGGACAGAGACATGTTTCAAATATTTTCCTTTAAAAATATATGGCATGCTTTTTTTCCTAATTTATCTTACAGACTTCACATGTCTGTGCATGGATTGAAATTCCTTTTTTATATTTCGTCAATCTTTTGTCAATGACGTGAATCTTTAGAGACTATAATTAAGACAAAATAATTTGGAGTTAAATAAAATATTGAAGGACACATTATCAAAGGCATTTTGAGATATAATTTCAAATATTACTTTGGAAAATAAAATTAGTTAAGCAGTACAACTGGGAAAAAACAAGTCGCTGAGTGTCAGAGTTTTTATTTCTTACTGAGTGGAACAGTAGGAAAACCTTACAACTAGAGCCATAAAAAACTGCAAATAAAGTGTACAGAGCTTAAATTCATCAATATATAATTCTATGTGTTGTTCTATGATAGTACAGACTTTCAGTTCTCACCAGTAAACCTTAGTGCCTAGACAAATTCCATTACCTCGTGTCTGCAATGAACAGATATTTACTGCAGATCAGGTGATGAGTTTGTACCAAAGCATTCATAAATGCTACAAAGAAGCAATCAAAATCAAGCTAACTAGTTATGCTTTAGCAACCTATTTATCTAACTGAATAAGGCTTAGGAGTTTTTTATGAGTTCCCTTTTATGTTTATATTGTTTCTCTTTAGAAATAAGTAACCTGAATTTGTTCCTTCTTATGCAATTCCTAAATATGCAGCTAAACATTCATAATAATCAGGTAGTGTTTAACTTACAAGACAGCAGGTGTTGTGCAGCATCAGATTATAGATATATACAATAAAAAATACATTTTTTTTCCTCCATAAGCAAAAAGAACTTGACAATCTACAACAGCAGAAGGACACAAGAAACATACCTCCCTGCGTACCATGCTACATTCAGATTGATCCAGAAGGATGTTTATCACTGTTCCCCACAGGCCTCCTGAAATATTCTGGCAGCTTTCTGCTAAAGTAATACATCCTATTTCAAGAGATGTAAGAGCTGATCCTATTCCAAGTGCTGTAAATCTGACCTAGTACATACAAGCATAACAGAAAGTGGCATTTCTTACAGTAATTAGCAATATATTTTTTATTATTATTATTAACTTGTATCGACTGAATCTTAAGGGAATAATTTCATAAGTAACAACCTCTTTTCCTGTACTTCTCTTGCTCTCTACTCATAATCACAACTAAGTGAAAAAACATTATTTTTAAGTATTCAAAAATAAGCAAGATAGTCTTTAATATTCTTCACATTTTACGACTTGAAAATAGGTCCATCTAGAAAACTTACATAATTTAACAGATTTGCATTAAATGCATTTTCTCTGAATTTTTAGTTCATGTAAATATTTCTGCTTTGCAGCTAAGTTACAGCAATGACAAGGAAAACTGCCTATGAATCATGACAGTGAGTGACTAATGAAAGCACAGAATACAGAAGATATAAGGAAGGATTTCTTAGATGATGTTTACGTGGAAACAGTCTCCCTACTGTATTATTACTGCTATTTAGTAAAATATTTAGTAAAAATGTCAGTAACATTTTAAATGACTCAAAACAGCAGTTCTACTATTAAATATATTAATGAACCAAATATTTTCAAGTGCTTAAGGGTCAAAATAAGATGTGAAGTTAATATCACAGTAACAAACCTCAGGATCTCTATCTACCCATAAAGGAACCAGCCATGCCAGACCTAGATGAGACAGAACTTGTTCTTCACTATTATCATACGGCAAAGACCAAAGAGATATCCAGTCCTGATTAGCAAAAAGAAAACAAATTAAGAAATTATTTTATAAATTTTTCAATCCATGCCAATGTACTAGCAGTGTGAGCTACCAACTACTGAAACAGCTTTGTATAACAGTAATTGCATGGAGGAAGGGTAATTTTCTATTTCTCTTTCCATAAGAATTTGACATCAAATCACATGATTGTAAACAACAGCCAGGTTTTAAAATTTCTTTGAGACCAAGAATTATTAGTACAGTCTAAACAGTAACACTATCATAAGCACAAATTATGACTTAGAAACACAATAAAACTTACCATTATACTACTATATCTATTACTCTATAACTATGATACTAAAAAACTCGAATCCACACTTTCATCTACACATTTACGGTCTAAGTCTTTGGAGGTTGCTACCTCCCTGCAGTGTACTTAAAACTGTCCCCTCCCAAACTTAATAAACTCTTCTAGCACTTAATATTTTGGAAAAGGAGTAGAGAACTGAAGAAAGAGATACCTGGAATTCAGAGAAGTAGGTATACTGCATATACAGTATACTTTCTAGTTATATGCATGCTTGATCATAATGAGTGGAGATTTTTTGTGGCTATCACAGATATTATTAGTAAGAGTGGATTTTAATTCTCTAAAATAATACTTAATTGTTGAATTTGCTTCAACTGTATCAGGATAAAGGTTCTTTTTACTAAGCTCTCAAAGAAGGACATGAATGCAAACCACAGTACGAATTTTGCTAATATGTAATGATAGCTCCTTTTATCTGACAATCCTTTTTCCATATATATATATATATATTTTCATATACATGTATATACACAACTGTGAAACCCTACACACATGAATACTTAAACATATGCTAGAAAGCCTGTTGTCTGTGAGGCTGAAGAAATAATGTTATAAAATCTTATATTTATTCATAAGAACAAATATAAATTCAAAAGAATTCTGATTCTTTTTCATAGAAAGAAAATTATACTTATTCTGAAAGAAGGCCTTTCAAAATCCACATAATTATTTACAAAGCGATTTCAGTATGGCTAGAACTGATTTTTCAGCTTTTTTGTATACTATACTCTATCCTGTACATTTACCCAAGATTATAGACCAAATGAGACCAATGTGGGGCTTCTTTGCCATTTGTGCTTCCAGCTGGAGGGGAAGGAATAATAAGCAGTAGTGTGGCTTCAGCAAGACTACTTAGTTGGAGAGTGCCATTCCTAAACCATGACAAAGTTATCACTGAACTTCAGCAGTTAAAATCTCTCTGCACAGCCCCCACCAGTGACGAGATAAGGACAACTGTAATGCACTCACCATATCCTTGGCTTGAGCCATCATTTCGTGAGACAAGTGAAGCAAGCAAAGGACTGTGCTTTTTGTAACACCTTTTCCCATGAAGGACATGGCATTTCCCCCCCATTCAACATAAAACGATGAGATGACCTAAGAGTGGGGGTACAAGTTCATAAAAGCTTTACTGTAAACAATACACTGGGTACAAACTGTCTTACACACTAAATAATAATTTAAACTCATGAAAAGATGATAGATTTCTAGATGAATTGTAATAATTTCTTTTTTTCTGAGTCATTTGGTCACATGATGGTTTCCTGTACATTTCAACTTCTGATCATCTGTGGTTTCTATTTTTTTATTCGAATGAAGAATACAGTCAAGTTTAATAGTAAGCTCTAAGCTGAATAGAAACCCAAAAATTTCTTTTCATGGACCTGACAGTTCATTTATTGTACCCTGGGTTTCTTTTTCTATGTTTGGAATTAAAATTTTTTTTCAAAATTCAGTGTTCAAGAGAAAGAATCATTCATATATTTTATTGTGATTTTAATAAATTGTCAGCTTTCTACATCAAATAGTAATAAACAGAAATAAAGTCACTGGATCACAACATAAACTGACCAAATTGTGGTCTGACCAAATATGTAACCATGCATATTAAAAGGCATGCTGCTTTCAACAAAACATGCCCCAAAATACTTTCTAAAAAATAATAATCTTAGAAGATACACTTCCAGATTTCTTTTCCTCCACAAAACATGGTGATTTAAGCCTCTGCATTTTTGCTGTTGTTCTTTCTTTCAGTGCCCCAGCCTACAGAAGTTTTTTGAACCCACTTTCTCCATTCCTCTCCAAAAGAAACCTACACTTACTTTCATATTTAGGCCAAGTAAAACTGCCTAATCCTTCTGAACAAGAGCTTATGCATCACAAGCTGATTTCATGCCATAATATAAATTGTTATTTTTTTCCAGTAATAATCTTCCTTTGGCATGACAACATCTAGAACCTTGGTGCCATTTTTAGTCTAGACTTCAACTGACAGAGCGCATCTAATCAAACAGGTCTAAAATGTTTATTTCTTTCTACTCAAGAAATCTTGGCAAGTTAAGACCCCTAAAACACTGTATCTTTTTTTCATCACACGTATTGGTATTTGAAACTGAAAACTTCTAAAAGTGTATTACTGAATATGTGTTAAACAAACAAAGTCAGAACTATGCTTTCCTTTTAAGTTTAAAGAAGATTGAAGTTTTCAAAAGATATAATTTTAGGAGCAAGAGCTAACGTTTTAGCCACCACGTCCACAGACTTAGCAAACATTAAGAACACTGAAAATACGAATGAAATTTTGTCTTTCCAACAACTGCAGCATCTTCAATTACCTCTTTTCTGCTTTCTCCGTGTTAACAACCTACACAACAAGCTAATCTTCTCCCAGACCATCTTTTATATGTGGATAAGTTGTGGATGTGCCTGGGAAAAGTTATCTTGGGTTTTTCCTCTAGGAGTTTCAGTTATTAAAAACATTACATATACTTTTTTCCTGCTTAATTAAAACTACAGTCACTTTGTACTACCTCTTAAACCAATAATGAAAGTACATGCAATACAGCCAGTCTCCACAACTACAGATACACATCACTCAGTCTAGTCTCCATATCATTCCTATTTATTTAGCAGGAAAAAGCATCCTTCCCACACCTACTGCTACTGATGACATTCACTAAAAGTACAAAGTAAAAAGCATAGCGTCATTAGCTACACAGCTCTGTACCAGCACTCAACCCAAAAGCTAAGTTAAAACATAAGCTACTCACCTCAAGAAGACCTGTTAAATATTTCTTACAAATTGTGACAGGTTCAACTGCAGCAGAATAGGTACTCCAGCCTGGAAGTGCAGTAACATGAACCATTCCTTGTAATGTTCTCTCCAGTGAAGGAAGTCCATAAAAATGTGGTGCATCTGTCAGCCTTAAGCACTGAAGCAGCTTCAGAGCCAGCTCTGTTCTGAATGAGCCAGCAAGTTCCAAGCCCTCTCTGGTTTATTGTAAAAAACAACATGAGATGAACCATCAATATAAAGCTGTTACAAAGAATCATTTTGAAAAAGGCCAATGCTTCATTCTTCTAACAGTTAGTTAGTCTGTGAGGCTCAGCATCTCAATTACTTAATTATGCATTATGCAAAGAGTAACATGAAATTAAATTTGACATCTAGCTTCACCCAGGTTCTGAAAATACAATATTGCATCTGATTACAACAAAGTTGCTTAACTAAAAAAAGACAAATGAGATATAACTCATTATTAAGGAGCATGCTAAATAAAGAGCCAAAGACTGAGGACAATGAGAAGAGCTGCAAAGCTCAGAAGCTCCACAACCACACAGGATCTAAAATACTCTAAGTTGGATGGGACCAACAAGGATTATCAAGTCCAACTGTTAAATGCATGGCCTGGTATACTTATGTTTGTTCTTGTTCAAGAGACAAGTTTAAAAATATTTCCTGCAAAAGACAATAAATCTAGAATCAATTAGATAAAAAATATGTGGGATACATAACTAGCAGGGATTTCTACAATATGCCCCTTTTCCTACTGTCAAAATCTTAAGAAAGTAACCAAGTGGAAATAATGGAAAAGGTAACAGTTTGAAAATATTTTCACAGAATTATATTGTGACACTAAACAAACAAATATCTTAAACTGCAATTTTAGTAGCTCTTAGGATCCATTTGTGGGAAAGGTTTTAGAATAAAAAATTACGTAAATTAATTTCTGTGTTTGCTCAACTGACAGAAAAAGGTCAGTGCTTCATGCTTAAAAGTAGCTGTCCCAAATAGGCTAAAAAGGAATTAAATGTAAATAAACATTTATTGCTATTTGAAACATTTCAATGTTTTACTTTGCTATAAATACATGCTACAAAATCAATGAAGTTACCATTTGCTCATGCAAATTTGCAGTAGTGAAAAAGAAATAGACCATCTTCTCCATGCAATCAATTTAATTATCCATTTGCTAAGTGACCACTAGCACATTCTCTTTCAAGTTTCCTGGCTAATTTCCTAATTTTACTGTGAACAGGAATATCTTACATTGATTTTCATTTCAAGAGTGTATATTCAATTTTCACAGTTCAGAGCAATTGAGCCATGATGTAACGACTTAAATTGTGACCGAAATTCAGGAACAATAGATGTTATGATGCCCAGACAGAATGACAGAGGCAGGTCCATTTGCACTGTACCTGTCAGTCACTGACATGGAACAAACTAACAACATGTTGAAAAGATGAATGAGTTCTTTATCCAGTCGTTGCCTGACAGCAGCCTGTGTTTCATCCATTTCATCCTGCACTTGGCATTCTGGTCGCACCACAAGACCCATAAGGGATTTTGGCTGCTAAAAGAAAAGCAGAAAAATACAGTCACATAAAGCATTGTTTAAATCCTCTTTTAATACCTTCAGTAAAGCCATTTTTCTGTTGAAAACTTGCAAATTACACACATTATAAATCAGAATTCCATGATTATTTAACTAAGAAGTACAAAAAGCACAGTGAAAAATTCCTATATTACCAGTAACTTGAATACCTATATTACCAGTAACTTGAATCTCAAATCTACTAAGTACCATAAAAAAATATACTGATAAGGCCTTTAAAATATCCTGCCATTAAGAAGAGACTGTATTTTGAAGCATGAAAGAAAACTCGAAGTAATACAGCAATAACCTGCAATAAAAAATGGATCACAAAAAAAGCAGAAAACACATAGTAACAAAATTATGTCAAGTTGCATTTTGGACATCTCAGCTGCTTGAAAGACTTACTATCAAATGACTTTAAGGTTTTATATTAATGTATTGAATGGGCCATATTTTAAAAAATTTATAGGCTTCTCAGGCAGCGATATAAACTGAAGTACCTTTAGTCCATAAGTAATTGAAATTAAGTCTACTAGCATTTTTCCCTAAGTGCTTCGACTGTATTTGCAAATGGGAAAATGCACGTGCATGCAGACTGTATTTAACATAGCAAGACATTAGAACCCTTTGTAAGGCAATGGATGCTCTTGCATGCTACATTGGTTATACATTTGCAATTATGTAGCTAAGCACACCCTCATGCAGCTCTACAGGTATGCACACGTGTGTGCAATTGCAGTTGTATGGCAAATCAAATCATGTAAGTGTATGCAACAGCCCCATTCTTACATTTTTAAGCAGTGATTTCAAGATCCACTTTAGATGGTCAGACTCCAGATTTGATTTCTGCTCTCTAAGCAATTTGTTTAAAAATCTTAGGACATCTACCAAAAGCTTTTCATCCTCCACAGAAGCTGGAAGCACTTGTAAAAACCTGCAATACAAATAAGAGCTTTCATACTTTAAACACTTAAAAAGAGCATTTAAAATCTCAGGCTAATAGGACTGGAATCACCTGAAAATATTTAATTATATGGAGCAAATATGTATATTACACTTACTCACATATAGCAAATACAGCATTTAGCTAATTTATTATACTTATAATAGCACACAATATATAATATGTTGTTAACATTGCTATTGTTAGTATTATGCAAAATAGTTATGTATATTTAAATATATATTTGCATATGGTAAACATGGAATTCTCTTCAGTAAAATGTAGAGAAATCTGAGCAGGGTCACAGACAGGAAATAAAAGTTAATTACTTATTAAATATTAGCATTTGATAATAATAGAAAAGCTTATCTATGCATTTCAAATAGCTCTTTTTTAAAATGTATAATTTTAAATATTTGTTTTGTGTATGTAAATTGCAAGATCACATAATCTTTGAGATTAGAAGGGATTTGCAGGGGTCACCCAGTCATGCCACCCTGCTTATTAAGGGACATGTGCAGCTGGTTGCTCAGGACTATGTCCAGAAAGCTTTTGAGTAATTCCAAGAATAGAGATGCTGCAGCCTCTCTGGGCAATCTGTGTCTGTCTTTGGTCACCTTCACAGCAGAAGTGTTTCCTGACATTCACAGGGATCCTCGTGCATTTCAGTTTGTGGCCATTGCTTCTCTGACTGACCCCACTAGAAAGGGCCTGGTCCCACCTTCTCTTCTAGTACTCATACACATGGATAAGATCCACACCATGAGCCTTCTTTCATCCACATTTATCAGTCCCAGGTCTCTCATACTTTACTCAAAGGAAAGATATTCCAGTCTTTCATCACCTTTGTGGTGCTTCAATAGAAGCACCACATTCTCTCCAGTATGGGTGCCCCATATGATTCTCTCTTATACTGTCAAATCCAAAACTGGACCCTGAGCTCCAGACCAGTGCTGCATGGTAGGGGAGAATCACCTACCTCAACTTGCTGCCAACACTCCTCCCAAAGCAGCCCACTATAACATTTGCCTTTGTTACTGCAAGGACAATCTGCTGATTCATTTTCACCTTTGTGTCCTACCAGGACCCCCAGGTCCTTTTCTGCAAAGTTGCATTCCAGCTTGATTCACCCCAGAGGCATGGGCTTGCTCCTCCCCAGGTGTAGGACTCTGCACTTCCCTCTGTTGAACTGCCTAAGGTTCCTGTCAGCCCAGATATATAGATATATGTGTGTATAAATAGATGTGTATATATGTATCAGAATCAGAGATGCATTGACAATCATTTCCCTAAATTTAAAATATGAAAAGTAGAAATGTTACCATGTTAGTATAATAATCTTTAATGGATTCTTGCAGTCAGTATGCTTACCTGTTCATTGCTTTCTGCCAAACAAAGCTTTTCAAAGTGGTTCCACAAGGTCCAGAACCGCATTTTAATGCAAGTCTGTCATTCAGGACATAGAAGCTAAGCCTAATGAGAGCAGTTCTAACATCCCTGTGGGATGCTGCCTGAACAATCAAATTAAGACAGTCCTGCAGTCCATAGTTTGTGTGAGTTATTTTCAATATAAGAATGTCTTCTGAGGAAAGTTTTAGAGAGTCCAAAAATCTGAAAAGGCATAGAGAAAAATTAACAGTCAGTATCTTTACAAACTGTTTAAGACAGTGTCGACTCCTTCCCCTTCCTGCTTTATTGAGAAGATAAAACAGAAATTGCCTTAAACATTATTTTTCTTAGGCAATTCTTCCTTCACTAATCCTTCAAAATAACCAAACCAAATAAAAAACCTAAAAACCAAAAACAACACCAACACATGTAAATCATGAGGTGTTTTGAGTTCTTTGGCAAAATGTTACCTAAATACTTAGCATTACCATTAAGAAGAATATTTATTTGAAATTTAAACCTTCATGCAAACCAAGTAAAACTCATGCAACTTTATAGCTGGGGTCTACATAGTGAGGAAAAAAGAATCAGTTCCCCAAGAAACCACAATGACTATAAAGAAAAACAGCCACTGAGCCCATTTAAATTTGTTTGGGATTAGCCTGACCATCAATAAAAGTTAGATCAAGCTCTAGACTTCATGTATAAATGCAATTTAGGTAAAACATTAGCTGTGACAACATATCTTCATCCTTTTGGGATGTGATCCTTTATGTTTAAATAACAGCATTCTCAAACAAGTAACAGTTTGAACTGCTGTTTGAAGTTGAAAACCTATTTAAACTTCAGGAAACACTAATTTAATTGAGATATATTGGGACTTAAAATGAAAGAAAAAATAGCTCACGTTTCTGCTTCCTTCTCATAATCTATCAGCTGCAGTAGGTTTTCAATCCCATGGTACCATGACAGATTCCAAGCTGTTTTAAGCATATCTGACACAGGTTTCATAGCCAAGCACTCAGAAGACAATGGCACCACAACAGTATTAGGGCTAACTACATGATGAGCAGTGATCCTGACTGGGAGATGATACCTAAATATACACAAATAACAATAACAATTTTTAAAAGTGATTGGTGAGAGTTTTTTTGTTTGCTCATTTTTAAATTAAATGCTCTATTACAACCAGGTTGTAAATTTGCAAATAAAGTTTTTGAAACTTTTTTACAGAGAACAAAGACATGGAGAAAAAACTATGTATTTAAAAATACTCATTTCATCATCATAAAAATGCTTTGATCAAGGTTTTCCTTTCATTCTGCCAGTTCCATACTTCAGGAAGGACAGCAAATGGGAATCAGCAGTTAACTGTAAAACAAACAAAACCAATGAACCAAGCAACCAGCCAGCATCCACACGTACCTTCTAACAACAGCAACAGGTAAGCTGAAGGCAGGTACCTCAGTACTATTACTGGCTATGCAATCAGCCCTGCAAAAGATTAAGTCATAGTTATTTTGCTCTATTTTAAGATTTGATTTTCTCCTAATGCTACACACGTTATTTCCTTATTATTTGGCTACAGATGTATTTCTCCCTTTAGCTAGGTCTTCAATAACCCATTGATGAATAATTTGTATTAATAAACAATGTGTCTTCATGATTATGCAATATTAAGATATTTCTTAAATCACACACGTATGGAATATTTATTGCAGATGCACTGTACATTAAAAACCTCTGTATACTTGTTTCCTTTTCTTCTATTAAAGAAAAACCACACATTATAAGTATTTTCAGTATGCTTCATGTGTGTGAATTCTAAAAGCATACTTTTTCATGCATATGCAGCTTTTAAATAATAAAATAGCATAAGCTGAGGTGTGCTGCTTTAAAGACACCTGCTACACTTAAAAGCCAAAGTAAATAGAAGAATTCTATTTAAGTTAAAAAAACATGTCTACAGCTAGCTATTTGATTTGTGTAGTTTCTATTCGTTGAAAAAATGGATTACAGACCAATCAAGGTTTTTTGAAAAATAAACTTAAAATTAACACTAAGGTACTTATAGTGCAAAAACTATGCCATGTAGGTCTCCAGAGCATGTAACCCAATTATCAAAACAATCTGGACTAGAAATAGGCAAGTTTGGATCTATAAAAGTTTGGGGCATAACTTTTCTGGAGATATACAAAAAATTTATTTCTATTAAAATCTTAAGATTTGTCTAGAGAATATGCTATTAAATAAGTGGATTTTCATACCATGTTTCTGTTCTTGCTACTTCATCAAACAACAGAAGACAAAGCAATACTGTAGTTTCAGTTAAAACAGCACGATCACTTTGGAGTATCAAGGAAACTGAATAAAATAAAGATATTTAAAAATGTGTTAGGAAACAACTGTTACCTAATAATACATAGAAGGACACCAGATAAAAGCAACTGCTCTCCAGTTTCCTGCCATCTTCAACACATGCCACAACACAGGAAAACTAGCACACAGTGATTTATATCTTAAAAATCAGAATCTGATATCATGAAGTGATCCAAAGTTCTTAAGAAGACACTTGGTTAAACATCTAACCATCTTTTGACAGGGGTACTACAGTGGAAATACAATTCTCACCTCTGAATAGCAAAAGCAGTAAAGAAGGTTGCTGTGCTAGTGACAGGCGAACAGTTGGGTCAGCACACACAATTTTGCGTAGGAGTGTCAGACATGGTACCACTATGGACTCCATAAGCTGCAGGAACAGAAAAAAAGATTAAATAAAGATAACTGTCAGTATAATTCATTATGATGAACTTAACACAGACTGTCACACTTTTAAGCAATATATTTCATCATTTGTAAAAGATGGCTTCCTTAGACAAGCACCTTTCAGCCAGACAACAACAGCATATTCATGAAAAAGTATTTATTTACTTTTTGATTAATTTTATTATTAATTGATGGTAATTGTATTTGTCTCTGCTTTCATAACAGAATTATAACATTTGCTTTCATATTATACGGTTTTAAGGATATATGTGAGCTGAAGGATTTAAAAAAAACACCAAGTATTTACAATCACATAAATTTATTAATTTTTAAAAATTAATAAACTAATAATAGCCTATTATATCACATTATTTTTCTGGGTCCCAGCCTGTCAGATCATGAGAATGGAAAGCAGTTTGCTAAAAGTTAAAGTATCAGTGAATGGCCCAATATACAACCAAAGTCACAGCTCCTAAGAAGAGAGTATTTCTTTCACAGTATCATTACTTTGCCTATGAGTTTCTGCCTTTAAAATCTGTAAAATTTGTAAACAGCATCAACAAATCCATTTTAGTTTGATACCTCATGAACAAAAGCCCTACTTATTTAGTATGGAATCTCTGGCACAGTTATATACAAAGCTTTATTTCAATGTCAATTTTTTTATTTACTACTACTACTGCTTTTATTTTCTTTTCTCAGTAGCCAGTTTTCTAAGAACATTTAAGATTTTTTGTTCATTTTTCTTTGCTACTGATTTTATGATGAAATAAAAAAAAGTCATTCAAGGGAAGAACTGAGAATCTGGACTAGATTCCCTCAGGTTAGTGTCCTAATGTCACAGTCCCTAGAGAGTTGCTGCCTGAGCCCTCCCAAGATTAGGCTAAACTTTATAAAGGGCTCAAAATATTACTTTAAAGTTCACCCTAGACTCTTACTTGACTATGAAGGATCTGCTTAGGGCAATTTATTCTTCATGCTTGTCCTTCTGTATTATTGAGCAATATCTACTCACTACCCAAACCAAGCAGCTGCATTACTTTCTCTCTAAAGAAGGTAAGATACTATAAAACTGACATTAAAAAAAAACAAACCACATTTAAAAGCCTGAGGAACCTAATATTTCAATTTCATCAGCTGTATTAGAACAGTTTATTGAAGTGCTTCTATACAAGCAATCATAAACTGAACAAGACATTCTTTAATGCTATAGAGATAAAATAATCTTAGATACTGATAATCTGAGGAAAAAACTGCCATTACTGAAGAAGAATGTAATTTTTATTAGTTTGACAGAAAAAAGGAATTCTACTAAGTATCAAGCAGTACTTTTCTCTTGTACACTTTTGGGAAAAAAGTCATTACTACACAAAAATTCTCATGATTTCTTAAATTTACTCAAGGTTTGGACAGGTGGAATGCAGTAACAATACTATGCAAAAAAGCCAAAAAAACTTTAGCCACTGCATTGAGCACCTCCTAGCCTAAACATGCTTGCAAGAAATAATTTCAAATAATTAATTCCAGAAAAAATCAAGCATCAGATTACCCATATTACAAAAATGGAAAGCTCCATCATTTACAACTAGAGACCCTCACTGGTAAAGTGATCTTCTATTGGTCAGAAAATTCTTTATACCTGAAATTCAATCTGACACATTTACAGTAACATGTCATACAATTGCATGTCATTTTTAGTTATAATTTGCTTCATAATTTAAGTTTAGGGACTATTATACCTAACATAACACATTATTTTTAAGGATGTTAAAATGGTTTTTATTCTCTACTGAGAAAACATTCAGGGAAGTTTTGGTACATTACAGAACCTCACTATCCACAATTCTCTGGCTAACTCTTCTCATAGGTAGGCAAACCAATCTTCTCCCATTAAGAGCATCTCAGCATTATCAAAACTAGACCAAATACACATTTCAACTATAATTGTTACATAAACACTTGCTCAGTGTTCACAATTCAGTGCAGCATTAATGCATAAAGACCAGTGTGGCAAGTTCAGAAAAAAACAAACTCTACAACACTGTCATGCTGTGTGCAATGCTTGCAGAAGAACATCTAACAACACTTTTACCTTGCCATCCACGTGTACACACTCATTAAGGTAAGCCAGTATCTTTTCTGTCACACCCAACTTTTTCACAATGCCATGCATTTTGGTATCTGTAAGAAAAGCAAAAGATAGTAAGACCAACTGGTTCTGCACAAATTTAATATTAAACCTTTTGTAAGATTACAAACTCCTGCTGTCTAGAATAAGTTTCTAATTGCCAATCAATCAGCAGTACATAATCTCTAGCAAGGCAAGCCACCTCAAAGTATTTTTATCTGACTATAGTAGCCTTTTGAACACCAGATTCTTAAATATATTATACAAATTCCCACAAGAATTTTACACTGTAGAATTACAGTAATCCCAGTGCAATTTTAGTCAAACAAGGAGGTCACTTCTAATATTTTAAAATATTTTAACAGTTTAATGAGTAATAAAGTAGCACAATGGAACTGATAAAGGAACCTAGTATCTTCAGCCTAGTCAAACAGAAACCATGGGAGAGACAGACACAGATAACTACTCCCTGGGGTAGGAGTGAGAGAGAGATATGTTAGGAAACTTTGTAATGATACCAGGTAACTGATGGCATTCAATTGCTGATGGCTTAAATATACAATTGAAAATGGTATTTACTTAATCACCACGAGTATATTTTCCACTGGTATCTCCCTTTAGAGTATCTGGTTTACGTATATTCAACAACATAAACAACAAAAAAGTATGTCATTTGAATTGGTTGGGTTGATTTGTTTGTTTTTAAATAATTAAAAAATGATCCTTCATATGTAATTTGGCCGGATAAAAATGCATTTTTTTCCTTCACAACGTCATCCTATGTTTTGTTTCAATTTTGAAACATCTGAAAATTTTTGCAGCCATAACTAAACGTATCTTGAGACAAAGTAGATACACTTCCTCATTTTTGTGGTAATTTTTCTGATAGTATTTTTAATATTATCTAAGATTTTACCTTCCCGTGGCAAAGAACTTATGTTCTCTCATTAGAATTCAAATTCCTTGAAGAAACATTACTCAATCAGAGTTTAAATATACAGAGGAAAAACATCAAGGTTTGAAACTCTACAGTTATGCCCTAAGTGAAATAATGCTCTTTCTTAGCTGGCTTACTTGAATTGTAATTCGATCGCTTCTGCTTATAACAAAATTCATAAAATGAAAATTACAAAGGGCACCCTTAGCACAAGCATACAGACAACCTAGCAAAACTTCAAGCTCACAAATGACCAACGTATGAATACAAATTTTCTGAAGAATTTTACCTTCTAAAATGACAACCAGCTGCTCAGCTGCAGACTTCCGTAAAACTAGGTCAACAGCATCAGAAGTCAAGATATCGTACAGCTTTTCAACTGTTTCTTCCTAGAAATAAAACAATATTATATTTGCATCCAGTATGCTATCATGAAATAAGGGAATCAGTCAAATTTCCTAACAGGTAGTAGAAAGCAAAAATATCTTAATTCCTTATTAGAATGTATGTGATTAGAGTCCACACAGATGTAAGAGCAATGGATAAGGTTATAATCTTTTTGCAACAAATCTCTAATAATGTCTGTGGAATATGAAAACTAAACAGCTTCTTGTGCATCACAGCTGCAGAATTCTAATAGTACCTAATTTATGTAGGACTACAGAAATCTTAACACTACACCAAAATGCTAAAACACGCTTTAAGTCTGTAAAAGGGTCTTATTTTTAATAGCAATAGGGTCAAGCATCTAAGAACTTGCTTATCATATTGTTAATCTGAAAGTATTGAGGGGGAGGAAGAAAGGAGAATGGAGACGGGAGATGAAAAAACAGAAATAAAAAAAAAAAAGAAACGCATTCCCTGGAGTCATACACTCTTGATTTGCTTTACACTTTGCAACAGCAGCAATATTAAGCAAACACAAGTTTAAGTCTGCAATACATTTTAAAGCATTTCATATTAAAAATTATTTGTGCCTGATTTAGTAAAAATTGCTTTTAGTGGGGAAAAAATATATGAGAAAAAAAATCAGACTCTATCCACGCAGAATGAAATTGTTATGAACAGAGCAGGCCTGTGTTCTGAAGTACTGTTTCAGTGCACACAGAAAGAATACGTCAACAGATTTCTTTTTATGAAGCAAGTCAATTTGCATGAAATACTGCAACCTTCTGAAAATGGAAACTTCAGAGACTGGACAGGTAGAAGAGCAAAATTTAGACAGAGTTTACTAACCTTAATTATTGAGTTCATTTTATCATCCAGTTTTAGCTCCATCGCTCCTTCTATAATAAGTAAGTTTGAAATGCTGGAAAGGACATTGCCATCCAGACATGGACGTTTCAAGTTTGCCCCTTCTTCATTCAGAAGATGGAATGCTAAATGTTTAGCTGCTACAGAACGAACCCTAAAGGAACAAATATTTAAAATAAATATATAAAGCCCTCATACTGGAAAATTGTAGCTGTATAGTTCAAAATTAATTAGTTTAGATATGGGGTGGAAATATGACACTCAGTATTGTTTAATCAACCTTTCAAATCAAGACACAGCATAATATTTAGGAAAAGACATTGCTGTCATCAACATGAGAAGATGTGCTGAAATGATGTAGAGAATTACTTACAGCTGCTTTTTTGAGAAGAGAAGGCGCAGAGCAGCCTGTAGTCTGGGAGTTCTCAGGAGAATGCCCTCTCCTTTGTCAGAGGTTGTTTCACTCAAAGAGAGAATGCATTTACCTAAAGTATCTTTTGTGTCAGCATAACCCTTAGAGAAACAAACAAAAACCAAAAATTTCCAAAATTATAAAAATCCACTTACTAATTTAGCAAATCACTAAAGGTAATTAATCTCCTTTTTAGGGGTTAAGGAAGAGTGCAGAAGTAGCAGCATAAAAAAAAAACCAAACACACAGTTATTTTTAAGAAAACATTCAGATTCTGCAAATTAATATTCCTCTGTGAAAATAATTTGAAAAATTAATAGATGATCCTATATCCAAATAAAAGTAAAGATTTCTTCACAGGACCCAGAGGTACTTTGACGCAAAGCTTCACCCTTCAGTCTGTTAATATGATGCTGCTCTGTTAGGCCAGTTTCCATTTCAATAAATTAAATTTAGTACCTACAAGAAAGTTATTTTAAAACATTAAATTCTACCTACATTCAGGTCTTCATTAAAGTGTTTTAGCACACAGACAAAAGGGAATCAGTTATGTCAAGTAATGATACTGCAAGCATTTTAAAAGTGGAGCAAAATACAATGCTTTTTCCATGCATCAGGTAAACATAGACCTCTGGTATACCCTACTTTAGTATCAACTGTACAAAGCCACTACAGGATACAGAATGGAGGGAAATTCTACTCATAAAAATTTTTCATATGTTTAGCCTACAGCCTATATTAAATCCCCAACTATTTAATCTTGAAGGTCAATCATATGTAAGATATATATGCAGGTAACACAAAAAAGCTCTAATGACTGGTTGAGAAAGCTCTGAAATAACCCTTCTCCCACCTCTTTCAAGTTTTCAGTGTATTTTCTCTACATATTTTTATGTCTGAGCCCATCTTATTTGCAATGTCTCCCCATTTTTGCCTTGATTTTTGTGCAGTTTGCATACTGAGTAAAGTTATATAAGCTGCTTTTTGGCCCTTTCAATTTATGGCAATACTGAGGTGAAGGCAATTAATGAACATATAGCAGGGAAACAAGTAAGTTGGTATAATTATCAGGAGTGATATTTTTTTGAGAAAATTAAGACAAAATGTATACTTTAATTTCTTAGCCGAGAGAGAAACAAGGCAAAAAAACATAGCAGGCAAATGCAGCAAAGTATCTAATCTGGAAGACCATGGGCAGACCACAAAAAGGAAATTTTAAGTACTAGTGAAAAAACTGTCAAGAATCCAGATGGAGCAATCAGGCTGAAAATCTGACTGAGAAAGACAAAAGTTCCATTTAGATCAAGCTGAGAATAAAAATAATGAAAATTAAATTTGTACATTGTTGGAAACATGAAGACTAAGACTTAAGGGATGCTTCTATAATATTAGAAACAAATCCACCAAAAAGCAAGTTTCTAAATATACTAAAAATATAGTTTATGCTGACTGCTATTTTTCAAGTGTGTATTCGATCAGAAAACTTATCACAGAGGAACTACAGTTTTCAAATTTAAGACATGGGGGACATTCTAGTAATTATTAACGAATTTTAAAAAGCATGAATGCTTTAATCTGTACTTGTATCATTCACTCATATCTTCAAACCTTTTCAGCCCCAGTCAGTATTGGCTAATTTGTACTGCAACGTTTCAAATTTCATGCACAAGTAATACCAAGCTAAAATTTGTCTACAAATTCAATGCACTAACTTTTACTGATATTGGGACCCCTATAAAACATTTTTCCATTTGACATCTGATAGAACACGTCTGTAGGTATATTACTGTTAATCTATTTTCCATCTGCTACTTCTATCTGTTATTTAACCTGATATACATGATTCCATATATGAAATTCAGATTAAAGCACTTAAAAGTACCTGTAAAACAGGAATGACAGGACAGAGTGCCTCAATAAACTTGCTCCAAGTAAATACTTCCATCATTAACCGTCCTTGCAACAGATGTATCAGGATGGCCTTGGCTGTAGAGTACACCTGCTCAACAAAAATAAAAAACAATCTATTCAAGTAACCACTGATGTGTCTGTTTGTCAATGCTGTAATTGGAAATGTTATACAAAAACAAAATATTGTTACTGCAGAATGCTACATTTAAATTGTCAGTTACACTAAATATTAAGTTGTTAGAAAAACCTCCAAGAGAAAACACACAAATAATTCTGGCTAAACAGCACTCAATTATATTCTCCATAGAACTCGGATTTGTCTTTTCTGAAATAAATCGTTACTTAAATTGCTATACTTATTGGTCCCTCCATCTTGCAGGTAAAAGAATTTGTTTCTTTTCTTTCCTGACCTTGGCCTTCTGGGGCATTTTATTCCCAGTCTATGATATGCTTCTGAAAATACAGGAAGCCAAGAGACTTAAAGCCAGTTAGGTGGACATTTCACTTTCCTGAGGCAAAGAGTCAAACTAAGAAAGCTACCAAATATTTCAAACTGTATCACAATTCATCTGAAGCTCTCTATCAAAACCAAAAAAGCTATATGATACAGCATTTATACTGCATTAATGTATCCAATACATAATCTACACAACACACAATATTAGAGTATTTACAAACTAAAATTATTAGTGCAGTGGGAACATAGGAAAAAATCCCAGCTTATCAGAATTAACTCTTTCTTACATAGTGTAAAACCACCTGCCTTCCTCAGCTGACACCCTGCATTTTATACCAGAGCTAAAAATCCTCTCACCCCAGGCAACAAGGACAGCCTTTAATAATATCACTCCAGTCCATCTTTAGAAAAAGACTATCCTTATAAAATCATATGGCAAATATCAAGCCTAACCTTGAAATATAAGGTTCTCAATTTTTTTTATCATTGTCAGAAGCCTAAAAGATTAAATAGATGCTATATAACAACTTAAGCAGCAGTTATATGGCAAGAAGTAAAATAAATTTAAAAATTATTGGATATGATGTTCATTATCTATTTTGTTAGATGCATAATAAAAATACATTATTAGGTAGAGAACAAAATATGACAAATTTGTAAATAGGCACTGATTTTTTAAATTCAGCATCAATTGAAATTATTTCTTTTGCTTGACCAACCACTAATAGAGAAAACAGTGAGTCCTTTTAATAACATATCCAATGGAGTAGACAAAATAAATTCTTTCCTTGCAAAAGATAAATTACATACAAAGCATAAACATATAGCACATTCTCAAAGATATTTTACTTGTCTTTAAAATGAAAACTTCTAAATAGAATTGTGCATAATATTGAATTTTAAAAAATCTCATTCCATAAGGGAAACAAAAATATATATAAATAATTTGTTAGTCACTGTTCTGTATGAATGTATGGATGTTATAGATCAGTTATAAAGGAGCTGTTATGAAGAACATAAGTAACTTTATCTTCCTCTCACAACTCCCTACTTATCTCTGTAGTCTAGGAAATAGTGGACATATGTTAAGCAGTCATGCATATAAATGAACCCAATGGAAATTTGGTCCTATTCTACAATGTTATAAAGCACTTCTATAATATTCAGACAACTATATATAAAAACAGATGTTTGTGGCGGTGAAATACAATTTTAGAAAGAATTTGCAGATTTAAAGTGTCTTTTTGTTCCTCAACCATTTCAAAAGTTACCCCACTTATAAAAAGTGAGACTTAGAAGTTCATGTTTCCCATAAATGTAAAGTACCATACATTTTCTTCATACATGCTTTTTACTAGGGATGAATATATTACAGGAAAAAGTAAAAAAACATAGCTTATTTCATTTTTCATTGCTCTTTATTACAGTTAGTACCATCCTACACACATAATGTTATCTTGTCTCTGAATTCATTGTAAAAAAAAAAAAAAATCCTTCCATTTACTACAACCTTACTACTTGCATAGCTTTTGTGTATGCAAGAAACCATTTTTAGTCAAACTTCAGGTAAGCATTAGACCACTATGGAGAATATCAACACCTACTCTGCGTGCACACCAACTTACAAACACAGCTGGTAAACACAGTACCTCATTCTTATCTTCCTGAAGGCCAAATGTACAGATTTCATATAACACTTTGGGGTGTAGAAGAAAATGTATTCCCTGGCAGATTGAAGGCGCGGGCTTCACAGTATTATGAATACCTAAACAGTCCTTCAGTAAAAATAAAGCTGGTTAGTTTAAATATTCAAGACAGTCTCCACTACCATCTCTTGTTTTATAGACAGCCTGAAGTTGTCATGCAGTAAAAGACTTTCTCCACACACTTTGGAAGACTAGTTCTGAAAGCTAAATATGACAGTCCTGGAAGAAACACAATCTGCTTGGACCAGTGATTGAGAACTCCTGTTACTACACAGGACTAAGAAATAGAAGATCATTTTGGTTTTATTTTGAATAATTGTGAGAATAAATTTGAAAACCTGTATATGTTGCTTGGCATTACAGTAAATAAGACAATGTTTGGCATTACATTAAAATAAGAAAAACCTAAAACAGGCTGGTAAAAATCTCACAAAAAGAGACAGGTGTCATTCAGTGGAGATAGGTTTTTTTTTCATAGAGACTGGCTCCAGCATATTTATACATTAGAGGATTGTGCTACAAGCACACTAGATACAGATTATGTCCATTCTAGAAAATAAAAGTTTCAATCAAGTATTATATCAAAATACAAAAAATATTTTTATTTTGTGAGCCAGTATTACTGAATACCTAAAATGACCCAATAAATATGCTATCACCACTCCCAGCAAAGAGTACAGCTATACTTTTAAGAAGCTGATGCCCTTTATCCCTTGGCCTATCATTACAAAACACCTAAGTAAAAAAAAACAAGACACACACAATATGGCTCCAAAACAGGGAAAAAAACCCAAAGAAAACAAACAACAAACATTAGGAGTACATAAAAGGATTTACAAGGTCTTTATATGATTTTTAAGTGCAGTACCTGAAGTCTAACCTAACCAAGTAGATGCAATACCAAGAATGTAACAGCAAACGGCAATCCCAGGCTGAATTTTCAGCATGTAACACTTAAAGAATTTGTATTACAAATTTTGCTGGTTTTGCACAGCTACACAAATGCTTCTAATGACAAAACTATATAGCATGCATTATTGAGTGCAACACCAAGAGTGTTAAGCAAGCATTAATTCAAACCTTAACCACTCCCAAACAGCAGCGATAGGCTTCAGCTTTTATATTCAACAAAGGATGAGACAATAGACGGAGAAGCAGCTTCTGACCCTCCGCCTGAAGCAATGAGTTGGCCTCAGCAGACTTCCAACTGAAAATGAAAAACAGTTAATTAATTTATTTTACAGTACCTAACGATGCCTAGAAAAATTTTTGTGTTCAATTTCAGGACAATCTCTGAAAAATACTTCCTGCAATGGTATACATTCTGAAAAACAGTAAAAAGTTCAGAGATCACAACATATTTGCCAAGATCATAGTATCAATCTTTGTGTTTGTATATATCTATTCTTTTAAACATGTAGGTAATCAAAGATTATACTTTATCAAAACTCTCTCATCAAAATTACGAGCTTGACAAATACTGATGTTCATCTGAAAATATAAAATTCTATTTACCTTCAGTAGACACCTTTGATCATATATATGATTATAAAAAACACTTGTGCTTTTAGAATGTTATCATTATAGAGATTAAAGAACATATCACTATCATGAACTGATGGTAGTTAAAAAATTGAATTTCTTATTGCCTGAAACAGTAACCAAAAAGGCATTAGAACAAAAGGCATTCTAAAAGCATTAGAACATTGAAAAACATTTTGACATTTCATAATTTAAAATCACTTACTGGACAGCTCTTAAATGCAGTCTCCCTTGAAAAAAAACCCTAAATTCAAGTTCTGAGTCAGTATAAAATTAATTTTTTTTTGTTCAAGAACTTTTCCAGGCACGATAAGGCAACTTATTCTCTAACTAGAGACATGGAAAAATCATAAAAGCAATAAAAATATGCTGTTGAATAAATGAGATGCCATATTATAATATAAATCATCCACAATGAAGTAAGTCCTTTAGAATTTCTGAAAGTAAAATAAAAGTAAGTCATACAAATATGCTCAGGGCAAAGGATTTTCAAGAAGTCTGAAAGACAAGTCAAAGTGTCTAAGACTATTTCCTTATAAATCACATACTTTACATACAAAATCATAAAAGTTTGTAAATAGACTAGAACGTGAAGATTTTAGCAACTGAAATTTAGTTTTTAAGAAATCCATCACAGAATGGCACAAATCAGTTAGAAGAGACTGTTCAATGGCTAAAACACAATAATTGTTCCTACACGGAATAAAGACATGAGCTTCTATTTGAGAAACCTTATCCACAAAAAAAAAAATTAAAAAAAATTATGTTTTCTCAAGCAGAGTTTTAAATAGTAATGTACTTACATATTTGAACATATGTAAATGCATTCTTGAAGCAAGGGAAAGTGTAGGTGGAAGGGTAGACTACTCAAAGCCTGATCTGCCAATTCTAGTAATTCAGAAAGATTCTTGTCCCCCTGTAAAGTAAAATGAAGAGAAACAATGAAACTAACAAAATTAGTAAAATTAAAAGTATCCAGTATTACTGCATAATCTTTCCAAATTTTTCATATTGAATACTAAGCAGTATTTTGTTCAGTATTTTACAGAGAAATTTATAATTAACTAATTCAATACATTTCAACAAAAAAAAAATAATTTAGAACCTGTTCGGGGGAGCTGAAAGCCCTTCAGATGCTGAGTTTAAATAAACTTCCATTAAACTCAGCAGGAATAATGTATGTCTAACATTTCACAGCATGAACACTATAACACTATTCAAATTACTATGTTTTTATCAATATGCATTTTACGTGGAAGGAGTATAATAAAAGATTTAACTATTAAACTTTTAACATATCACTATTAAAGAGCAAGTTAGATTTTTCTTTTTAAATTTAAGTACATGTGTCTTCATCATATTTGGTTACCAAATACATTAAACATGAACCATTTAAATTTGATGGAGTTAACTTAATTGTAAAGAACATTTTATGAGCAAAGTATTGCTTGTATTAACTTCAGAACCTGCCTAGACAAAGGCTAGATCAACTCTGATTTAAGACAGCACTATATTTATATTCTGTATGTTATTAATTTATTTTAGTATCAATAGAACCAGTATTGTGCAAAATTGCTTATCCATTAGCATAATGGAGAAGAACATTTCAGTATTGTGCTAGAATCTCTTAACTAATAAAGTGGTTATCTTCATAACAAAGTGAAACACAAATCTCAGCCTGTCTAGTAGTTGTTTATCAAAGCTGCAATTGCTAAAGTACTTGGGATTTAAAATTTTCTGAACAACATATTTAGCTCCTGGACAACACACATACACCTACACTATATATTTTAATAGATATAAAATAAATAGTGTATTATACAAATGTATAAATATTATATATAAAGACATATCTTTATATACATTGTATATGCTTGTATGAATAAGCAGAGTATTTGCTGCTTCTTTCTTTGACCATAAAAGGTCCTGTGCCTCCTTCCAATTTTCAATTGTTTATTTCTTTGCTTTTACTTAAGTTTTTTTACCAACATCATGACTAGTATTAACAAAAACATATAAAGTAATTACACTTTGGATCATACAAAATACTCATACTTGAGGATCTTCTTCTTCTATGCTAACTTTAATTTTTACCAGAGAGAAAACAAAGTGAGGAAAGAAATTTGCCTACAGGAAATATTTTATATGACAAAGTTTCACACCTCCTTATGAACTTCAGCCATAAAGCTACAAGTGCATTCAATCGAATACGCAGCTTCTGAAACTTGCTTATAAATACTGTAGTTCTCAGTACTCATCTGCTCCAGATAGGCTGCAACAGATTCATGCATGTTTGGGTATTCCAAGGAGAAGGACATATCCAGCGAGAGAAGGAACAAAGCATTCAGCAAACTCTTTGGTGTAACTTTACTTGCCTTTGAAAAAAAAAAACCAACTATCAGAATAACAGCCTGAAAATACAGTAAAAACCACCAATAGCATTTGCAGTCATTCAACAAATTCAACCACTGTTGCTGCTACTTGAAAGAGAAACACATTTCATTAAATGAGTTCTACATGAAGAAGTTTTGGGTTTCTTTTTCATTAACAGTGATAGTTAATTAGATGTCACTCCTAACATCAGACCTGCAACCAGACACAAAAGTTGCGTATGATCCTGGCACGGCACAAACACTGCTAGCCGGAGTCAATTCACTGTCTGACCACGAGATGGCAGAGAATACACAAACCATAATTATTTCTGTATTTAAAAAAGCTGTCTACAATTCCACGTGGTCATATTGCAAACTAAGGACTGGATATTTTTCTTGTTGTTTTGAGTTTTTCTTTTATTTTTAATTGCAAGTGCACATTCTTTCAACTTAAATTTTGACCTCAAACAGGTGAACTGTTCCAACTGTTATACATGGAATGGAAACTTGGCATTATGTAGAAAAGACCACTAAAGACAAAAATTATGAAAAGTCATTTGATTAGTATGTCTACACTTATTTTTCAGGAACAAGACTTAACATTTGTGACAAAAACTGAAAATCTACTACGATTGACTAATGTCTAAGGAAAGCTACATCCCACTTAAAATTGGTTCAAAAAATTAAACCCCATTCAGGTTTAAACATCTAATACTTTCTATCATACAAAAAATTCATCAGACCTTTCCAACTGAAATAATAAAAAAAACAACCTCTACCCTAAAAAAACAAACAAACAAAAAAAATACCAATCCCAAGAACAACTACAGAATTTCTTTTAAAGAGCACTGGAAGCAAAGAACAATTAAAATCACTCCAATTTATGAAACATAATTGCTTACTACATTCCATCAGATTAAGTGATGATTTTACATGTTGCATAGCTCTACTCTTACTTGCATGTGTACTATAAACGAGCAGGGGGCAGCAGAGTTTTGCAAACCATATATCATATCAGAAAAAAAGAACACTGCATTTCAAAAATCTATTTAAAAACTGTATCCTTTTTTTTTAAGATTTGTAATCTGCAGAATACACTGGTAACTGAAGAATGGACAAAGTTGCCATCTGTATACAGCATACAGCACCCAATACAAATCAGATTAATTTCTCCGTCCAAGGGGCTATTTTCTCAGCATTAATCCCTGAAGAAGGTATCTCTTACTGCCCTCTTAAAATGCAAAACCAAGAGAAAACCCCTTATAATTAGTGATGACATACCTTTTCCACAGGGAGAAGTATTTGGAGCAATCTAACAGTGAAGAGTGAAATGCTAATAAATGCCATTCTGTGATGCACCAGCATCACCTTGGGCTGTTCTGCACTTATATTGCTTTTGTGATATAATATAGTTTCTCCAAGCAAACCCAAGACTAGAAGCAATTTGTCTTTCTGAAAACAAAATCAGAAATACAATAATTAGAAAAAAATGAAACATCACTACATATTTACAGTGTTTACACAGCACCTGCAGTATCATTAGCACAGTTATGCCACATAAATTAAAATTGCATAAATGGTACAAAATACATAGCATTGCATTTGTCACCTATGCATTAGTCCTAGATCTCAGTCTGTTTTCACTATTAGTTCTGACTACTTTGCTCAATAATTACCCATTCCTGGTTTCTCCCTCCCCTTCCCTCTCCCACTTTTGTCTCTTCCCCCACAACCTTACTTTCAGCTCACTACACTTTTGAACTTCTGAAATTTTATCTATTTTGAAGTTCAGTCTTAATAAGGAAATATTAAGACCTGGTTTGAACCTGCTAATAAAGCTTTACCTTAAATTAAAAAAGTAATTTAAAAAAGCCTTCCCAAACCAATTCACAGTAAATTTGAAAACATCAAAGAGTTTTTTATCCCTATTGATTCTCAAAGGAAACCACAAAACTTTTTTCTTCCTCTCCCTATTTAAAAATAAAAAAAATATTACTGTATACCATTACCCAGCTTATTTGCAAAGGTTTGTTTGTTAGTAGCCTATTAATAATAATCAGTATGGTACACATTTTATATTCTACTGTAGCTTAACAGACGTATTTAAACATTTTAACAATGAAATTCATTCATTTTAACAACGAAATATGCTGACTCAGATCATAAAACAAGTAGACAAAGAGATATTAAGCTTCTGAGTTTAAATGTTCAGCACTGATGTGATGTTGATCAATTAAAACAGATTTCCACAGATTGGTAGACTAAATTCAAAGAAAAAGTTCTCATTCACTAATAGATCCTATAAATATAAACATTTATAAAATAAGGAATAGGAAAGCCTAAAGCAATATTTTAATTAATTAATATTGCAGCTGTTATTGTTTCATATTCAGTAGTATTTTCACGAATTCTAACTCAAGCCAGGTGCATTTAAGACTACACTTAATTCAAATCCTTAGACAAGTTTCAGTCTGCAGCTCCGGTATGTTTATTACATGCCAGCTTATGCTTCAGCTTTCACTTGTCTTCAAAAAAGCAAGTCAATCATTTTATCTGTTATTCACTAATTTTATAATTCATGTATATAATAACTCTCAATTGTGCTCAGCAATTTAAATTATTTGGTCAACAGCACCTTAATGCTTTAAATCTCTGCTGGTCCAGAAAGGCCTCTCCTTTCTTTCCCAGCTAAGCAACATTGTTAAGAAATTTGTGCAGGGTAGGAAATGGATAGCATGTATGTATCTTAGAATTCCAGTCCTGGATTTGAACAGTTATCTCCCTACTTTAAGATAGATTGTTTATAAGGAGTAAAGAAAGGGTAAGTTGTTATGGACATCAAATTGGTGTCCAGCATTTATAGTCAGTTTGTTTCCCTAAAATTCCCCTCCCTACATGTGTTTCTCTCAATTGCTGCTTATTTTCTTAAGGTGAAACTTCAAGTATTGTCTGGTAAAATAACTTACATTTTAAAAGGTGCCATCAACAAAACTAATAATAAACAACTTAAAATTTTCAAAAGAACAGCTCAGCAAAAGCTTAGATAAATCAATCACTGCAGAAAATGTCCGAAGCTTTTAAAAGGAGACAAATATCTGATCAAAACCTGAAGAACCTTACCAATTCCAATGCAAAAAGACTGTCATCTTCCCAAACATTTTCAGAAATAGCATCACCAATAAGGGACATGTCTTCAACAAGCAACTTAAGAACTTCCATTGTTATTCTCCTACTGCCTACAAACACAAATGAGAGGATAAATTCAAATAGAGACAAAATTTTATATTTTGATATTCAGAAGACACCACTATAAACAAGAGACTATTCCTCATATGAAATGCTGTTATTTTCCTATATACTTCTACAAAACTAAGGCTAACTGTCCTTAACCACTAATAGCTCTGAATCAGAGGAGACAACAACCAGTCAAAGTCACAACAGATTAAAACAATTGTAGACTTAGAAAAAAAAATATGAATTTCCTTAAAACTACAGAAAAATTATTTAAGAAAATAACTGTGAACTTTACTACAACTGTAAATCTGATTACTGAACCTTTTTAAAGTTCATAATAAAATCACTAATTTCTCCTGCCTAGACAGCTGTGTTACAAATCTTCTGTACATATTACCTATTCCCACTAATCTGCATTTTTGATATAGGAGTGCCTTTCTTCACATATTATTATGTTTGACATCTTTTAAAAGACAAAGAGATGAATACCCTTGAGCTACTTGCACAGTTCTCCATAAGAGTTTTCACTTTGCTTTTAGGCTGTTATTTGTTAATTTTCATTTCTTCTTCAGAGTGTCCCTTAATAACAAAGCTAATCCAGTCTATTATTCACTTTTATCCTTTGTACAATTTTAAGCTTGAATATGTGGCCACAAAGAAACCTGGTCTGAGCTTAGAAATCTACAGCCTACATTTACTACAAATATAAACCTCCTCCTAATGTCTCCAGATAATGAGAAAACACAGGAGTTAGGTTTCATGAAGAACAAGGCAGAATATCTGGAGCCAGACCAAATATTTTCAGCCTCACACAAGTGAGAATGCCAAAACTGTCTGACATCCTAAGGAACCATACGGTGACAGTTTCCCTTAAATATTCAATTTAGTGCAACAGTTGGCTTAGTTACTTGTTGATGGTATGTTTCTATTTAAAATCATAGATGGATTTCACACAATACCATTGAATTTTCAATGTATCTTTTAACTAAGAAAAATTCTGCATCCTTCAAAATCCTCAAAACAAAATCTGTTTAAAAAAGATAAAGATCTACTTGTTCATTGTAATTAAACGTTAAGTGCTTTGTGGATTTCTCTATCTCTTGTGAATTTTACACATTGCAGAAGCCTTGTTGATATGCTTGAGGAAAATTTTTTTATCTCTGTATGTCACTAGATATGTAGTGATAATGACCATAGCTTCTGCAATTTGCAGCTTCAGTGATCTGCTTTGGGTGAGAAATGACAGAGAATCTGTCACAAGGCCTTTCTGAAACCTTGTTTTTACCTGCCTCACAGAAGTACTATTTCCATTGATTTTAGATCAATTTAACTAAAGAAATTTCTCCAATTTTACAAAAGAAAACAAAACCCAAAACAACCCTCACAAAACCAAAACAGGCCCACAGCACTAATGATTTCTTCCATGACTTTGTTCACAAGGCAAGTAAGCACAAAGGAGGAAAAGTTACAATTAACGTTTCCACTAGAAACAGAATTTAAGCTTAACTAAAATACAGATCATATTTCAAAATAAGAGGCAGAAAATTTTACAATAAGCTTACTGTTTTTTCCTTTACCCAGTAATTTAACCATCTAGAATAAAACCTACTCTATACCCTATATGTTGATAATAATGTTCATAAAAATGCCTGTTGATTTTACTAAAGGTAACAACCCAAAATATAACCACATGAGAAACTGTGTGTTACTGTCTCACAGTATCACACTGTCTCACAGTGTGCCTTCAGATCACAGGCTTTCAGATCAACAGGAACAGGATAAAAATATTAGTTTCCTTACAATCTGTGTCTCATCACACCACAGTGGAAGAATGAAGAAATATCACCAAGGAGAGTTTAAAAAGCATAAAAAACCTAAGGGGAAGAGTCACAGACAGGTCCACCTGAAAGAAAGAACCCTGAAACACAGGAAAAACTGTCTTTTAACTCTGCAGATTTGAAGTGACAGGCACCAGAAATGGAAAAGATAGAAAATACACTTTCTGCAATTTTACATTATAAATAAAAGATGCTAGAAGTCATGAACATGCTTGTGACTAATTAATATTTAAATACCACTATTCTGAAAAAGAAAAAAAAAAACCACTTTAATTCATTTTAGTTGGTTTATAACAAAAAAAAATTTGAATACTTTTCATACACATTTCATAGAATTTTTATGAGTTGAAGCCTCTAACTTCTAGTATCCTAGTCATAGATAGATGCACATTTCCAGCTCCTGTATTTGAAACTCTGACAATTACCAATACCTGTTTTGAATTGCATTACATTTTACAGCTAAATACCATTTTAGACAGCCTAAGAGCAAAAAGCCTATCCTCCAAAAGGGCTTTTCAATTTAGAACCTCTGTAAATTAAAATTTGCAATTAGACTATCATACTTATGTTCCTTAAACCATTTCTAACTGCATTTGTCAGAACAAAAAGAAGCCTTTCACAAGAATTTTCATTTATTATTTCTTGAACAGGAGGAAAACTCTATGTTTAAACAGATCCTTTAGAGAACATCTTTGGTTAAGAGTGGTTATTTTTTCATCTTCCTGAACGACATTTTATCCTGCCACACCATTTTTCTACCATGCACTCACTTCCTGCCACTGTCAGTAAAAAGCACTTTAAATTTCTATAGCAATTCTGGAAAACAATCAGAAGATTCAAGTTTTGTAACCTGAACAAATTGCCTAGAAAAGATCTGTTCCAACTAGCCACAATACATCAGTAATCATCTGTGCCTTATTTATTTGAGGTACTCACCTCATTGACCAACTTCTTGAGAGTATCTTGTATTAAGGATGGGAAAGAGATATAAGTTAAGTATTTAACTCAAAACTTTCTCACCTGTTCTTAGTAGAGGTATTGCATTTTCCAAGATGGAAACACAGAATTGAGGAAGGCTAAGCTGCTTCATCTGTAATTCCAAAGTGTCCTCATTTTCAGTATCTGGTAGGTCAATATGTCCTGCGTCAAATGGGGAATGCAGAGAGATTCTGGAGTGTGCATTTGCTTGAGTACTGTTTCCACTTTAAACAAAAAGCAAACAAAAATTTTTAATAAAGCAACATAGTTAACTCCTGCAAAGAGAAAACACATATGTACAGATGTTAAAAATAGCATCAAGTATTTTCAGGACTCCTGTCTTAAACATATCCCTCCTCCCATCCCAATCTTTCTCTGCTATCTACCAGTGTTGCAGGAAGAGGGGGATTTTGTTTGGTTGGTTTTTTTTAAATGTCAGAGTAGGTACATCACAAGTGAATGCCTGATATCTCAGCACTCATCATCTAAATCACTCAGCACTGTGTACTGTAAGAAACATTGCACATGCAATGAATACAATACTGTATGAGAAATATCAGTTGACTGGAAATTCTTTTTTTTTTTTTATGAACAAAATTTATCAGTTGCTTGAAGCAAGACCACTTACTAAATCAAATTTCAGCCTGCATTATACTTACTGTATTAAAACCATTATATATAGCTAGCCACAAAAATCCTTAGAAGAAAATTAAGAAGCATGAGCTATGTTTACTCCTTAGGACTACCTCGTCCACTATAAAACAGGAGCTATTCCCTTGTCCAAGAAAGCTTTAAATGTAACCTATATATAATATATAGGTTATATATATATTATATATATATTTATATATATAATATATAAAAATATATTACAAAGTATATAGAATGTTATTAAATTATAGTTGTATCTTTAATTATTAAATATTTTATCTATGATATATGAATACATCATTAAAAATAGTAGATATGGTTCATAAATTATGAGCAATATATATTTCATAATTGTATTAGTTTTCAACTGGTTTTGATAATAATCTAATTCTACTGTCAGCATTATAATAAATAAAAATCAGAACATAATTTTTGTTTTCTTATCCCAAACAATGTTTAGCAATCTTGATTTGCTTTAAAAACCTGTATGACTTATAACTGGGTTTTGATTGGTTCCCTTTTTTATTATTAAATTAGACGAAGAAACTGAATTGTGGCACGACTGTGTTACATTATGTGTTACATAGAAGAGTTCACCAATAAGTAGTTGGGGTTTTTCTATACTTACCAGGGGAAAAGGAAGGAGAGGTATCAATCATAAAAACAATTCAGAAGAGGAAAGGTTAAGTTTCCAGGCAGAAATTGAAACAGACAAACAGATAGATTGAAGAATCTCAAGATTAAAGAAGAAGGAAAAGAAGAGTTACATATAGAATAGCAATAAACAAATTTACATTAAATTTATGTAGAAAAAGACAAGATTCACTAAAAGCAGCTCTTCCTTATCAAAATCAGAAATGTCAGAGCAACACAACTGTCATTTCCCTCTATCACACCTTCTATTCAACACTACGTTGTTCTTTATGCTACCTCTGAGCTAAATTATATTTTTGTAAGAAATGAGATTCATGGACAGTGAGCAGGTGTACTGCAGCACACAGGATGCAAGAAGATAAAGGTGTACAGTCATGAACAGCTCATAAACTGACCCTATTAGCACTCCCTGGTTTCTAGAAGTCTCATCACTGCCTGAACTGGTACTTACTCTTATGCAGCTTTCATTTCTAGACTGACAGCCAGGTCATCATTCTCTTGCACAATATACACCAGCTGCTATTAAACTGTTAACTGTTCAGCTCTGGAAAATGGCCAGGGCCCAGAACACATAAAGCCTGGAATTCTTTGATAGTGCCATATTAGTTACATGCTAAAAATTAATATATTACACTTAAATAAGTTTTTAATATGACTGGCAAGATGTATTTACAATTGAGCTATTCTCATTACAATCTATTTGAATACCTAGGAGGTACTCAATCACTAAGCCCACACATCACAGAGACTCAAAAGAGCAACTACCAAGCACACAGTAGAGATTTACAAGGACTTTTAAAATCTCACATACTAGAAGACATTTGTACTTGAACAGAAGCTTTAAGTTGTGTCAAGACGAGCAACAAAACCACACACAAAAACCTCTACATTTTGAGGGTATACAGACAATTAATAATTTCATAAAAGATTCAAATATTTACATGTCATAGAACTCAAATTTGTTGTCACATTTAACAACAAATTTTAAAGACTTCAATAGAAATCTTTATGCAGCATAGCATTTTTGACAATACTATATACTGTTACCTACAGGGTGGCCATTCCACTTAAAAGAACTTATGAGGTCATCTGCTGAAAAAAAGAAAAATCCCTGACTTTCCAGAAATAGACTGAATAAATGCTTTTCTGCATCATACAAATATATGCACATAGGCAATAACAATTAATAGGAAGAGACTTTGTTTAAAATGATAGTTGGGTACAAAATGTAGCAATGATTTTAAGTATTCTGAACACCACTTTAAGAATGGTTTAATTCATAAACATGGTATGAACCTTCACAAGTGACCAAAGACATTGCATCAATCCACACACTGACAAGGAGCTGATAATATAATCCTATATTAAAATGTTTTTGACTGAAGTGTAAGTTATTTTCTGTTTCATTCACCTAGAAGATACTGCATCCCAATCTTGACCATCTCCTCTAGGACGTTGAACTGTCCGTCCAATTACAGAGGGCCGAGGACTACTACCTCCGGGTGATGGATTCTGAGAACGAGGAGCACCTCTTGCTTCTTGACAGTAAGATATAGATGAATTCTGGGAAGCTGTGCCTTTATGCAACACAAAGAATATATTTTCCCTTAGAAGTAGCCATTATTCTGAAAGATACTACATAGTAAACAGCAAAAGTAACTTAGGTAGGATATGGCAAAAAAAACATGTAAATACTGATGACCTAGAACTACTGATCACTGGCAAGTAGCAGAGTTTGGAAACCAAATTCCAAGGCAAAAACCACTGAGGATTCCAACAGAGCTACAAATTTAGAGTTGTAAAAATAGAAACAGTGTCTGGGTAAGGCTATTGGACTTGTTGATATTATAACTGAATTAGCAGCCAGTACCATTTATTAAGACACCAAATACAGTGGCCATCTTATGAAAAGAACCAGACTACAAATTTACAGAAACAAAGTTTTGATTCAATTCAGGTGACAAGATGGAAACAAGAAACCATCATAAGTAATCTACACCATTAAAGCCACAACATTTAAGTATTAAGAACATTGTGAGGCAGCCCTCATGACTTCAAAACAATGATAGAACTATTTTTAGCCATCAGCATAAAAAAAAGTTCACATATCCCATGAAATTAATAACTACATTGTTAAGTACTAATAGCTTGAAAGCTTTTCTGAAACTTTGCCCACTTTTATTTTACATATTTAGTTTTAGTTAAAAATCCCTTCCCTACTGACATAGAAACAATTGGATATTGGGAGAAGTTGATGAATGGGAAATCACAGAAAAGTAAAACTGAATTAGTAAATTAAAATGATGCAAGTACTCAAAGTTTTTAATTAACATTTATAGTACTGAACACCATCCCTTTAGCAAAACAGTTTCACAAGATTACATTTTCTATAACGTTCAGGTTTTGGGTTTTTTCCATCATTTTAGACAATTTTATGTGTAGTAAAAAAAAAACAGTATCTCAAATACTTAAAAATACCTACCATGCTCTGAGGAAGAAAAACTTGGATCTCTGTGGAAGTTAAGTCTACTTCTCAAGAAGATACAAAGCTGTTGCAAGCACGACACAGCCTGCAAAGCCAACTGGTGTCTTCCATCTCCTCCAAAAGCCAGGTTTAGAAGAGACAAAAGGCTCTGCAAAGACAAAACCACCAACAATGAGACCTGAACATTAATCACCTTCATGAACAACCATGCCAGCAAATCTTGCACTAAATATAGTTCAAAAATGTTTCCAAGTGTTTTTCAAAATGACAGTAAAGAATAAATAGGCTCAACTACTCTTTTATGACTAAATGCAAGACTATCATGCCTAAGGAAGAAGATAAGTTTCACATTGTATTTCCCATGAAGTCACTACTTTCATTATGGGAGCCCATTAGATGGTGTGCAGACAACAACCACACAAATTTATCTTATCCAAAAGAAACAAAGTACTTCAGAAAGAACTTCATTATTGAGTAGCAACGTACATTGTTACAAGCAAAAAACAATGTACAGCCAATGTCCCCTTCCCTATGCACCTGGAGTTAGCATAAAGGTACTGCTGTTTAACTACTTAATTTAAAAACAAATTGAATCATTTGCATCAATTCATCCAATAGCAAAGCTTATACTACTATAATCTTTAAACTTTAAGTGAATTCTTACCTGTACAATCTTTGGTCTTTGAAGGAAGATCTCTGCAGGAAAATCTTGCATAATCACATCCTGAAGAAGCTCACAGGTACTCCAAATTAAACTTTGGTTGTTACTTCCCAAAGAGCTACAAGTTCATATTTAAATATGTATTAAAATGAAAAGAAAACCAACCAGTAATTATTAACCTGAGCAAGTCTTTACAAGAAAGTTATAATACAACACTGAAGAATCTAAAGAAAAAATATCTCTGTAATTCTACTGTCATATCAAATCAAAAATCAAATATGTCCAGTGTTACAAATCTGTGTTCCTTTTCTATACTCTGACATAAGGAAATTAAATATTAAACAGGTTCTCCAGCTTCAGAAATCTTTAAAAAGGAAAAAAAAAAACAAACACAAAAAAACCCCAAAAACAAACTATGCTAGAAATCTATCAGAGCTCTGTGACAATTCATAAGGAATCCCAACTACAGAATTCTCCCTTGGGGCACCTCAAACACTTTTTCTATATTTAAAAAAACAACAAAACATCACTGCAGGAAGACAGTTTGAATGACTCAATGCCTGGATAGGGCTCTGTACCTAAACTTAGTGGCCTAAACTTAGTTAAGCTGCTACTGAAAGTAGGGATTTTCCTACCAGCTGGTCATTGGGGTAAAGTAAATAATGATTTTTTTCCAGCTTATTCTATTATTAACTGAAAAAAATCTTTGATCCACTTAAGAAATTTAAAACACAGGCTGAAGTGTCATGAACGAAAGACCCAAATATTCCCTGATTTAAACACAAAAAATGGAGAGTGGCACTGCCCAGCTTCAGCCCAGTTTTTACAACCATTTATCAAAAATTAGCTCATTGGGTTATTTACATGAACAACCTCATGATACAGAAGGACAGAAATTTACAGCTGCTATTCATAGAAAAGAAAAACTACAAGGAAATTGTAATGTTTCTATTACTGCACCTCTCATTTGATGAAAGAACATGTCTATCTGTTGAAGTCAGAGTTAGCCAAGGAAATGTGGAAAATTTCAGGCATTTCACTGCAAAAAAAAAACAACAGAGTGGATGTCTTGAAATACATTTTATAGAAATATTATGTTGTATACATCCAAGGCAAAGTAAAAAACATATAAACAATATATTATCTTACACAGAAATATCTTTTAGTAAATATAGGCTTGCAAAAACTCAAATGCTTTTAATGAGAGTTTTCAGCAATATCAAATCATCACTAAGGTCATACCAAATCCAAATGAAATATGTTTATTGAAGAAAGCTTTAGGAAATAACAAACACAGCATTAGTGGAAGAATACTCAATCTGTCACATCATGCTTTTAAACAAATTTTAATTTTTATCTGCTACTAAAGAATATTTTATCCATTAGTATGATCTCTAAAAATGGAAAATTCACCTCATGGTTTTATTCTTAAACTTATTGTTCTTACAAAATTATGACACATAATAAATTTGTAATGAAAACAACTTTAAAGCTATTTTTAACTTAAAAGTTCATAAAAATTATTGTGCAATTCCTAGAACAGTTGATTACTAAAAATGCAAGTGGTGATCTACCTACAGTAACTGCAAAGTCGTATTTTAAAATCTAGATCTCAGATTCATACTGTATTTTAAATAAGACACTTTCCTGTGAACTGCTACAGGCAAAGACTTGCCAAAATATTATAGATCTGTGCTTGTCAGTGAAACACTTTGTATAATTTGACAAGAAAAAACAAAAAACAAAACAAAGCATAACACTGGTTTTCATTTAAATACAAAGCAAAGATTCCCCTAGCACCTAAACCAATTGTCTAAAAAGTAGAAAGATACTTCAAACTAAGTTTTGTTGAAAAAAAAGGTACTTAATCCTTTAAGCCACTTCTGTTTATGAAAAACAGATCATCTGGAAAATACTGGCAATTTAAATAATTTTTTAAATTGCAGCACTTTCTAATGTACTTTAGAGATTCCACAGAGTTACACTATTTACTAGAAAAGAGACATATCTATTAAGATGACTGTCATTTTTATAAGCATTATAATTGTGGCTTCTGTGGTGTTAGCTTTCACAGAATAACAAAAGGAAAAAGAAGAGCCAATTTTGCTATCCACATTTGTAATGGAATTCCAACTAAATTACAACTCTAAGCTCTTTCTGTAATTAACATATTCTTTTATAACTACACATACCAACTGTTCTTTTGGGAGATATTTCTAACTGCGGCAGATGACTTCTGCTTTGACAAAAATATCCAGTGAATAATTCCTCCTGAGGCAGAACTAAAATAAAAAAAAGGGGTAAGTTAAAAAAATGCACATGCACAGAAAAGCAAAGCTCAATTTATTTTTGTGCTTTTCTTTAACTTCTTCCCTCTTGCCCTTGAGTTTTAAATCAGTTTCCTTAATAGGTTAAAACAGTCTCAGATGATCAGAAAAATGAAGTAAAAAGGAGTGTGTCAATGTTTATTTTTTATAGTCATATTCTGCAACTGTAAAGGGTGCATTTTTCTCCATTTTTTTTACACTAACTTGCATACCATACAAACAATAGCAAAACCAGCTACACAAAATGTATTGCCTGATGGAGGACTGGCAGCCAAATAAATGGTTTTCCTTTAATCTACATCTGTAGTAATAAAATTAACTTTTCAAATTAATTACTTAAAACCTTTTTCTACCAAACTGCTGTCTTCTTAGGTCACCTGAAAAGTTCCCCTCTTGTATATATGTATGTTGCTAGATGTCATTCATATGCAAACTGTATAAAAATATACACAAGAAATGTTAACACTAAAAGCAACCTCTCCAGACCATAATACTTGATCCAAAGGATCAAACCAGATAATCCAGGTTATTAGTTTACAATTTTTTCCAGTAGCAGAATGAAAAATACAAACACTCCTGTTAGGAAGCATTAGGATTATTCCATCCACACTTGCATACAATTTACAGTATAAATAACCTCAACTGAGTAGTTTCAGAAAAATATAATTTTTCTGAATATTATTTAAAAATAATAAGAATGAACATACAGAAGGTTATTCTTCTCCGTACAGTAGAAACATTAGGTAAAAATATGCCCATATATGGGCATAGGAAGGAAAAAAGAAATTAAAAATTAACCATCAGGCACATATTTCTAAATATGTGAACTAAATCTCCAAGCATTAGAAAGGTGGCAGAAACCACCAAAAAATTAGTTTTATCTATGTGACTACACAGTATGAATGACAGAGCTGTGGTCATTACTGCTACATGTACTGTGTAACTGCAATGTCTTTCCCACAATGAGCAGGAGGTAATGTAATACAATATGTAATTTTCTCCTCCAAATTCTGTTCTAAATTTTTTTAAGGCAGAAGAGGAGAACCAAATGGGTTAGATTGCATCTAGGAGGAAATGTAAATCAGTGCAACAGACATAATGAGCTAGGTAACAGATGCAAGCAATAGCACTCCACACATAATGTGATGTTTTTAAGAAAGTTTATGTATTTTTCTATGACAAATACTTATCCAATACTAAGTAGACAGTGCATACAACTACTATAGTTTCAAAAATCATTCTATTAGGATCAACTACTGTTTTTTTTCTTTTTCATATTTTTCTCATAGGATTTGAATTGGTTTCCAAACTAAAGCCTACTATACAAAGCACAGCAGCAAAGCATACTGGCTAAATTACAGATTTATTGGAAGTTGCTACACACTTGCTGCCATAAAGCTGTCCTTGCAAGTTATGTCATGCTCTTCGTACATTACGGAAAACAGATACTATACATCGAGGAAATTGATAGGGAATTCCATTGCAGGAATGCCACCAGCTGATTTAGCTGAGGTCACACTGTCTCTGGCAAAATCTGATTAGCACACACTTCACTGATTTCTCAGGAATAATTTGTCTACTATGCATGAAAACATCAGCTTCTCATAGTCTTTTCATTTGCTTTATTTTAGTATAAAATAAATTACAGTTTAAAACATGTAATTTTACCTGATTGATCTACTGAAGGCTGAGACTGAGCTTGATAACATACTGAAGAACTAGAAGGGAGTTCAGAAGGAAGAAAGAACAGTCCATCCACAATCCCATCAATTATGGCCTGCAAGTTTGGATCCACGTCAGAGCGAAGCTGAGAGAAGAATTCCACTGCACCAATTCCAATCATTTTCTGAGCAGCAGGTGGATGCTATATTAAGACAAATAACTGACAAAGTTAGTTTGAAGAGTCTCAAGGTCTTTGGATGGGAGTGGGGAAGAGAGAGCAGCAGGGGGAAGAAGGAAAAGAACTTAAATTCTTAAGTAACATTTTGCCTTTATTCATTTAGACCATTGTGCTGAGGAAGAGTTAGTTCATTTTCTTCCCAGTAGCTGGCATGGGGATGTGTTGGATTTGTGCTGAACACAAAGTTCAGATATTTTTGTTACTGCTAAGCAGGGCCTACACAGAACCAAAGGCTTTTCTGCTATCCTGAAAAGGGATCTAGGAGTACCTGGGAGGCTGGGAAGAGACACAGCCAGGACTGGTAACCCCAACTGATCAGAGGAATATTCCGTATCATAGAATCACAAAAAGGCCTAGGTTGCAAGAGACCTTAAAGCTCATCTAGTTCCAACAGCATGCTGAATCTATAAAGGGGGTAAAACAAAGAGGAACGGGGAGACATTGGGAGTGATGGCATTTGTCTTCTCAAGCCACCACTACGTGTGAGGGTGCTGTGCTCTCATGGAGATGGCTGGACACTTGCCCATGGGAAGTGGTGAATTAATCCCTTGTTTTGCTTTGCTCGTGCATGCAGCTTTTGCTTTTCCTATGAAACTGCCTTTGTCTCAACCCATGAGTCTTCTACTTTTTACCAATCCGATTCCCTCCCCAGTCCCACTGGGGGGTGTGAGCGAGCAGCTGTGTGGGGTTGGGGTTGACATGACATCCATCCATCAGTATTAAGGATGGGTTGTTTTTTAACTCTGCATAGTAACAGTTTAGTGATTAGAACACAAGAATGTAAAAATCTGAGCTAGATGAAATTTCTGTAACATTTCCCCAAATTAGTTGCAACAATGTTCAAACCTTTGCTTTCCAGGAACAATGCAAATGCTTAACAGCACATCATGCTCCACGTTAAAAATGAAGCACTAAATGAGAAACTGAAGAAGCAGAGAAACTAAAGTAGAAACTCAGAAAATACTATGTTTCCTGGCTATCTCTCTGACCCTTTTGAAGTCACTGAAATTGTTTTAATTCTGGTCTACACACAGTGGCTTTATTATTTCTGTCTTTGTGAAACACTCTAAAAGTCTCGTTACATGGAGCTACAAAATCAAGTAATATCCAGCTGGTGCAATACTTAACTTCAGCATTATAAAAACATATAGTTTTAAAATAAACGAATGTTAGTATGTCATACCTTGATCAAACTGTTCACAAAATTTAATACTTCCTCTTTTATTGGTACGACTGGGAAATTGAACCACTCCAAAAGGTTACGAAAAAGTGCTTTTTCGTGGACCAAATCGGCATAGGAAATCAAGTTGTGGTCCAGTTTAAATAGAATAGTCTTCAAAGATCGCTCTCTTATCTCTGTCAGTTCATGACCTGCCGAAAAAAAGGGGATTAAGAAACCCATAAAATTATTTGACATAACTTTTTTCTTATTTGGAGAAACAGAATACTGCCAGAGATGCAGTAAAAAAAACCCGGCTTATAAGCTTTCAGTATTACGCCTACCAGGAAGACAAATACGATTACACTCACCAGCAATAACCTAATCAAGTGTGTTTGCATGATTATAAAGCGGTGAGATATAATGAGATATACTGATATAATCCGGTGCCAAACGCGCCACTACTGATACAGCCTGGTGCCGGAACCTCGAGCAGTGTGTCGTGGCTACGGAAAGCTGCCTCGGACTCACCAGCCGGACAAAAAACTACCCAAGCCCACTGAACCGAAAGGCACCGTGTCTGAAGGGGAAGTCTTTGGCATTTCCTAATGGAAGCACGCCCCCCTAGGGGAGCGCCGCCGCCTCCTCCGCGCCTGCCACGGGGAGCGGAGTGGAAGAGCAGCAGGCAGAAGAGCGGCGGAGGCCGGGCAGAGGCGGCCGGGCTCCTGCGGAGCAGCGCCGGGCCGCACGCTGCCGCTGCCCACAGCCCCGCAGGCGGCGGGGCCGCAGGGAGAGGAGCCATT